AGACAACTTGGAGACGACTGGGTACTAGTCAAGGCTTTATCCGCTCTGTTGATCGATGGAAAGATGGGGCGTTCGAGTTTGCAGTTAGCTAAGACCATGCGCGGTACACGCGCTTAGCGCGCGACGAGATTTTAAACACGCTTTGCTCGTGCAAAAAATATGCATCCATGTAAATTGTAATTATGTAATCCACGAGTTAAAAAGCGAACGTCTGATTACGACTCGGACTCCGTTCTGAATATAAGAATGACTTTATCCCTAATACAGTGGAAAGTCCTGTTATGGAGAACCAATGTAATTAGAGATTTTTAGGTGCTGCATAGCCTCCGACCCTGGTCAAAAACGACTGTGAAGGGAGTACACACAACGGCTGTTTGTGTAAACGATGTTATACTACTACATGAGAAATTTCTGCAATTTGATTGGCTTAGAGCAGTGGTATTTCAGCTTAATTTGAAATACCAACATGTGAAAATTACAAAACCTTTGCCGCTAGTAGTATAAGCAAATAATAGCATGATTTGTATGTGATATTTGGAATAAATACCACTTGTCAGTGATATTTCAAAATTGTGTCAAATTTCACTCGCCCGAACGGCTTGTGAAATTATAGTCTGTGAACAGGCCTTTGGTAGAGCGGAAAAAGGGGAGAGGGAAAAGCGAAAAGGCCTGTAGACAAACATTTGCGACCGCCGTGCATCAGATCCTGATGCAAGCTCCTATTGGCGAGAACACTGACTGTTGACAGGGCTGATTGACATCGGCTTTTCGGTCGGCACATAGCTGGCGATTTGATCACAAAGTGGCAATAACAAAACAGTCCAAAGACTCCTTAGCCTCCCTGCAGACGTCCTTTGGGGTTCGTTTGTCACGCTTTCATTTCTATGAATGCGTGACAAACGAACCCCAAAGGACGTCTGCGGGGAGGCTACCCCCCCAGTCCCTTCCCTTTACTCGCTTTTTTTTCCCCAAAACAGAGAGCCTGTTCACAGGCTAGTGAAATTATGTATAACAATTTAGAAATATCACTCGTGGTATTTATGCCAAATACCACTACAAATCATCAGGGGCACCCAACGAGAATATAGTTCAAAACCAAGAGAGAATAAAGAGGACAGAGAAGGCATCCCCCATACACACCCTATTCCATAGGTAATTCGTCTCGAGTTATTTTTAGAATCGGGATAAAGTTACCTCGCGCGCTGCGTGGATGTTTCGTGGAGGTTTCGCATGACTAAACGCCGTGCAAAACATGTCGGGCAAAAGGCAATGAAAGCGTAAACAGATCGAGAGCATTTTTGAACATTGAAGCGAAATGAGTCGGTGCTCACCCGGGAAAAGGGAATCGCTGGACTCTTTGACAACCCGTGAAACAAATGAGAAATTTCGCCGGTCCATTAAAACCGGTCGTTTGTACAATTAAGCAAGTAGGACGCCAAGTGTTATTTTCGTTGAATAATAAGAGAATAAATATCAAACCAGAAATTGCTCTCTTCAAACTGTAAATTATAAATGAGGAAAAATTTCCGTATAACCCCATACATTAATTATGCATTCTGTGTCATTAATAATGCATCCGCCTTATTGTCTTCTAAGACAATGGTGAATTCCTCAGAGTATTGCATATATACATTGGTAATGAATACTTACTGCGTTAGTAAAAAAGGATTTCAATTTTTGTCTTTTTTTATCTTTTCCACCCCTCTCTTTCTCTTTTTTCCCCTCTCATTCACCTACCACTCTCTCCAGTGCCCCCCGGTTTCCTTTTTCCTTTTTTTTCTCTGTAGTCGGCGAGATTTGAACCAACGCTTCCCTGTAGCTCCGGCGTACCTGTCTCTCTGCCATACCACTAGACCACGACGATTTGTTGAGATTCCCTGGTCAAAAAATTGATATCTTTTTGCGTGCTCAAGTTCAAATATACATAACAAAAGAACTGAAATGTGTATTCATGTAAATTATTCACGCTTTTGCCTGTAACATATCCACGAAAACATGCATCTCTTCAGGCAATAACAAGCACGCACAAGCTTCACAAACACTCCTCTCGTGTAATACACTTGTTGGGGACTTGGTCAATTCATGCTTAGTATGGCTCAACTAAACTTTTGAAAGGCTCTCCAGAATACTGGTGGATCATGACCGCGACCGGTACATAGAGTGGTGTAAGGAAAACATAAGCTGCCCTCACAACTTTTGTTAAATGTGCAAGAGCTTTGGGAGAGGACTTAAATGAAAGCTGATTCACTCAGTTTCCTAACCCTAATAACTAAACTTCAAGGTCATTCGGCGTTTTTCAAAAATACCCCGGCCGTTGTCCAACAAGAGCAGGAATAACGCAACTCAGTTTGGCCATCATTCATGCTCAAATTTTGGAGGTTTACAGACGTGATGAGCGACGAGTATGGGTCTTATGAATATCTACGAGTGGAGGGCTAGGAACAGCCCAAGCTTTGTAAAATACACCCAGCTGACACAGGTGCCGACACGCAGTGCATCGAAAATAGATGGAGGGGTAAAGCATGGTTTGCCCTGTACAGGAACATTCAAAGAACTATTCCGCAAAAGTAACTACTGGCAGGAGTTTTAAATATGTGGCGTAGGCATTACGGTGAAGTTCTCTTTGGAAGCATGATAGTAAAGCATATCGTCGAACTTTATAATGACATTAGGAACGGCGCCTAAAGGGCTAAATAAAACAGGCAGATCAGACGAAGGAGGAGAAGGTGGAAACTCGAAAATATAGTTCAGGAAAAAAAGGAAACTCTGAGGAATAAGGTAGACTTTTATTTTACTTTAATTGTTTATTAAACCCTGTGTTACGATCGATGGATAGTTTACTCAACGCCACTAATTACATTGATTATCACTATCTCCGGGGTCATTATAAAGTTAGGTTTCGGAAAGCGAAGATAGTCCGAAATTTGTTCCAAAAAGTTTTTATTTTAGTTCAAAAAGCGGCAAATTTAGCGCGTTTCAAAAAAGACTTAGAAAAAAAATTAAAAATTTCTAAAACAATAGCTGAACTTGGTATTGTTTTGTCTTTTGTTTTCTTTAAACAATGAACGTATGCATAATTAATGTATGGGGTTATACGGAAATCTTGCCATAAATGATCCTGAGAGAATATTCACTGTGTTAAGGATTTCCCTGCTGTACTGTTAGCTCTATACAAAAGAGGAAGGGCGATTCTTTTTTTATTTCCATTTCGCTGACACGGCTTTCGTAGAAATCTCTCTTTAGTCGTTTTCGTCGACAAAACAAATAGAAATATCTCTCTTTGCGTCTTCCGCCATTATTTTCTGCGTCAATTCGTGAAGGACGCGTGGTTCTGAGCGTGGGTCATCCACGTGGAACACATTTGCGCTATGTGATTGGCTGTTGTCTAATCCCCCTTGGGATCTGTGGTCTTAAAAATAACTCGAGACGAATTACCTGTGGAATAGGGTGTGTATGGGGGATGCCTTCTCTGTCCCCTTTATCCTCTCTTGTTCAAAACCACTTAAACATAGTATTGTTAAACGTGTTTTAGAATTTAAACAGTAGACATAGGCATATTTTTAATCCCCTAAAATTTTTTCATCTGTTCGGATTTCCTAGCTGAAAGTCTAGTGATCCGAAAATTATAGGAATCAAAACTTACCTCGAAAATTTCAGCCAGAAAAAAGGCTCCCTTAAATTCTAGGTGACCTTTTTAGGGTAAAAATCCGTTAAAAATGGGCAATTATACCATTTTTTAGATGTTCGAAAATCCGAGGAGAAGCACGCAAGCAAGAAATTTTACAACAAATGTTCCGAAAATTCCACCAACATTACAGGGTTTTTCAGCCTGTAAGGGAAATGAGCTCGAACTCCTCTTTCTCGTGAAGGGCCGAGGTAGCGGCGGAAATCGAGCCTGCTACCCGGGGGGGGGGAGTACTCCCTTATATATCCGCCGTTTTGATCTGAAAACGGGTATACACTTTGCTCATTTTGGACTGGAATCGGGTTGGGTTTTCGAGGGAAGAACGGGCGAGTATGAACATTTTTATCGTGTCAATTCCAAATGAGTAAGAGAGAAAGAGAAATACCGGTAATACGAATTCAAATGGCTTTGAACAAGAGCCATGGCTCTTGATTTGAATAATTTTTGTGTTTGCGCCCTAATCTAAGTAATGATAACGTAATTTCTGCCTAACGACCAGGTCTGAAAACGGGTACGGATTTTAGAGGTCTGGTCTGAAAACGGGTGTGGATAATGGCATTTTTTGGTCTGAAATCGAGTCTGGACAACCGGGCGGCACACCCCCACCAAGAATTCCCAGGAGTACTCCCCCCCGGGGGCCTGCTACCACCCCTACCCTCTTAAAACAACAACAACAACAACAAGCTGTTTTGATTTTTCTGAAACACAGAATAACATTTTAACCTTTACGGTATAATTTGAGCTTTTTTCATCGAAAATCGTAATATCTTTACGCACATGTCGGGCGCTATTGACATACCTCAAGAAAACAGCAGCTGAAAACATACGCAGGAGCCTGAATACATAAATATAAATGTTCCTGCGCGCGTGATCAAAATTTTCACTCTGCATATTTTTTTCCCATTTTTAAATTAAAGCTGGATTTTTTGTTTTTCCATTTTTTTGTTCTTGATGAGGAGAAAATTAACTGAGATTCAATGCGTGATCGAGGCGAGCAGATGGTGCCGCTTCACCTGCTGCTGGCCAATCTGTGAATTGCACGAGACTTTTCATGCATCCATAACTGACGTCATCCGGGTATTGTTGCCGAAACTGTACGTGGCGTTCTGTGTTTTGGTCCGGTCGTTCAAACATATTACCTAATATTTTCGTGTTGATCGGGCAAGAACGTTGGTATTTTGTTTTTGTGGCAATTCTGGTCACTATTTTGTGATCAATCGTGCTAAAGGAAAAGTGTTATACCGCCGTATCGCTCAATCTCAAAGCCATATTCTTGTGGAAGACACAGGGATAGAAATTCTTGCGACCGCAAGCGATTCAAGTCGAACATGGATGGAGGTGGGGGTGATTCGTTTGATCCCTGTGAGTGTATATGTAGCCATGAAGGAGCAATGCGAAGGCTTATTTCTCTGGTAAATATAAACAGTATATATATTTAACATACAAATACAAGCCATTTGATGTATGACGCCTAAAATTCCCACCGGTTCATCACTTACCTTGCATGGTCGTTCCACCCTCTGGTCACTAAGAGTGAATTTTTCCGCTTTTTCGTTGCAGCTGAGGGATTCGCAAAGCTATTGCACGGATAACCAGTGCTTACAAGAACGTAAGTTTTACTGCTTTGTTTCATTCGGTAGCTTTTGCAACTTTGAATCGAGTCTTTGCAGCAAGCTAACCTTATAACTTAAAGCTTACAATAATTATTAGTTAAGTAGTTTGCTCGAGTCCCAATCAATGTTTTTCTAGCTTGCAGGTTTTGTTATCGACCATAATCCTCGAGCTGTGCTTTCTTTATTTTCTTTTTACTTTGAAACAAACTTGGAAACATAAATAAACCACCGTAATCTTAAGCTCATATACTAATTTAACGTTAAAATCTGACATTTCTACAAAAATGATTTAAGCTAACTTATTTAAAAACCTTCTCTCAAAATACGGCTTTCTGGAAAATTTCGGCAAGGTCGGCAGGTGATTTCGCCCAAGACTTGTGTTTATTTTCCTTGTCGAGTAACGTGGTTTTCGTTCCTATGTAAACCAATCCTTATCCATTAGCGTTTTCAAGTCCGATATTAATTATTCACAATTTGACATTATGTTTTAAAACTTTAATGGCAGTTAGGGGTTGGTAGTTAACGTAGCTTTGCCAGGACTCGAGAATGTTATGACTCTCGAGTGAGCAAGATTATGTAACACTGGGTTAAGTTTAATTCACCTTACTACAACTAGGACAAGAAAAGTCGTCTTTCCAGAAATAAATTCTTGTCCTAGCTAGTTGAAGAAAGTTGACCGAATCTTAATAATAATAAATAGCACTTCCCATAAAAATGCTCGATATTTGCACTTTCTCAGAAGTTCTAAAAACAATAAACAAGTAAAAATTAAGAACCTAGTACAAGTCATGATTGTGCTTCACAGAAGTTCTACAAATAGTAAAAATAATTCTGAAATAGGTATATTTATACGAGTAAAAATTACATGTAAGAACCTAGTCATGAAAAAAACTTGGAAAAATAAAAATGTTTTCAGTTCCATTTAAAAGTTGGTAGATTCATGATGGTCGTCCATATATCATGTGGTAGGCTGTTCCACAACTTTGGCGCAGTGAACATAAAAGCATGATCCCCAAGGGTCTTTGATGACTTCATTTGTGGAAATTAAAGCGGAGTAAGATTCCATCACAAGAACTGTAAAGACTGTAATGTGAAGGTGTTACAACACAAATAAGAGAAGAGTTGTAAATCTACTGTAAGATTTATTACCTTCCCTTGTAATCTGTGCAGTCTGTGCTTGATTTCTAAATCAGTCAATTTTTGGTTAATTTAGCTAGGCAAAGTACGTGTAGTAAATCAGGTTAGAGTGAAATACCTCATCATACACATAAAGCATATTTTTATGGTCATGTATTCTCTTTTATTTATTACTTGAACACATGGGCATAGTTGTTGAAGGCTGTTATTTCTGGCTGAGGGTAAATGTTTTATCAGGGTTGCTGTTTTTCTTGTTTGTACAGAGCACAAAGCATTTTCATGGTCAGTTTGACTATAGCCGTTATCACTAATGAGAACATCTGCAAATGTCAAATTAATGTTGCCAAAACGAATTATCAAAAATTTTCTTCAAGCATTAAGATTTGAATTCAAATTTCCTGCTGACCCAAGAAGGCAAAATCCTGCTTTCAGCAGCTTAGGCTGGCAGTTTTTCTTTTTCTTCTTCCTCTTTTTTGCCTCAATTATATTTATGTTGCTAGGACAAAAAATTGTTTTTCTCAAAATATTTTTACACAATACGCACTTTAACTTGATGTTATTGCCAACTAATTTGAATCTTGTTAATTTTCTTTTTGCGTCACTTTGTATTGCCCAATAGTCATATTTTATTTTTTCAGATGTACAAATTTAGTATTATACGTTACAGGTCAAAATTATAAATTCAAGTTAAAGTTTTTTCACTTACATGTAGGTAGATTCTCAATTTCCTTTATCTCCTTAAGCCCTAATTTGACATCAAGAATAAATTAGAGCTAGGAGACAAAGTAATTATAGCCGGGTGTTTTCGCTTTATTTTTGGTTATCGTCATGCCGAGTCTACATGTGCAAAGTTTTCTGTCTCGGCTTATAGCCGAGATCAGCTTATAGTTGAATAAATACAGTAGGTAAAAAATTTTAACCTGAATTCTATTTTGACTTGTAACGTATAATACATACATGTATATGTTATACTGTGTAGCTTTTTTATGTTTTTCTGAGTTAATGTCTCTTCCACTATATTAATTATTATAATATACATGTAAATCTGCATGCAAGAAACTATTATTCTGAATCTCAGAGCTATTGCTCTCAACACTAATTGGTATAAATCTCCTATAGAACAATAAGTTAGTGGCATTTAGTTAAATATGTTGGCTTCAGAAAAATGTGTTGATTACAGTGGGATAGAGTCCAACACAGTTACATGTTAAAGAACTCCTGAGCTGAACTCCAGTACTGTACAGTACAGTGTACGTGTATGTCCACATCTGGGCATCAAGATCACATTTTAATATAACTGTACCTGCCAACTTTTTCTATTTCTATCATTATACTTGGCAAAGGTTGCTCATTGCTCCATCTTAGTCAAATGCATTATATTTTTGTCTTGTCATGACTCAGTTTCCGAAAACATCCCAGCTACCTTTGTACATTTCTCAAAATTTTCAGAAGTCCCAGGACTCACCAATAGTTTTGATGAGTCCTCAGGGACTCATCATGCAAAAACTCATGAGTCCCCGTCCAGATCCATTGAGTCCCAGTTCAAAAAACAATGAGTTCCCTAAACTGAATTTTTTGGGGTGATTAGATAACCGTGCAGACAGTTGATTAAGCTGAAGACAGGCTCCAAAACACTGTATTGTAATAAAGACTAAAAGAAATATACCTTGTTACACGAGAGCTGCAAAAACAGCCACAGAAATCACACAAACAGGATATTCTACAAAAACATCTTCAGATTGATCAGTCTGCACATGCCATGAATTATTTTTTGGGACCTTTCATGTGTCAGGGATGCAGGACAAAGAGTTACCAAAATCACTGCGAAGCCTTGCCGAAAATGTCTGAGGTTTCCCCGAAGACCTTTAACTTAGCACTTCTAAAGCTATTTCAAGACTTTCAAAGTTATATACTCTGTGTGCAGAGAACCCTACGAATAAAATTTCCTGCTTTTTGTAATAAACATCATGAAATGAAGCTCCGAGTCATAAAGTTGCTCAATATAGTGTTATGAATCTGAAGATCTTAATTAATACTATTGTCATACTTTTATGACAGTCATATGGAATGGCTTAAAAATGAGCTTAAAGATGAAAGAAATGTTAACTCTTTTAAGTCTACCTTGACTTTGTCTTGAACCGGGGATTGCTGTGAGGAAGATGATGTAGAATGTTTTTAGTTATATACTTTATTAGGTGTATGTAAGGTAATTCTTGTGTACTTTACTCTAGGATAATGTCCTTGAGTATTTATATATAATTTATTTATATTTAGCATTCATGTAGAGCATTTTTAATCTTGATCAATTTGATTTTTTTGTTTGATTTTTATTTCAATTATAAAATAATGCAATATAATATGTGTACCTTCTAGTGCCAGGACCACAGGGTACCAACAACACTGGAGGAGACAGTCATACCACATTTTATATTATGATGGTTTGGATTGTGATTGCCTTTGTTCTCTATCTTCTGAGGTAAATGTGGTCGTGTTACAATGCAAGCCTTGAAACATTAGGGTGTAACTAACACTGGGCAGTAATACATGTATGTCCATAAAATATCATTGATATTTTTAGCTTGATCCTCTAAACCATTAGCAATGGTCTTTATTTTCTTGTCAAGCACGCAAATACTTTGTTCCTGTGACCAAAATTGAGGAGAAATATGTACCGCTTTAACCTGTTAAAACCAGGAAACACCCCTGATTACTGAAATGTAGTCCTGATGATCTGGTGGGGTCATGCACAACTGGAGCAGCCAAAACTACATGCATAAAATAGAACAGTGCCACACATGTACAGTAGTCCTTTATAGTAATATTACTTAGTGAAGAGCATCAAATTTCTCCTTGTAATATCAATGCTTGTAAAACAGAGTGGTCATGAGAATAACAGACATGATCACACAAGATAAGTTTGCTTGACATTTTATCAACTTCTCCTCACTACTTCTGTATGAAATAAATAGGGGCAACAACTGAGAATTCAAATTTTGATCTTAGGGTTTAAAGGGTTAAATAGTCCCATGGTATGTCTGCTAAATAATGACATGTTTCTCAACAGACCTCAAAGTATGAGGCAGGGTGCAGAGAAGCCAAGTCGCAGTGATGTAAGTACACCCTTTTGGTGGCCTATAAAACTGGTCATCGTAGCTTTTACATGATTTGTTCATGTATTTTAGTTTTGAGCCCTATTTGCTCCAATGATTAACCGATACTGCCTGTACCCCCTGTTTATTGTATGACGTACATGTATGGTATACAGTCCACTGTTGCTTTGAGAATTTGTTTAATTGTCATTGAGTACATATTAATAAATACAACATTTTAATGTTGACTCGAAATTTTGCTACACAAAACTATAAATAGTACAAAAATAAATTATCTCAACAGAGAGCCCAGATTATGGCGTACATTTGCGGACAAAAATAATTGAAAATGAAATATAATTTCAAGTTCAAAAATTAGACTATCCATGTCGAAATCTCGTCATATGAATTTGAAATCGCAATGAACGCAGTCGAAATAGCATCATTCGAACTTGAAGTTACTTTGAACAAGTTGAAACTATAAAGGGAAAACTCGACATCGCGGATGTTGAAGTTCAAATCACCATTCCAACTAAAATGCAAATTCATGATTTGAACTTCAATTCACCTTCTTCATTCTAATAGGCTTCTTAATCGTCAACAATGCAACCATAATCTTCCACAAAATTCCAAATGAAATCTTTAATTTGAACTTAACGTCAAGTCACATATTCGAATTCGAAAAGCCAAAATTTCAATTCGAAGGGAAGCGGAAGTAAAAATACACAGGAACCGGAAATGATAAGAGTTTCACTACACTGTACGTATGGGATGTTTGCATAACTGCATTTTGGCCCGAAAAGATTTCCCTTCACTCAAACTCTCTGGTCAATATGGCGGACAATGTGAATGATAAGGGCGACTCTAGGACAATCCAAGAGATTGTGAGGGCTGTCGTGGCAAACTTGAGAGTGGTTTTCTGTAAAATTCGAACTTCGGCCTGACACGTTACCTAGTCGATTTGGCTGATTTTTGGCATGTAGTCTTAGAGTGGTTTCCTAAATACTTAATGCATATTCTAAGGTTTGAATTCTCTTTGGTTTCAAAGATACAGGAATGACAGGTTTGACGAGGCCTCGAGGGGCCGCCATGTTGGTGAACTGAAGGAGGTTTACTATGGTTAATTCTGGCTTTATCTGTTCAAATCATGCAACTGTAGTTCTGCTCCATTACATTTGCCCAATTATTTTATTCAGCAATCTAACTTATCTATAAACAAACTATGTTTAGTGAAAACGGCTTACTCTAAATCGATGTGGCATGGGTGATATTGGCCTTCCAATTTCTACAAAATTTGTGTACCTTTTAAGTACCGAAAAAGTGCTGTGAGAAGTTACAGTATAGCCGTTCAGAGCTCAGGCTAAACTATTTTCGGATAGAAAAAAAAAAGGTAAATGAAAGGAGGAAGGATAATTCTTTGCAACTGTATGAGTCACGATTACGTTATTTTAATGATGAACCTAGAATTAATTATAGTAAACCTCCTTCAGTTCACCAACATGGCGGCCCCTCGAGGCCTCGTTAAAACTGTCATTCCTGTATCTTTGAAACCAAAGAGAATTCAAACCTTAGAATATGCATTCAGTATTTAGGAAACCATTCTAAGACTACATGCCAAAAATTAGCCAAATCGACCAGGTAACGTGTCGGGCCGAAGTTCGAATTTTACAGAAAACCACTCTTAAGTTTGCCACGACAGCCCTCACAATCTCTTGGATTGTCCTAGAGTCACCCTTATCATTCACATTGTCCGCCATATATTGACCAGAGAGTTTGAGTGAAGGGAAATCTTTTCGGGCCAAAATGCAGTTATGCAAACATCCCATAAGTACAGTGTAGCGAAACTCTTATCATTTCCGGTTCCTGTGTATTTTTACTTCCGCTTCCCTTCGAATTGAAATTTTGGTTTTTCGAATTCGAATATGTGACTTGACGTTAAGTTCAAATTAAAGATTTCATTAGGAATTTTGTGGAAGATTATGGTTGCTTTGTTGACGTTTAAGAAGCTTATTGGAGTGGAGAAGGTGAATTGAAGTTCAAATCATGTAATTTGCATTTTAGTTGGAATGGTGATTTGAACTTCAACATCCGCGATGTCGAGTTTTCCCTTTATAGTTTCAACTTGTTCAAAGTAACTTCAAGTTCGAATGATGCTATTTCGACTGCGTTCATTGCGATTTCAAATTCATATGACGAGATTTCGACATGGATAGTCTAATTTTTGAACTTGAAATTACATTTCATTTTCAATTATTTTTGTCCGCTAATGTACGCCATACCAGATCACCAAAAAGTAGTTTTCAGTGGGGTCTTGCCGGGGAAAATTGATAAAAATAATAAAATATTTGTTTACAAAGAGTGGAAGGTCAAATGCAGTTTCTTGTGTGTGTGTGTGTGTGTTAAAAAGGTCAGAAAATGTTAAAATCCAAGAGAAATAAATATTAAAAGTTGCAGTGCATTTTGCCCACAGCACAACCAATCAAAAATACTACCCAGATCTGGGTCCATCATCTGTATGGAATTTGTACACTCATTCCTCAAATTTAATGTCATTTCATTGCCAGTGCTGGCATCACAAAGTGTTAAATTACTGTTTCTGAGGCCATGAAACCCAGCATTATTTTATCATTCTACAGATAATACATGTAAATGGAGCTGCTTTTATTTAATTTTCAGAGAGGACCAGGCCCACAACCTCCTGCCCCTCCTGTTCATTAGGATACACATTTCAAGGTGTTATAATAATATTATTTAATAAACAACTGTAGAATATTAACTCAAAATATTAATGGCAGTACATGTACAGTAGAACTTAGAAAGAGTTATCACTGTGAGTAATGTTGATGTACTGTAACTGGTTAAAAATTATTTTGTTTCCAATGAGTAGTTATAAGGAGAATGTGCTCTCATGGGATTTGTAGACTAGTAAGCTTAAAGTATTATTTAAGCAAAAGAAAGTTTTTCTAAGCATGATTTTTGTACAGACTTACAAATGTTACTTGCGTTAAATTGATACTTAATTCTGTTCTTGTATACTAGTCAGTCTATTATCTTAATAGTAAACTTCCTTTTTTTTCTGTTTGAAAACTTTTTGAATACTTCCAAAGTGTTCCCAGTGAAGGATGTTCTGCATAATTGCAAATCACAACACAAGATTGGAAAAGTCAATGCCAACAATTTAGTGGATAACACAGTCAATGAATGTACATAGCAATAATGTGCTTTATAAGTAAGGTGGAATATTGTTGTCTGGGTGAATGTAGTCCCGAACAGGACTGTCATTTTTTCAGTGACTGTAGTTTTGACAACTTTGCTGGAATGCATGATTATCCAGGCATATATTTCACTTACTTGCTTTGTTTATGTGACTCCTGGTTTCAATCATTATAATCATGTATTTTATATATAGTTGTATTTTGATAAAATAGTCATATTGAGGGTGTAGATCAAAAAAAGCAAATATAGTAATAATTATTGTCAGTTTACTTGAATTTAGTGACAATGTTATTAAAGGCTTTGTAATTTTATTGAAACATCATTAATGTAGCTATAAGTGCAGGGAGTTTTTCTAGAACACTTTTTATTTGTGTGTGACAATCATGACAAGACTCACTTTTTTTTTATCTTCAAATGATTTGATACTACTATACTTTGGTCCTTTATTAGACTTCAAAACAATTCGTATTTTTGCTTGTTCAAGTACATGGGAACAGGCAAACAAAAGGTCAGCTGGAGCAAGGCCGAAAGCGGATAGTTTTTTTGGGCATGTGAGTCTTGCTTGCCTTGGCCATATGAGTCTCTGACACCACAGTCTCAAACGATTTTGAAGTCTAGTATTTTATCAAAAGGTCAGTTTAAAGGGAGGTGAATTTTGGCTGAGATTTTTCTTCAAACAAAATTATGGTCATGCATGTCCCACAAAGTTTACAGTGTTTTCCTCTGCTGTACTATTGCATAAGTTCACTATTCTATGTTGTGGTATAAGGATAATTTTAAATGAAACACAACAGGAGTTTCCTGGGAAGTTATAAAGTATGAGTGTTTGTCTTCTTGTATTGACAAAATTGTTAATACATTGTATAACCTTTAACGAAATGTTTACATTTTGTTTGTATCTCAAATGTGGACCATAATTAGCAGATGTCATTTATTTCCCACACACAAGCCTCAGAAAGTTTCAATTAAAAACAATGTTCTCTTCTTGTAACTGCATGTCCTGTATAGTTAAACCTCTCTATCATCCAAACATCTCTATTGACTAGACCTTTTTAGCAAGGATTTCATTTAATGTCCATTCCATTTAAGCTATAGTGTCCATTTAATGCAAGTTTCACTTGTTTATGTACTTGGGAATTTAGTTACTAGGAATAAGTTACCATTGCAGGTCTGTGGTAAGGCTTGGTAGATGTAGCAGCAGTTCATTTAATCATAACAGTAACAAAATTCTCAAATCTGATTGGTTATCAACTGTCCTGATTTCAGCACTAATGAGACATTGTAATAGGACAGTACGTGTCATACTTAAGTAATTCAATTTCACTGCCAGCAAGAAAACTCTTAGAATATATAGTTTGTTAAGTTTTAAAAAGCCTGAAAAATCACAAATTTTGCTTTAATTGGTAACTTCGTGTCATCCAATTTGGTCTGTAATCATACTCGTGATAAAGCAAATCTGACCTTCCGCCATTTGGTCATCCAATTTTGTTAATCACTCGTTAGCCTGAATTTCATCCGATTACTTCGAGTCGTTATTACTCCCTCAGTAAGAGGAGAAAACAACTCGAAGCAATCGGATGAATTTCAGGCTAATCACTCGTATGATTACAGTCCAAATTGGACTCCACTTAGTCCATTCTCATCCCCAGAGCCACTCGGCTTAATTTGTAACGAACCAGTGTACGTGACCAAGAAACGACAGGCTCTGGGGACGAGAATGCACTCAGTCTTATTGCCAATGTCAATCACTCTGATCTAGGATTTCTGGAAAAAAGTACATTGGTACTTATGCATTAAAACCGGGTTGGGGAGAATTTCTACACTTAACTCGAAAGTCATTCAGAGTGTGATAGTAAGAGATTTCATTATTTAACAGATTGAGATGAAGTTATACTGGAGAGAAGCAGAATTCAGTTTAATTGTGTAAATATCAAGAGAGTTGTTTAATAGGGGATGGGAAAACTTGGGTTGACATAAAACTGTAAACATAACTGGCTCGTTAGCAAAGCTTGTTTGGTTTTTCTGTAAATGCTGTTGACAACCAATATTAAATACTCATTTGCTTCAATGCAAAGAGAAAAATAGACTTGATTTATTAATTTATTACCTTTGGAACTTTTGGACAGATCATGATTCTGTCATAAACAAGTAAATCTCTTTTTATGCCCAGGCAGGAACTAGAATAAAGTTTGCTTGACATTTTTATTAAAGTTTAAGTCCTGCACCTGCGGTCCATTTTGAGGATCGTTTGCGGTCTCGGGATCATTTGCGGTTGGGGATCATTTGCGGTAATGTACAGTACTTTTAGATCTCTAGAAATACATTCTAAAGCAGCGCTATAGAATTCGTATCTGTTCGGCCATCCTAGGGCAACTTGAGTCTTTTCGAAATTAAAAGGGCCCCAGTATTATTTTCACGGAAATTTTAGATCCTCACCTGGGGAGTCATATGGGAAAAATTAAACTATAGAAAATCGTGGGGAATTTAATAGATAAGCATCGAAAATTGTACATGAATGGCGGAACGGTCATCTACTGATCTAGCAATTTTTAGCCTTCTCAAGCTATAGAAAATTCTAGTCAGGTTCTGCTTCTCCAGACAGATATTTTACAGAAAACTGTCGTTGGGTGTCCCTTTTCCTGCCGTCCTGACTTAAAGTTACGTAGGGATGCCGCTTGCCTTAAAGTTTCAGGAAGACTATTCCACAGAACAGCACGAAATATTACGGAGATAATTTGTGCGTGGCTGTGGAATAGTCAATTTATTTACAGAATCTCGAAAAGTGTATGAAGTGGTATTAGATCGGGCAATAAATTTCGAGCTTTAATAGATACTCAGGAGCAAGGCCATTAAGGGATTTAAAAATCACGTTAACGCTTTTTGGATATCACGCTGAGCACTAAGATTTATCCAACTGAAATTTTGTAACAGCTGCGATGCATCTACATCATAGCTTGAGAAAGTTACAGCCCGTGCTGCACGGTTTTGGAGTTTTCGAAGTTTGTCTGCTAGTTTTATGCCACAGTTTCCCGGGCAACATTGCAATAGTCAAAATGCGGCTGAATCAAGCGTCAAGGCTTTGTAGATAAGATGCAATGTTGCTGGGGGAACAATTTGCCTGACCCGTTTGGTAGCTGCAATACCAGAGGCAATTATTTTTTTAGCCAACTTCTCGATATAACTGCCCCAGGTAAGGTTTGCATCAATGAGTACACCTAGAGATTTTGACGTTTATACCTGGTTTGGAGTACAATCTACAAACAAAGGGCCTGTTTATATCGAGGTGGGGGATCCCAGGTAAATGAGGTAACCCACCTGTCCACATAATCTCTTATTTTAATTTGATCGCATTTGCATGATAGGTGAGGTGACCACATAAGAGATTATATAGACAGGCCGTTTACCCCACCAAAGCGGGCTTCATGTCAACAAGCTCTAAGAATGGGCTATTAACTCAAAAGATAAACATCAATTTTCTCCGAACAATATCATTACACATTCAAGAGAATAGGTTATGAGAATTGATAAAATGATCACCAAAGGAAAAATGCTCTGATCGTTTTTCAAATGCTCCCAACTAATTCAGTAAGGAAATGTATAGAGATCAGTTTGGAGAATTTGTAAGTGAATATCGGGGCTTATAGGGTTAAAGAAAGGCAGCATGTCATTGCCTCCTCAAATGGGATGAGAAGGACAAGAGAATCCTCGTATACAAATTCCCTTTGCCTCTGCTTTCAAGTGCCTGCCAAACAGGCTAGTCCCCCCATATCAAATGATAACTTGTAAACACCAGTAGTCTTAAATTTATTTCCCTTTCATCCACAACTTAATTAAAAAAATGAGGAATTTTGTCAACTGCAATGATATTATAATAAATCAATTTAAAAAATCACAAACGTTTTCACCGTCAATTTCAAGTCGGAAGTCATAGGATATTACATTTCAACCAAAAAAATAATGAATCCTGACTTCCTATTTAATAAACAACTTGTTTTGTTTTTTGTTGAATTTATTGATAAAGTTTGTAAAGACAAAGGTAAGTATAAAAGCTTTAACATGCGTTCCACAAATTTTCCTGACAACTTATATGAGTACCTTCTTCCAGGCTTAAAACTGTGGTTTGATGAATGGTGTATTTTGTAGCCTGAATAACGGGAACAAAAAGGGGTGGGGGAGGAGGGGGAAAGCAAGTGGAATAAAAATTCCCCCCCTACCCCTCCCATTCTGCACTAGCCAAGGAGGCTATGTTAAAAAAGGTTTAAATTGCAGCCTCAAAAACAGCTTGCAGCGAAATACGCCAGCATCAAAGCAGTCAAGAATTTGTAGAAGTAATGTTAAAGACGTCAGACTTGTCCAATGTCAATTTTCCTGAACTGAACTCTTGTTACTCCTAGATCAGTTTACAAACGGAACTTGCGCCAATTCAAATTCAATTTTAATAAATAACAATTTGCCTATCCTACTGAAGAGAAGTCCTACGAGAACCTACATGAGACTACTTAGATGGGTGTAAATGTCCAAAATGAAAGCTGAGAAATGGACGAATGTGTGCAATGACAATAAAAATGAAACCTACATATTTTTAGTAAAAACACATCCAAAGAGGCCATTAATTCTAATTTAATTTTAACGCCTCAAAGATAAGCAAAAACTCAGTGCCATAAATAATATGACCTTATAAGTGACTAGAGTGCAGAATACATAGGCACAATACCCACTGCACAAATTTAAGCATTTCCTGCAAAAGTACAGTGGCGACAACGAACAATATCGTTAAGGGTTCACTCCACGCTTTTTTTCCAATAAGAAATCAAAACATTCCAACAATATCCAATTGGAGCCTTTCACTCATTAAATAAGGTCCATAATTATTAATTTTTGTTATGAAATGCCAAATATTTTAAACAGAATCTTGCGGAGACCATTGTAGACTTTGCTGTTGTACACTGGCACAACAAATTCACCACACGTGTAGTCAATCTTGATTCCCTTCCACTCTCAATGAATGGAATATCTGCTTTTTTCGCCCCTTCCACAACAGTATCTCTTGTAAGCTGTGAAATATCTGTTGTTCTTGCAATAACAGCACCAGATAAAATTGAAGAATGACAGACTATTAGTTAATCCATCTCATCCAAAATTTCATCTTGTTTGCCATGATGCAAGGCTTGTGCTTCTTCATTTGTAGGTTTTGAACTTGTTTTAACATGTATTGAAGTATCCCTACAACACATGCAAAGATATATTATTAAACAATAGAATAATTAAATTAGTTTAAAAAAAAAAAAAACCACTCTTCAAAAGTGTCTACTGAATATTCAAATGAGCAATGCCCCAAAAGGATCGGTGCTGCCCTAAAACAAGTGCCACACCAAAGCTGGGCTCGAAATAATATCTGGAGAGTCTCCGGACCCGATGACCGACCAAATTCATTTTAGCTCGGTCGCGTATCGTTTCTGGCAGGTCAAATTTTTAAGATAAATAACTGCTAAAACATGGGCCCACCAACCAGGCATAATATATTTCCAAAAATGTCACTGCTTAGAGCTATAGCACTTTAAAGCACTTATTGTCGACAACAAAGATAAATTATCGTACACATTAAATTTGTCGGGCGCCTCCAAATATAATGATTTCTCGTGTACGCATCACGGCATGAGATCTTGATCCTAAAACTCCGCCAGTAATCCATGTTACTCCCCCATTACGACGAGGTTTGACAAGCCCCGTGGAACTTGTTGGTTTTTTAGGAGAGTGGAAACCCAGGCGGAGTACATCTGTAGCCGCAGAAAAAGCTATCAGAGCGAGGGAGAGATCAAACTCAACCCACATAAGGTGCCAGTGTGGGGACTCGAACCCAGGTCATATTAGTAGAGGGTGAGTGCTCTAACCACTACTTTACTTGCTTTCCCCATACTCTTGGACTAGCTTAACAGTTAAAACCTTCAATGGCTTACTTGACAGGTGAAGTGCTTGAGGGAAGTACCCCTTGAAGACCACTTATGTAACCCATCAGCTGAGAAATGTTCTCCTCATCAGGCCTCACTGTGGAAACCTTAAGAAATTGGATTAAACTGATAAGCACTGCAGTCACTCACTAAGAGGAATCTTGGTCATGTGACAATTAACATTTATCTTAGTATAACTTAACCCATTCGCCCCTGAGCCGCCATGCCGATCCACGTCCCTTCTACCGCTTGTGACGTCATCAGTTTTAATAATCACAAACAACTTTGTCAGCTAACTTGGGAAGAGTGAATTTATGTTCTCCTAGCTCTCCTAAGATTATGCACCTTTTGTTTTTTAAAAGAGATTAGTAACAGAAATTTTAACACGGTGGCAACTAGGCCTTTCCATTTCTGCACAATCTTACCATCTTAGTAGAACTGGCCGGAAAATTGAAGTCTTTTCTAGATGAAACACGCTGCATGTTTTCAATTTGTGAAAATTATAAAGCTTTGAATAGTTTACATTAACCCATTCGCCCCTAGACATTTTGCCAAAGAACGCGTCTTGAAGCTAGTCGAGCTGTTTTCTGGTCACTGTTGTGCTATAAAGAGCGAAAACGTACCATAAAGCCATTTACAGGTCGAACACTTCGCGGCCTTCCGATCCAGATGCAAAATATTAGCTTGTGAAGTTTGGGTATGCGCAGAAAGCAAAGTTTGGGGGTTTAAAAGTGACACAGCAGTCTTGACTTTTACTTTTCGCTTTCTTTCCTCCCTCTTCTTTTCTTTTGCTGGGTATTTAGTAGACTTCATTTTGGTGGGGACAGTTTTTAGGAAAATTTCAGGTCAATATTACATGGTTTTTTTCCATTTTCTCTGGTGTCCTTGACTGAATAGTGTTCTTTCTGGTCTGGTTTGAAAGATCTCAACCTTAAACACATTAGAAAAGTTGACGCCTTCAAAGAATAGAGGAGAGATTTAATAATGGTTTGAAAATTGCAAAAATTATAGGGAGTTGTATGGAAAACCACTGCGATACTGGGGTGCCAAGAACTGATCTTCCGATACAAATCGTTATAATTTTTGTGGCCATATCCATCACTACTTTTAAGATATGATTCTAAAAACTGACTTGCTGTGAATTTCTTGAGCTTTATCTATTCTTGCTAATTTTTCCTTGATATGCATTGTTTCTCTCTTTACAAAAAGTTATTTAATGGTCTTTTGTGTTTTTTTGCTTAAGATGTGAAAATCGTCACAAGTAACAGATTAGCACGAGAAGAGTATTTTTCTTTTGACAATGTAATATTTTTTGGCCCAACAGCAAAAATGAAAGTCAATAGGTAACTCACCCCTGATGTTTTCTTATTATCTGCATCTTTGGATATCCCTTTTCCCGCAATTTCATTCAGCTAGAAACATGAAAAAAGATCATCTTAAACTGTGACAATCAATACGGACGAATCAAAATGCACCAATGACATTTCAAGTCTTCACAGCCTGAAATAACGTCATGGCTTAACTGACAGACGACCAATAACATCGCAACTAACTGACCAGTCAGGTCATTTCACAAAATGACACCTTACACATGAAATTTACATTTATTTTCTCGGGCCCCCATGATGAGAAATAGTCTTTGGTGTTATTACAGATAACTACAGTCGACTCCCGATAACTCGAACCCTCGCTAACTCGAACCTCGCGCTAACTCGAACCAAAATCGATTTCCCCTGGATTTCCGTCATACATTCACTGTAATTTTACCTCCGGTAAGTCGAACCCTCGATAACTCGAACTCCCGCTAACTCGAACCAATTTTCGTTCCCCTCAGGTCATTTTCTATATAATTTTACCCTCGATAACTCGAACCATGTTTTGAGCCCTTAAAAAGTCGGGAAAAAAGCCGTCTACTGGCGTCCGAAACATTGAATTTTCGACTTCCTATTGACGTGTTGTAGGAGTATAGTTTACTAGTGGAGGCTGATATTGATTGTCACAGGCTAACGTGAAGCAGCTTTACTTCTCAAAACAGTAAAACGCATGCTCTATTTAGGCTATGGTTTGTTATGTTACGTTCTGATTTATAATCTAGGAGTATCTTTTAATTTTCACTTGACATTTCTACAATTAAATGTGATTAAATGTTAAATTAAATTAAATGTTCACTGTGCAGTAAAAACTGTTTTTTACCTTACTCTCGGCTATTTTTTTCGAGCTCCCGATAACTCGAACTACCGATAACTCGAACTTTTTACGATTTCCCTTGAAGGTTCGAGTTATCTAGAGTCGACTGTAATTACATCTACAGCCCTTGAAAAATGTAAAAAAGAATGCGATATTGTTTAAATTATTCTGGTACAAGGTCTTTGTCCACTGATAATTGAAATTACTCAATTTCCTGATGGATTCCGTCTTAACACCATTCACTACCGCACAGGTTGTCGAAACGTCCGTCACTGTCAACAACAGTCCTATTCAGGACTACCTTCACCAGGATGATAATGCCTAACCTACTTACAGAATGTCTCCTGGGTTCAAACCGTTCACAAAACACCACAAGCTTGCAATCTCACCATTATAAAGGATGTGCGGTACAAGATGAGACAATACATACCTTTTTCTGTATGAGAACAGCTTGCTGGGTGCAGTGTTTGAGATATTCTGAGCTTTCCTTTGTGCGACTGTCTGCCTCACCAAACTTAAGACAGAATAATGTAAATAAATATTGATTGATGCACGGCTTTACTAAGATTTCGAGTTGCCAGGTTTATGCAATTATAAGGCGGGGATTTGGTTCTACTTTCCTTTTGTTTTCCATGAAAGTTGTCTGGGGTTCTGCTCATAAAAGCCAGGGGAAATCCCCCCTCTTCCCCCCCCCCCCCAACCCTTGATTAATGCATTGTAGTGTAATAATGTAAGGGCCAGTCAGCGAGACAATACTTGCAGAAATGACAATATCGGCATCATGAATCAAATTTTCTTCAAATGTTTTGGAGAAAGTGGGCTACATTCCATACTAAGAAACAGAAACCGTTAAAAGTCTATTGATTTATCTGGGAGATTTGGTGACCCATATGGGAAACCAAGATATTGGTGCCGTATCCGGGAGAATCGCAGATAAACAAGGAGTGTTGGCACAAATCTGTCAACTATTCTGGACCTGCATTTGTTCTGTCCAGTGTGTTAAGTGTTGAAAACAATCACATCAAAGAAAGTTTAACTTGCACTTCCCTTATGTTACATAACAATTTGCAGATTCTCAGTCATAAACAATCATTTTCATGAGGCTAGAAATTAATACAGACAAAATGAACATGCTTGTCAAATTCTGACCAAGAAAAATATATTATGATACTGAGCTCACGTTGTTTTTTTACCTTGCTGCTGTAAATGCTAAAGGCAGTCTTCTCTGCATTGAGCGCAGCCCGATAGTCATTCACACAGGCCTTAGCTCTTGCAACAAGATGGAAGCTAAAACAAAAATAACAAGGAAGATTATACCGGTAATACCAAATGACAACCAATCAATGAAGATTTACTTGATAAATGTAGCCGTTAGATCAACATATTTCATCTTTTGTTGTAGAAATAGGAATTGGGATAGCCCAGACTTAATAAAATTTGGATTTTTTTTGTTTTGTTTTGTTTTGTGTTTTGTTTTTATTTGTTTTAATTTTTTTTTGAATAATTCAATCTCAAGCAGCCACTTGTAAATTGCCTATACATAGCGAGATTTACAACTGTGCATTCAAAAACAGAAATAAAGTTTCAATTGAGTTTACTATCATTATCATCATCATCATCACTATCACTTTTATTAGAATAAAACAGGGCAGAGGAGTTAAAAAGCATGAGGATAATCTGTTTTGATGACCTGACATTGCTATACAATAATATTATGCCCTGCCAAATATATGAGATTGAATACCCTGATAACAACTATATGAAAAAGAAATAATGGACATCGGCTCCAACTTTAACAGAGCTATATCTTTTTAAGTACAGAAAAGGAAATACAAACAAAAAATACCTCATGGCTGTATGGACACTCTCTGGGCCATGGTACCTAGAAGATATGAAAAACTTAGTACATCAGGAGCAACAGAGCGTTTTTACATGACATCACGGCGGACATATTGGTGTCCCAAAACAATGAAATGGCGGCCATGTTAGTGTCCCAAACCAATCCTGCGGGAGTTGAACTCTTTTCTTATGTGAAAACTTTCTTTTATTCCAATAAATTAGCATGGATGCTGGCCACGTGAGTGAAAACGCACTATACTGCACTTTCATGCAAACTAGTAAATTATTCAAGATGGAGAGTGTTGAAGTTTGTCTTAAAGTTTCACTTACTTCAGCTGCACATCCAGTGCTTTTTCTAAGAACTTTTCCGAGATTTTGAACTCTCTCTGCCCATGTAGGATAAGGCCGATATTGCTCTGATATTCAAACAACAATTAATTAATTTTGATAGTACAGTCGAACCTCTCCACAATGACCACCTTGGGGACAGAAAAAAGCGACCATTGTGAAGAGGTAGCCATTATGGGGAGGTAGGGATGTAGTATGAAATTTTTTTAGGTAGTACAACATGTTTATTGTGCCAAGTTCACACTTACTGTATCCCATAATGTTAGAGAGAGATAAAATACACAAAAAACTTGATTAATAATTTAAATCAAGATGTTAACCTGACAAAATGAACAAGAATCGTGGACAACTCTTGCTTACTGAGGCAGTATAAATGGAACACAATCAAAATACGATTGCCGCAATTAATCACCAAATGCGCCTTATGGAGTAAATTTCATGTCCATTTTGACTTTTTCTTCAGTCACTAAAAAAGAGTCCGTTATTAAGAGGTTATTTTGGCAGTAGGGGACATCTTTTAGTGGCCGTTGCCGTTATGGAGAAGTGGCCGTTGTAGAAAGGTTTAAACAAGAGTCAATGTATGGACTGTCCACCGGGACAAAAAAAAGTGGCACTTACGGAGAGGTGGTTGTTAGTGGAGGTTCGACTGTAGATTTTAAAAGACCATGGAAAGAACAGAATAATTTAAGAAACTAAACACTTTCTGAAAAATAAAGCCAGCATGACAATCAGGATTTCAAAGTATAACTGGCACCTTTTCACAAAAACCTTCTATCTACTATACTGGGTTTCTGATTTCATCATAACACTCTACTTACATCAAAGGTGGCCATATCAGGATGTCCTTCTCCATACACCAACACAGCCAAATATCTTGCACGATACATGAGTTTAAGAGCCACAGAAGCCATGCCGGCATTGTGGCAGTACAGTGCAAGATGAACCTGCCAAGAACATAGAGACTTTGACAAACACTGTCTTCTCTCTCTAATTTTGTCACAAACAATGGTAAGCTGACATTTTCATAAAAACTCCATTCTGGGGATCATTTTTGAAAACCTGTACCACGCATGAGAACATTAGTATTTGAAAACCTCTGTTTTCATCCATCCACACAAAAATGGTACGCTGACATTTAAAAAAAACTCCATTCTGGAAACTTCTTTTGAAAGCCTAGTGTGTTCTTGGTGGCCAAAAACACCCTTTATGTGTGAAATAACAGAAGGCTGAGACAGATTTAAAAAATCCCCGTTTTCAACAACATCCCGGTACGTATGAACGGGGACTTAATGCAGAGCCTTCATGATAACTAGAACTTACATAAGCGATGATTGTATCTGGGTGGTCCACACCAAAGATTCTCTCGCAAACAATCACAGCTTTTTTCTGGTAACTTACAGCCTGGAACATAATACAATATACTAAATTTCAATTAACAGGAACATCCAAGAATATGCAAAAATACAACAAAAATCAAAAAACTTACAGGTATATACCAAAGCATGACATTAATTATTACATTCTTCAAGCAGCCAATGTAAATCAGCAAATTGAAACATAAAAGGTGTATTTTATTGGGATAATCTGGATCAAGATCAGGGATCTGATATCACTCTGATCATAACACATCAAATATAGGAATCGATGAACCCTTTCTCAGAGTGTATTCATTGGGTCCTTTGATGAACTATATGATCAAAGTGATCTTGGATCACTAATCCTGATCTGGTAACTTACAGCCATACCAAGAATGTCTTTAAAATCTTCAGGCAGCCACAATGAATAAGCAAATTTAAATATTAAATTAAGAATACACAAGACTGCGCAAAACCTAACCGTTAGGTTTTGCAAAGTAACAACTAAAGAATAAAAAACTTACAGTCATACTAAGAATGTTATTTATTAAATTGTTCAGGCAGCCACATACAAATATTAAGCAAATTTAAAAGAAGTGATGTTGTTACCTGGATAGCATCTTCTGCTAAGTAATGTAATCTGGCAACTGCCCTGTTAATTTAAAAAAAAATCACATTCATAAATCATCATGGCTGGGTTTAAAGCAAAACTAAACTTCAGACGAAGGCTTAAAAAGGAAAATTCAGTTTAATTCTTTTCCTCTAAAGTTTAATGATTGGATATGCTAAAAAAATAGAAAAAGTTATCCAGGGAAGGAAATGCTTTTGAACAAAAGAAAAAGAAACCCCAACTAAAATTTGACCCAGGCTTAGCACTAAACCGAACAACTGGGCACAGGAATATAAAAATTAATCCCTCTATTTTTTCTTCTACTTTGTATTGTGAATAATAATGTACCTTAAACGTAAAGTTAACAAACAATCCAAACTTGACACTGCAGTTTTTTAGTTTCAAAATTTTACTTCATAGGATCTAGGAACAAGCATTTTGCTTGAAAATAACTGCTAACACTTTTGTGTGGGCCCTACAAGAGTAGACTGTTTACAGTCCCCTATTTTTTCATGAGATCGTCGAGAAATAGCGCGTCTTGCCGTTAATGCCCCGCTCCCTAAGTAGTTTTAACACTCATGAAAGATGGCAGCCTGTAACGCAAAGTGCCCGATCTCGACGATCTCACAGAAAAAAAAGGGGACTGTGAACAGCCTACTACAAGAGTTATATATGCTTATCGTAATTAACTCACCAACAAACGACATAAATTTGAAGTACACTCTGACTTTGGCAGTGGGCTACAGTTGATCTCAGGAATGCCTGATACCCCACCCCCCTCCCCCAGCAACTTAACTTTTGCCTCTGAGTGACAAGAAAAATCTTAGATTATATGCACACAACTATTATTGCCACCTTTGGTTTCATGGGGTTCCAGATTTCTAGTTCTTTAAAATCATTCATCAAGGACAACTTTGTGGTGCAGACTGTGAACAGTCGCCAACTTTCTTGAATACAAGCAGGGTAGCATGTGTGAGTAGCAAAGTCAGAAGAAATAGGGGTGTATTTTGCCGGGAAAGAAAGAAAGAATAAGTCTTTTCGTCACATCTTTTGTCATCATGTCCTAGTCCCAGTTCCTTTTGGCTAAAAACGCTGTTGTTCTGACGCAGTCACTGTAACTGAGAACTCAATGGATCTAAGAAAAAAGGCCAACTACAAGCAGTCTACACCTTGTGGTCCCAAGTGGTGTGGCTTAGTGTTCACTGTAGTGTGGGGTGGAACTCTACCTGTAACATGTGGCAATGTCAGCATGCAAGGGGCCATACACTTGATGAAAAAGATTTAAAGCTTCTACCATGAGTTCATGAGCTTCTCCAATAAGACCTGGTGCAAATCAGAATAGAAATGAGATGCAGAGTTGGTTATGAGTTACAGTTGAACTTCAATATAACAAAGGGCCAAGAGACTGGCAAACAATGTTTGCTATAACAAGGTTTCATTATATCAAGGTTCTTTTCCAAATCAATTTTTTACTATTTCTGGGGTAAAAAAAATAGTTCAATGCACCAAGGACTTCATTTTATGGTAAAGAGGAATCACACTAAGGCTGTGTTTTGTGGATACTTATTTGGTTCTCAAGTAAAACCTACCTCCTTGAAGACGGCCTTGAGCTGCTTCAAATATGGCTGAAGCATCATATGCCTGGTAAAAAAAAATACCAAACTGTTAGTTGTCATAGCAAGAGATCAACATTGATACCGCCAGTTAAAGCTGTGAAAAAAGTATTTTGACTAATCTGACTAAAATGTTGTGTGTTTTGACTATTTTTCCCTCTCTTGGTTCTTGTTGTAGTTTCAGGGATTGAATGGTCTTTATTTTCTACCATTTCTGACTTGGTGCTATTTATTGCTCTTAGTCATGAATGCTCATTCACTTATCAAGCCTTGTTACTCTTAGGGCAAAATTTGCAAACAATACATTTATGTTTAAAAAAGTTTTTATAATGGCAAAGCATTACACAAAGATCAAAAGTACCTTAGGATTGGTATGTTTAACTACTGGAAACAGGTTCATGATGTCATCTTCAGTAAACGTTGGGTATTTCCTACTTTCAAAGTCATATTCCCGCAGCAAGACCTGAACACCTGTTAATGAAACGTAAACAAAAACATAATGATGAGTTAATTCGCTATAGTTAATATCAATGTTGGGAGTTTAAATGCAACGTTTTGGAGCCAATTCAAATGTTGCCATTGTTGACTGTTTTTCTCATGATAGAGACTCCGAATGTGATAATTAACCCAATGTTTCATTGCTTATCATCATCAAGCATTAACATTCACTGTTGGCATGACATTGGAATTGGAGAGCAAAGCTAGCCAAGTGGTGGACTGGGGAGGGGGTTGATCTCTGATTTTTTTCACTCAGTCTCTTGCCAATGTTTTTTGCCTCTTTCCCCACAGCTGAGCCTGGTCCCAGGCTGCATTACAAGTTGAGATGTTTCAAATGACTGTTCATTCATTCGACAACACACTAACTATCTGTAAACAAGCTAATGACACATATTCACATTTATTCCTTATGGCATACACTAGGCCATGCAGACAAGTAAAATATTACCAGTAATGTGGACATGTATTACCTGTTCTTAAACAGAAAGACCTGAGCAATGAAATTCTGTGAATGCGATACTTCAGGAATGCTCCATCACTATTTTTACTGCAATCAACCACACAAAAATTCATTTCACTTAATGAAAACATCATACATTACACCAGCTGTTAGAAATTCAAGAGAAATGAATGCTACTTAAAGCCATACCATGCAAGTTCAAATCCAAAGTTCTTTTTTGTTTCCTCCTCAATTAATTTCCACAAGTCCTCAGGAGTAAGGGTAGCCCAAGCCACAGTTGAAGCTGTAATAGAACAGCACCTCAAATCATGAACAACATCCTTTTTTACAATATTTATTCAGTGAGAAATGTTATATGTACTGACAGTTGTACCTCCATTTCCCTGTGTCTTGACAGGCTTTCTTTTACTCTTTTTCTTTTTATAAATGACCTGAAAATTATAGCGATAAAATAAATATCTATTTAAATCCTAGGATCTTTGAGGAAAAATAACCATGTCTGTCAAATCTTGAAAAAATCCAAGAATGCTGTAAAATGTACCTCTTCTGCTGGAAGATGAGGCAAAGGACTTGGATACAAACTCTGCAATAAAAAAATGTTTCAAGTTGTTATAAAAATGAGATCAAGTGATGGTACAATTTTTTTATCATTTCAAAGCTATAGATCCATGAATTTTCTTTCAACATGATAACCATAAACTGGCCATAATCTGCAATTAAACTCACCAGAAAGCAATTCAAGAAGTGACTAATGGCAACTGAAAGTGTCCTCAAAGTAGCTGAAGTGAGACAAAGAATAAACATCAAAACAAAAATTAGCTTAGCTTCGCTAAAGGAGGCCTTTGGGAAAGCATTATTTTAATCAAAAAACACTTTAAAATGTTCCATGATAAATAGGTTGCATGGGAAATTTAATAGGCAGCCATTTTCATGATGGCATCATTCATTTCATTTCACTTACCAGAATTCAATTCACTTTTGCTTTCTTATCGCAATTTATCAGTCCCACTGAGATTACGAGACATACATAGAATACCCAAAATTCGATCCAGAAGGCAACAAGACTGAATGATTCTGATGTTTGTATTCAAATGGTGTCATCATGTACAATTTTTTCCCACTAGTTTCATTTTAACAGAAAAGCTTCAGTCGGAGACGACATTGTTGAGACATTGTACTCAACTTCAGAGAACAAAATAATCCACAGCCCTCCCCCCTTCCCTCTATTAAAAGTTAAGGTGTTTGTCGGTTTCTATAGAAAGCTTGAACAGCAGCACAATATTGCACCCAGGGAATGGGGAAGGGAAAGCTTTATCTTCTCCTTTTGAAGTCGGTAAAACCTAAGAAAGGCCCTTTAGGGCAAAGTACACTTTACGTGTCTCAACTAATTTTGTTGCCGATTGTAGGTAATGGCCCAAAAAATAAGCTTTGTGTCACTCACCACTCTGCATATGAACTTTGAATAACTGCTTGACAGTCCTAATAATCATCTCCATAACAGCAATTTTCTGAAGAAAAAATCGAAATGCATGACCTATTGCACTGTTGTAATCAGATCTAAAAACATGACAAATCTTCCACGATAAGAAATTTCATGACAGTTCAGTCTTCCCAGTAGGCCACTTTCGAGTTCCAAAAACTCACTTTCAAAATGAGGCAAGGTGCAAAACCTTTCTTGTGAAAATGGTTTCATTTGTATGAGAATAACAAATCATTTTCATATCAACAGCTTTGCCATTGGTGTCGCTTTGAAAAAGAGGATGAAGGCAACTCAGAAACGGCCCATTCAACCTGTAGATGTCATCATAAGATGATACTCACATGTACATGTTCTAAATCTGCCCGTAGGGACAAAATTGATGCAACTTTTCCTAAATACCTCATGTTAATGCCCCTAAAAACAACATAAAAAGTCCGTATTTACTATGTATTCACAGAAATTGTAGCTATCTCAGGAAAAAATAACAGATTCCCATTTTTGAATATTTTAGGGTATTTAAAGAATACCCATCAAAATCCCAAATTTGACAAAGTGAGACAAGTCCCAACCAGGGAATTCCCAACCAAGTTCCCTGATTGGGACTTGTCTCACTCTTCCAAATTTGGGATTTTTGTGGGTATTCTTTAAATACCCTAAAATATCCAAAAATGGGAATCTGTTGTTTTTTCCTGTGTATTAATGAACAGAATCCCTTCAATTAATTGAGTGAGTTGTTTCAAAGTTTAATATTTGAGGATCAGATCTCAAACAAAGTAATGATGCTTTATTCTTCTGCAGAAATGTTTATTTACTGAACAAGGTAATTCTACATTTGTTTGTCTCTAAAGGCATCCACACAATCATAAGTTAAGTAATAATCACGTGCACAAGAAGAAATTAAACCGTTAAAGGCCTATCAACCCCCCACATCTTAAAATCTTGAGTCATGATGCACAGCACATGACGTCATTTATTTTGTACAAAAATACTCATTGACTCTGATCATCACAAATGGTTGCCATGACACAAAGTGCACGAAAAAGATGTTGCCGGCATTGCAGCATTTGACCTGACTGGTTTACTTCCCACCAATCACATTATTGCTTATATCAAAAATGTAATATACCAGAGTTTATGAGGAAATGTTCGAATTTAATTTCATTGTTGGAAAGTCGAGTCTACAAGAAAAGGCAAACTTTGGCGATTGTCTGGGAGCTAGATTTCAGACTCTAATCTGGAGACCAGGAGATAAAAAAAATCTGGAGAAATCTAAAATCTGGAGTCTCACGGACTATCCGAAAGTGTTGACAGCACTGCTATTGTTGAGCAGTGAAAGGAAACAGTGTTATTAATTCTTATTTCTGTTACAAGCAGATTTGTAAAAAATACCCTCTCTTCAAATAAAGCCCTTTAACCCCAAGAAAGTTGTTCCAAATCGCTAGTCTGTGGGTGAAATCTTATGGCGACCAATCAAAATGGCATAATTTTTTTGAACAGAGCTTTTACAGTCAAAAAAAGAAGGGTCTTAAGCATTACCTGTTATGCATGATGTCTGTTAACTGTGAACCATCAAGCGGTGTCTGAGATAAACTGATAAAATCCTCAACCTGACAAAATTAATAAAAATTGCACAGGATTTGAACTCTCTTTTATTTCAGACCTTGTTGTAGGCCTTTTTTGCCTTAATTTTACACTAGTTTGGTTAACCCTCAAACTTAATCTCTCTATTTAAAAACAAATCCGAAAACAACATCATGACATCACTAAAAGAACTGTAAGTTAAAGGAATAAATACTATTTACAAACAATCCTTACCATTTTTATAATTACAGTTTCAACTAAAAAGTCAGATGCATCTTGTACCAGTAATTTGTCAGAGGACAGAGCTCCTTCCTAGAGATAAAGTTTAAAAACACAATCAATTATTATTTAGCAGCATTTTCTGTCTTCTATGGCTAACATTTTATCCAGGGTTATTGAGACTAACTAATGAGGTGATTCCATGGTAAACTCAATAAAACGTTTACACGTGTAAACAAAATATGTCAGTGGCTATAATTTTCAGAATGTAAAAACAGTTAGTAGCTACTTGTAAATTTACACTAATAAAAATTTTATTATTGGCCGAAACATGTCTTTATGTTGTGTTAGAACGTTAATGGACAAAAAGTGAATGTAAGTTTGGTCTCACCTCAGAAGATGCATGCTTTATACCAGGAGCATATATATCGGGGTTAAATCTGATGTCAAATTCTGAAATAAAAACAGTATTGTTAGGGAGGCAATTTAAGCTTGCAGTCTTGTTTTGAGATAAAAATTGAAACCGTGATTAAATAAATGTAGCCCTCAATAGATAAAATGGCTGTTTTTCTGAACTGTCAGTTACATGCAGTCAAAAACTATACCTTTTATACATGCTTCTTTCTGTACAATGATGGTTTTTTCGTGTACAAAAAAAGCCAGAAGCAACATGGCATTTAACACCATCAAGACAAACTAGAGTCATTATATAATTAGGAACACAATGAATGAGTTTTCTTGATGTTTAACTCCCTTAGTTTATATGTACATTATTTTGCTATCTTAGACTTCTTAATACTGAAATTTATTTTTTTGCACGTTCTGATTCAAAAAATTGTTAAACAACAACTCCGTGGATTAAGAAGTCCTTGTACAAAATTTTTTACATTAATTATACATATTTTTAATTTTATTTTTTTTTATCATCTAGTCATAATTTATGCAGGACCCCTTTTGAATTCCAGCCAATGGCTGATAGAGCTACCTTGCCTAAATATAATTGACTTGAATTGACTGGAGAAGGCGGAGAAGAAATAAAGAGAGAGCCAATCTGCACAAAAAAAAAATGACTTTGGCAAACAACCTGCATCATTGATTGATCCAACAGCTTTAGCTGCTGACTTGATTGCATCTGCAGAAATGTCACTTGAATCTGGAACAATAAAACGGAAAAAAAAACACTGTTTAAATCTGTTTGTTTGGGGACCACTGTCCCAGTATTCCTTGTTTCCACCCTGATCACAGCTATTTATTGTAACAGTCTGACACAATAATTTATTATTTGCAAGTTTTAAATTTCACCTGTAGCATTTGCAGCAGATGACTCTGTGTGATTGTCTTGACTTTCTTCAGCTTCTTTAACAGCTTCTTCCAACTTTGTATTCTCATTGCTATCCTTATCACTACTATTAAGTCGGTTTTTGTACGGACATTCTGACTGCTGCTCACCATTGGCTTCATCGACTGGCTTTTCTTCATTTTTGTTCTGATACAAAAATTCATTAATTACAACAATCTTTACTTGGCTTCCAAACAAGTCCAATGACACAACTTCAGAGTTGAGTCATAAAATATGGGTTGATCTTTTGTGAGCAACATCTCAATAATAACAATTGTTTAGGTCAGTTACAGAATGTAAGCAAGCTACAACTAGTCATGTTACAAGTGGCCAAAAAAGACATGTACATGCATGTAACCGCCAGCATCAAGTGTAGTTACCCGCTTATCTTTTCAGTTGTCATAATAAGGAGCTTAAGCAACAACTTTTTGAGCGACACACGTCAACAGGAAGTGAAGCATTTTCCCTTTTAGTATGCCTTTAACCTACAAAAATTGTATTCTTCAGTGCCTTTTCTCTTATGGAGACAATTTGCTTGAAAATGTGGTCAAAATCACACCCTTTGCAAAAAGGCTACTTCTGGTTGACATGCATCACTCACAAACATAGTTGCTTAAGCTCTGTAATATATTCAATACTGCAATGAGCACCACTCTTTCACCATGCAATAGAAAATTTAAAAATTAAGGGAGAAAAAACAGGAAGGGAGTTATATTTGAGATACACTTGTAACAGGACTGAAAAATACGAAATATCAAGAAAGAGTACAAAGTTGCTTTTAAAGACAAATTTGACATTTTTTTTTCTCTTCCACAAACCTGCATTTCTCTCTGTTTGGCAGCTGACACATGCATGGCAACCAGTTTCAAGAAAAGTACATAGCGGAATCTAGGATAAAGTAGATCCAATTACCATCTATTCAAGAAAAGTCAAAGCTGTTTTCAAGAGGTTTAAAACAATACACTGGGATAACAAATAGAAGTTCAGCCATCACAGCAAGGGAAAAAATTAACAGCACAAACTTCCAACACTTACGCTATAAATCCTTCAATCAGCTCAGGTCTTAAGCAGCAAAGCTTGTGTTTATAAGGCCGAGGAAACATTGACTTAGTCTCTTTATCATCAACATTATCAGATGCTTGTTTGTTTTCTGTGAATTTAATGATAGTTTAGTCAATGTGAGACAATCAAGTGTGGATAATAACCATTACTATTAAAGACAAATTTCTGAGATTTTGCTAGCAGGCTACTTTAAACTATAGAGATAATAAAAGTTATTGTAAATAATTAAACTGAAGTAGCTTTCTTGTACCTCCAAGAAAATTTGCATCCGGAGGAAAAGTTCTGAAGAGATCCAGAATGTAGTGTCTTCCATCAGCTCCAATGATTCCCTTAAAAATAAAAAGAACCAGTATCTAAATAATGTTCTTAATGTTTCACACTGAGGAATAAAACCTTCAAAGTTTACCTTGCATTCCACCGAAGAACACAAATCAACTTCTTCATCACTGGAATTTATAACCCTGAAAATAGACCACATCACATCAGAAGAAAAGATAAAAGTGACACTTAGATCAAACTACTAAGTGTTGGTATCATGTACGAATACAACTTTGGAATTTCAAATCAGAAGCCTTTAGTGTTGCTACCATCACATGAAAAAGACCTTCATAGCCTCTGTAAGGTGTACTATTTGAGCGGCCAGTGATTAAAACATATACTGGTAATCAGCTTCATACTTGTGGTCTAATCTATATTATTACTGTATTATTAAACACCCTGATGAGGGACACTTGAGCAGCATCCACCAGCAAACTCTCAGCCTGTGTGGAAAACAAAATGGACTGGGTAGCCAGGTGACTAGCTCAGCTGAGTCCGCCTGAATGAATGAATGAATTTAACACTCACTTGTGTGGCCTTATTCTGATAGACTTGCCCGCTTTACTGAGCTAGAATATAAAAATAATGATAACAAAATTGTTAGTTAATTGTCAGGTAGTCAAGAGCATTCTAAAAAGCAGATGTAATACTGTGCAATATTGACTCACAGAAAAAGGAATAAAATACAGACGAATCAGTTGGAACTCTATGTATCTTAGATGCTGTATTAAATATGTACAAGTCTTTATCTCGCATGAACCACATCATAATCAGTTTTATTATATAAACACCAATGAAATACCAGGTGAGCTTTCGTGCGAAAACTTGATATTTTCACTAGTGAAAATAACATGTTATCTTCACACGTGAAAATATCACCGTTGCTATGGCTACATAATAAATCGCACCTTTCACACCAAAAAACTCTTAAAGTGAAACGGTTTGGTATTTCATTGGTGTATCTCCGCGCGGCCATGTAATATCCTCTATACAACACTTTCTTTTTTACAACAAATTTTACTTTTATGAACAATCAACAGAGAAGTGTTGCTGAAGGTAGATTAAACAACCATGAAAATGCAACTCATTTTGCTGGAGACTGTAATCAAAAGTATTTCCTTAATTACCAGCTCCAAGAATTTGTCATGGCTTGAAATGCTTTTGCCTGAGTCAACAGAACCATATACAACAGACTGCTCCTGTTCACGCTGAAGTATTCCTAAAGAAAAACAACAACAAAATTATATGAAAAATTATAGGTGTATCTATAACCTAATTGGAAAGGAACTGACTGGATGACATGAAAAGTTGATAATAACATATTTTAAATAACATAAAGCAAGTCTGATCATTTCAAAAGCCGAGTAAGTCAGCCAAAATATTTCAGTGGAAAGCTGTTAATTTTCCAGACAAATCCTTTCAATTAACAAGGAACAAACATGACAGTTTTATGGTGGCAAAACACTTCCCAGAATCCAAACACACCCCCAGATTCCAAAAACACTTCCAAGAATATGAAAACACTTCCCAGAATCCCAAAAAACATTTCAGAAACCAGATTCTGGGATGTGTTTTGGATTCTGTATTCTGTAAATTGGTATTGTACAAAGCAAAACTTGAAAGTTTAACTCAGGTTAATCTTATTGCCATGAATAGGGCAAAAACTTAAAATCCTGGAAGTGTTCACCACAAAGATCAATTAATTAGAACACAACAGCCTTATTATTGTAAGAAGTGAGCACTTTCCTACCTGGTATAATTGACTGAGCAATCACTCTATAACCTCTGTAGTCCACAATAACTGTACTTAGAGTGTACAGACTCTGCAAAGGGAATTTCAATGTGTTAGCTAGCCTTAGGTCAACTCAACTTTCTTTGAAGAAGATATCTAAAGGAGAGTGCTGCTCCCCATGTACATATTAATTTAACAGTTACTGATTCGAGTGACTCCAAATCTAATGTCAAATTCTCTCTCTGATTATGAGCAAACACAGAGAAAATAGCAGGAGAATCTAGCAGTTGATCTGCTATCACTTGGGTTTTATTCCAGGCACCTCTTCTATTTACTATTTTATTATTAATTAATTTATAACTTTTTTATATGGCCAAGAAATAACCCACCTGTGTATCTAATCTATTGTAGGCCATCACACCTTTTAGATCTCCACCCTGTCATAAAGATCAATCACCAAATTAGCTTTCTTTGCAGTTATGTTAGGTTCATAATAACATTTAACAGACAATAACAGTACAGTAGCTTCTCTCCATTCACTACAGAACATCATGAAAGGATTACAAAGCTTCTCAAACATTTCTACCATTGGCTTCTTTATCACACATGAGTTTTTGCTGCATTATCACTTTAACAGGAGGATACACTGAAGGATACACTGAAAGACTTCATTTTAAGTATTTATCATAACTTTTACTACTATCTCAAAACCCATTGTAACAGTCCAAACTTACAGCAGCAGCATAAGCAGCATCATCACCTGGGAAGAAATAAGTATAACATCACTACAAGGTCTGTAAGTACTTTCAAAGGACAAAACTACTGTAAACTTGTTTGTGTGCACATGTGTGCATGCACGGTGGATATGTATTTTAGTGCTCATCCCTGGAATTTACTTTTGTTAAATTTGGCTAATGACGCATGGCTAAAGAGGCATGGTCTGGAAAGCATCAAATCTCTCAGAAAAAGTAACCAATCAAGTCAAGGCATTGTAAATCTCTTTTATTTTGTTGTACTTATATATCGTAATTTTGTGGCCAAATGTTTTTATTTGTGGATAAAATGATCAGTGCATTCATGTTGATTCTCCACACTGCCTGCTTCGAAAAGCTTTTGCTAAATGTAGGCAGTGTGTATGTTACAGGTCAAAATTAAATTCAGGTTAAAATTTTTTGACCTAACCTAGATTGACAAAGGAAATTGAGAATCAGCCTCGGTTAAAAAATTTTAAGCTAAATTTTATTTTGACCTGTAACATGTATGTATTATATTTCTTTGTTGTGAATAAAAATGCTATTTTTGTTTTGTTTTGTTGTTGTTCTTTTTACATTCATATCCAAAAACCAAGTAATGCTAAAGTTGGCTATAAACCACATCAATTAAAGTGGTATGAACATCTTTAACCCTTCAAACATTAATATCAAAATTTAAATACTTATTCACAGATCATAGCTATTATTCAAGTTATCGCCATCTCATAAAACACTGATATGATGAAGGAGAAATTACTATTATGACCACTCCTACGGCTTAAAGGCACAACGTTTTAGTTTAAAAAGAGGAAAATACAGGTCACTTTACCTCCCAGTTCTTGGAAGTGGTCTCTGCTATCAAATGCAAAACTGAAGAAAATATTGTTCCATATAAACATTCTCTTCCTGCAAAAGTGGTACAAATGAGAATCACTCAGTGAAATAATATTAAACAACAACATGAAAGCATAAGGACAATATTAAAGTGACTTTTGTTACTTTTCATCTTCTCCCGGATTGATAGCCATTACATTTCCATCTACAACAGCAACAGCCCCTCTGGTCGCAGCTGCCACAAAATCACTTGTGATCTGATAACAAACAAAACCTGGCATGAAATCTTAAACAAACTGATGATTTACCTGTAGGGTGAGACAAGAAATGACTCTCTAGTTCAATATCATGAGTAGACCAACATTGACTCACTGACTGACTGACTGACTCACTCACTCACTAAACTATTTAGATATTAATCAGGGGTTTCAATAGTAGCCGGGTAGCGGGTAGATCTACCCGCTTGCAACGGGCCGATTACCCGCTTGGAGCCTTCACATGAACGTCAACTAAGACCAGATAATTTCATCTCAGCTTCGAATTCTTGCCAAAAAATTTAGCAAAATAGGTTTTGACTGTGACTACTTCATTGTAACATAATTCTCTTCAAATTTGTTTAAATTAGTTGACTTAGGAGCAAAAAAATGAAACAACAAAGCAACAAAAAAAGACCTGAAAATGCATCTGCGAGAGTCTAGAACTTCAAAATTTTCGGGCCTTCGGCAAATATACCCGCCTGTTACTCTTAAGTACCCACTTGTGCAGAAACTTATTGAAACCCCTGTTAATAATAATTATAATAAGACTGGCCAGTTGATTCATTTACTGAATATACCTTAAAGATAGCTCTGTCTCTCAGAAGTCGCTGTTGCATTGTATCCTTTGGCAACTCCCTTGCCGACTGTAGCTCTTCATTCCAATCACGTAACTACAACAAAAAAATATCAATAAATTCACACATACAGTGCTCAACTATCCAGGAAGATCATCAGTACACTCCTTAATCAAAACAGAAAGAACATTGTGTGACTGGATCTAAAGAATGTAGAATAAAGATCCCGTGAAGGAATCAAAAGCTTGTGCATGCTAATAAGTTTTCTTTTCTGGGATTTGACCTCATTTACTCTAAATATCACTATGACAGGATCAAGTAACTCTTTCTTCGCTAAGAATGTTGCAATTTCAGGCAAAAAAATTCTCTAACCTGTCCCGGCATGTGTTCTTCATATCCAATTCTAATTGCAGCAGCTGAAAAAAATTAAATTGAAAAATTTCCATTAGTGTAACCTACAACTATCACATCACAACATCACCACTGAAATAAGTTAAGCCTTTGTGTGAAATACACAACTGTTTAATCATGTTATAATAATAAATAATTAATTTTGAAATTCTGGCACTACATACATGTATGCAGGAAATACCTAGAAAATTTCGACTAAAAAAAGGTCATGGGGTCAACTCCTATTGAGATTGTTTCTGAGTAGCCTTTACAAAATTAATGTATGTGTCACTGACAGAAAAATGTCAATCTCATATATGACAATCGTATGTACGATCATCAATCATATGATTTACTATCTCATATCACTGCAAGTATAATATGCCATCTATGGACATTCCAGTCCTAGTACATACTAGTCTCCTGTAGCTCTGTGGGACAGCACACAGCACTAGTATCCAGAAGGTCACAGGTTTAACAGAACAACCTTTATTTTCAGTAATTTATGATGAAACACCTACCATCTTCTGCCCTTAAAGTGTCAATAGTGTGTTCTGCTTGAGGAACAGCCCATGGAAATACTAAAAAGCAAGAACAAGAGATAACTGCAGTGAAATTTACTTTAGTTACATGTCACAATGTACGTGCAGCTACATGTAAATATGAACTACAGTACCTCCCAAAATTATATTTCCAAACAATTTTTTAATGGGAAAACATCATTTTCAGACCCACGCAATACAAATAACCATCATCATCAATGTCAACCCTTAGAGGGCCAAATAGTGAACAGGGATCAACAAGATGGGAACAACCACTGGGAATTTGAATTTTGGACTACTAGTTCTATTTCACAGCCCTGCAAACCATCTATTAAGTAACAAGTAAACATGTGCCAGGAAAAAAAATTCTAATCTTAAGATTGACATACCTTGATAAGGAGTTGGAATAACTTCAAGTGGGTGTCTTTTTAAACTGAAAGAAACAATCAGCATTATTAAGATTGTATTTTGAACAGGCCCATCACAAAGTAAGATCAACTCTAAAATACAACCATTCTCCATTTTGCTAAAACATCAAGATTAAGGTACAGATAATATTACAATATGTAGCCAAACCTTGTCTTCTGCAGTTGAGTGAAGTTTTTCCTGAACATTGGACTGAGCTGGAAAGAAAGCATACATACATTGTCAAAAGTTGAAGCCATACATTGTACAATGCATGCCGCAGTTCTCTTTATATCTTCAAGGATAAAGACAGTAACTGTCTTGGTGCTTACAAAATTAAAGGGTGTCCTCTAGTTATCAAGTTACTGATACAAAAATAATTGCTCAAAGTTCTTAGTAAAACGTTTTTTGGAGCGAATTTGACCCACTAAAAGTTAACTGCCTGGAGAGTTATCAAGGGGAGCTTGCAAGGAAGATAAGCCCTCTCTGGAGGCTTTTGAGGAAGTACTGTAGGTATGCATATCTCTTGTTAGCCAAAGAAAACAGATGACATTTTGTGACACCACCAGTGGTTCCCCCGCTAATAATGTGTGAGGAACAAACACATTATTCCATACTGATGATGTGCACTACCCAGATCTGGGTAGTAATATTTTGACTGGTCTTGCTGCAAGGAAAATTTGCTTCAACCAATCAGAAGCATTACCTGGATCTGGGTAGCGACCCCCCCAACCATGTCATCTGTATGGATACCTAGATCTGGGTATTGATAACCATGTCATCAGTATGGAATTTCTGCAGCCCCTTCTCAGACTAATGTCGGCTGTTTTCTGATCACGCTAATCTTTTGTCTCAGTTTCAAAACTGTTCATTTTACACACTGAGGAGAAAGCAATGCTTATGTTAGTATTTTGGTATTGTCTTCCGGATGCCTTAATTAAAGTCAGTTACAAGCAAAATTTCATGTCATATGTTACCACGTATGTCTCTGTTTCAAGGTCTCGCGTATTATGGCAATCTACCCTAGCACTAATGGGCCCCTTTGTCACTGAGTTCTTCAATGATATTTGCTTACCTGGTTTAACAATCCTACAAGGGAGTGGGAACGGCATGGTTCACTGTGAGGTTGGGGATTGAATATTCCATCATGAGTTCTGAAAATAGCCAAGTACTGATCAATAACACTCAATCTAGCACAAAATATGGCCAATTTTTAAAGAAGGCTGCTAACAGCAAATAATAACTGACTAAACTTATAAACGGTAGGTATATAGAATATGATTGTCCGCGTGAAAGCAGTCCTGAATAGGACTTTTGTTGTTGACAGTGACTGACATTTTGACAGCCTGTGTGATGGTCAGTCAAAGTGATATGTATCACGTCAGTTGATCTTACTAAACTTACTTGTTAATAAAAAATCCAGATGTTGAGGCAGTGACATTCACGTGGACATCCTCTAATGTTACAACATCAATATAGAGGAGGTCACCTAAAGAAAAGTTAAACATCAAGAGTTAGTGAAAAATAAAGCTAAGCCAGTACTTCAATATTATACTACAGCAATCTATGTACAGTGAGTGATATTGGCATTCTGCATGTAACACCAAAATAATGTCCGTAGTTACTCATGATTAGGTGAGCAAGTGAGCAGTGAAATTGGGGCATTATTTTTCAAAGTGATATTTACAGCAGCAATATTGTTGTTCCAAAACAATCAACAGGCAGCCATGTTGGTGTACCAACGAAGCCAATCCTGACAGACTTTAACTCTTTATATGCGACCGATAATTACTTTTCTTAACCAGATTTTGCTTAGATGCTGGCAATATGAGGGACCGGTATCAAAAACTTTAAAAGAGTGAGCTTTGGTTGCCAAGAAGCTAACATCTTCCAGCCATGGATGATGAACTGTATGTCGATGAGGCCAATAAGTTGTTCAAATGTTGCATAATCAGGGTGTTCATTAGGCATCAGAGATCAGAGAATTCTCCATTTACTATGCAGAATTCTCCGCCTAACGTTCGGTAGCTTTATGACTATTTTTTATTCAGATGTGGAACCTCATTCAAAATATTCTCTGGTAACGTTAGACCTTTCTCCTGCTACTAGGATTCTTAATGAAAACCCTGGATAATGCTGTCCACTGAATAAATCGCTATGCATTGGATGACTGTCAGGGAAACCCATTGTGTTATGCACTGGATGCAATTGATTTATTCAGTGAACATCATCCATCACAAGAAAAACTGTGGCCTGGATTTAAGTCTTGCCAGTGCCTTCTTTGATCCTAAAACCAAAAAAAATGCTCCACTCTGTTGTTTTTCACCCAGTCATATAGATCCGGCTTCCTGCAGCAAACATGTTCTGCTTAACAGCCAGGATTATGACCATGTGATGGACTGTCATCCCATACAGTGAAGAGCAGTCATACTTTAACATGCTCCACAAACTGGGATAAGCTCTAGAAATGTTGGCCTCAAGGCCTATGGGCACCTTTACTACCTACCTATCTACAGTGACACAAGAACAAAAATATGAATACAAAAAATTAAATGTTCTCAAACCTGCAAGACGTCTTCCTCCGGGAGGAGGATTCCATGCACTGGGAGACAGTTCCTTCACACATTGTGGAACCTGAAAGCCAAAAATGGTTCCATTCAAAACTCTATAATCCATGTATTATAATACAATCTTATCATTAGATCACTCGGAGATAATTTACTGGTACTGTTTACTGCTGAAAATAATAAGGGGCTGCAAGATGGACGGTTTGTCCAATAAACAGGACTAGATTTGTTGGAAACACAAATAGATACCACTGGACTTCCTCGTCCCTATTTGTGGAAGAAATTGGCTAAAGATCACACTATATACCAGAAAGCGTTTTGAGGCACCAAGAAGAGTTATCTGGTATGGTATGGACAGCAATGGCCTGGGGTGGCACAAGTCATTCGCACACATCAAACATCATGCTAGTGCAGTTGTTGGCCAAGACGGTTTACTTTATACTGTTCTCACTCCTGAATATTTACTTTCATCTTAGAGGGCTCCAGTCCCCTCTGCACCAAAGTATACACAAAACCTATCTGATGACCAACATGTGATGCTCCACTTTCAAGATTGATCACATTGTTTCACTCCACCACAGAAATTGTGCTGCCGCAACCATACATGTGTGTGAACAGAGGCCCTAACAGGTATGATTTCCATGGTGGCGCAAAAGCTATCCATTATAGTGTGAACATTGCCTTAAAATATTAATTTTATAATGTTATGTAGCCTGCTTGTCTCAGGTCATGACTTCAAGAACAACGTACATTACATGAACATAGGAGGCTTGTCCTGGGTCATGGCTTATTTTAGTGCCATAACCTTAATTTTTTAATTTTTATTTATAGTACACATAACTATGAGAACCTCTGCAAAAAAATCAATTTGGATACACTTATGTCATTTTCTTTTAGAATTTAGAATGTGGTAATCCACGACCTGAAATCCAGTAACCCCAGTGGACTCTTGCTGTTGATGAACAAGAACCATATTGTATGTATCCATGCAGGTTTAAAAGCGGAGACTCTTTACCAGTATCAGGAGGAGCCTTTTTTCTACGATAACGAATGAAACAAACAGATCGACACACCTTTGGTTCTGCATTTGCTGGAAAGAGTGGTTCTAATAAAGTTGGTATTTCATCTGTTGCAAAAACTTGTGCAGGGGGAAGACACTCTTCAGTAGATACTGTTCCAACATTCTGCCCTTTGACTCGTGCAACTTCCTCTGTATAAAAAATTACATCTCCAAATGAAGTTCAATGCAATTTAACTATTAGTTAACAAAAAAGGGGGGATGCTTCATACTGTTTAGTAGCTACCAGATCTAGCTTGAGTCATTAGCACATGTGTGTATAGTACAGTATATACAGTCACACAGCAGTGTCAGTGTTCTCCTCATCAGGGGGTAACCGGTAAAATTTACCACTTAAAGCAACAACACTTCTTACCGCCTGCATGGGCCATGCATTTTGGAAAGAGAACATTGAAGACAGAGTAAAAATTTTGGAATCAATAGTTTTAAATTAGGAATGACATTTCAGAGAACTTAGCTCCTAAATTTCCCAGCAAGGGTGAGGCCATGTCTCGCACTCAACTAACCCCCTGCCCCCAGGACTGTGCACCACTGGTGCATATTTTTTGTTGTACAGGCTATGAATGGTCCCTTACCTGTTGAGCTAAAATTTAGGGAGAACACTGAGTGTGCATGCGGCAATATATGTATGTACATATTTTTGTATCTGTTGTTGTTGAGTAATAATTATTACACCCTTGGTTTAAATTTTATTTTCTTTTGTGTTTGGGTATGGTAGTGTATGTTAATGGCTTTGGAAAAAAAGAAAAATTAATAAAATTTAAACCAAGGACATGTTGGACACGTTGCAACAAGCAAACTCCTCAGAAGTCATGCATCGCTGGCCTAGATGTGCTGCCACTGCAGGGCATTGTTGTGTTGTGTTGTTGTTGGTGTAGGCTTCAGTTCGAAGTGCCAGGGAAGTGAGGCTTTTCAGCAGTTGTCAATACCATGCACCCTCAAAGGTTTTTTTTTCTCTCTATTGAATTCATGGATGTCAACTGTTTCCATGGTTTTTTCAAGTGCTCTGACAGAGAAGGTTCTCTTATCATTAAAGAGCACTCAGAGCAAAGACTTACAAGAAGTTTCTAATGATGAAAGCATTTCCAATTATTTCATCAGAAGCATATAACCCTTGCTTCTGTTTCATTGATGTGAAGGATTACAATGTCAAACCAATGTGGTCCTTGTGTGCCAAGTGAAATTATAGCCAAAACACTCTTATAGTTTGCGTAAAGGTTTTCAGGTTTTTTATTCATTTGATTGTATGAAGAGACAGGAGCTGAGGGCAAATTGCCAAGGAGTATAAATTCAAGGAAACAAAAGAACAAAGGTATCACACCAAGAAGGGAAAAAATTTTCCTCTGAATGGGAGCTTTTTTTCAAAAAATTATGAATTTCCTAAGCTGCATGCAGATCTATTTATCATTCTTTATTGTTTTTATTAAATGGAATGTCACGCAGCATGTATTGACAAAGGTTATGTGGTTGTAACTTACAGTGTGTAAATGAGTGGATAAAGCTTCCTCTGACAGACACTTAAATTCTGGCCTATTCCTCTTAATCTTGACATTAAAGGGTGTCAGATCCTATCACATTAATATCGCAAGAATGGCTCAACTGTGAACATGTTCTTCCGAGTGCTCGAGAAAGGGGGAAAGAATCTCCTCTAGGCAAACACGGGAAAAACCATGAAAATTAGTGATTTGATGTCCACCAAAAGACAGGTTTCAACCAAGGAAAAAACTCTTTGAGGGTGCGAGTTAGTGGTAACTGCTGTAAAATAGTCACACAATGGAAGTTGACAGTCAGGCCAATCGCTAAATAGTGTCCCCCAAACTAAAGCCAACGTACATGTAGTGGTCCTTTCTTGAGTTACTCTATGCATTCTTTATTGCTCATGCATTTAGGTATTCTCAATGAAGCAGTGACATTAATCAATGTCTTTTCGCTTACAGGAGGAAAAAATGCACTAACAAAATGGGTTTGGACAAAAATTTCTGGAGACTGTACTAGTCACTTTACATTTTCTTTATGTCTGGCCAAACTTAAACTATAGAATACATGTAATTAAAACAATTTTTAGTGTGACAGCCACTAACCTTCTACGTCAATCCCAGCTACTGCAGAGAGAAAAGACAATGAAAGATGGTCCACAGCAGAATAGGCATTTATGTGGAAGTTTGTACTTAGAAGATCTTTTATCCTTCGCAGATGAATGCGGGCTTCTCTTACTGAATATGGCTCTGCAAAGAAAGAGGGACAAATTCTTCAGCTACAAAAAGAAAATTTTAATGACATATATTGTCTAGTTTCCTATTAAGGAAAAAGTATCCACTCACCCAAGTCCAGAAAATAGTTGATGTATACAGCAGAACTTGGTGTTAAGCTTTTGTAACAAATTTCCCCCTTTGTTCAAACAAATTGAGTACATTCCAATGTCTACATCACAAATCAAGTGGAATGCTGGGTTGTTTCACAAGAAAGTTTTGACCATTTCATGATTAAATAAGTCTATTTATTTTTTATTATTGCTGTAGGGAGCCTAAACCCATGAAATCTTATGCATCCAGCATATAAGTTCTATGAAAAATAAAGGGCTGGTTATTAAAAAAGAATTTAAAACCTGTTAAACGAAACTGCATAGCAAGTCCGTTATAAGGTTGACCAACCCTTGCATCTAAACGTTGTTTACTATTAACAGCTTAACAAAGCCAGACCAGACAAACGTCCACCCACTTAATAAGAACAAACAAACAGATGTGGAGGTCGATTTGGTGTCTTAAATCACCGCCAGCCCTAATAATTTTATTCCTAGTTGCTCAGAAAGTTAAGCAAGTCATCATGGTAGGTCTAAAATACAGGTCAATTTCCATGGATCAAAGTACAGGTCACCACGCTACAAACAAGTAACGTCTCCTAGCCTTAATCACTTTTCAAAAATTGTTTTAGATCAAGGGTAAACTGTTTGGCACCCAAGTTATTATTATAGAGCAGTGAGATGAATTCTTGACCTGTGGAATGTGACCCATACTTTAGACCCTGCACATTGATAAAAACAATTTGGAGTCTGGGAAGGTCATGTGCAGTTACCAGGGGTAAGGTGATTTTATTTGAAGGGGGGAGGGGAGCTGGATGCACATTAAAGTTTTGCAGAAGTTGGGATCTCTGAAAGTACCTTCTACAACTTTGACTACAGCTCCATCTTTCAAGCCTTCAATCATGTGAAGCTCTGCAAAATCGTCCAGTCTTACTCCATCGATCTGAAGTGAGAAACATGTTCTGTGGCAGCTCTCTGGTCGATCGAGAACGACTTGTCGCAGATCTTGCACATTGTCACGAAGGGAAAACTGAAGAAGACACGAAATGAAAAATAAGGCAGTGTTAATTTTTACAAAAAACTTCTCAACATGTTAAACTAAACTAAGGAATAAAAAAAACAGACACAATTCCCACCATAGCAGAAATTGGTTCACTCGTCCCAGGAATTAAAAACTGCAGATTGACTGTTCCAGTAGGATCAATGTCATCTTGAGTCTCTGCAACAGTAGAGAGGAATATTAAAAAATAAATCAATAAATTAATTTTTCTTTGAATAGTAAGATAAAAACTCCTAGGGTAAAAACAAAAAATGACGAGCAAAAGACATGGAAGCAAACTCCTATTTTCAGCCTTGTCACAAACCACAAGAATCCTGTTCAATAACATTTTGAAAAATTTTCGCATCCACAATGATCTCAGGAAAGTAAAGGTAGTTTAAGGAAGAGAAAAATCTCCTCTTTGGTGGCACTCAGGCATGCAATAACTCAAAGCAAATCATATCGATCGACTCATTCGCTAAGACCCGCAGTCAAAACAAAACTCTTGAGGCCTCACTAGTCTTGCTTTCGTGCAAACTAGACCTGATCCGGCCGAGAGGTCCGCTATATTTGCATTCGGTGAATACCCTTCACATTAGGGCTCTATTTCAGCTCAAGACCTATCATGCTTCTCTAAATTTCCAACTATTTTTAAAGTATACATATCCTATACCAACAAATGGTATTGGAATCAGTTTATAATAATTTAGCCCACTCACAGTCACATAGTGGCTGATCCTCGGTGTAAAAACTTGTGAAACTTATGAGTGACGTAAAACAATGAATACAAAGAAGCCACTGAGACGTCAACACAATGGAGCCAAGGAAAATAATAGATAGAAAACAAAGAAAAACTTCACAGGTTTTTACACCGAGGTAAACCCCACATAATTGTTGCATCTGTTTACAATGCTTAAAGTAGACAATAAGTCTGTGCAGCAACTGCTATTCAAAAATTAAACTTAACAAAAATTGAGGAACTACAGTTTTAGTAAAACAGTCTGTAGTTAATTTTTCTATCATTCAAAACACAACAAACAATAAACAATAATTATTTCAGTTCAACAGAAGCATATAATATATTCAATAACCATGACCACTTAAAATGTCACGGAGGTGACAGATTTCCATCAGGATTACACAACTTAATTCTTGAAAAGGTTAAGTGAGAACTTTTCCATTTTTTTGGTCTTCTAGGGAATAACCTTGTAGTACTTTTTACCATGCTCAAAATTAATACATCCACATACAAGAATCAAAGTAGTTTTAATTGCTGACTATTGAGTCGTTGAAGAAACTGGTAAGAAATATATTTAAATGGCATGAAACTAAACAAACAATTTGCAAGTTAATAAATTTAAATTTGAAGAGAATGGTGAAAGATTTCATTTATTAATGTAAAGGAATTAAATTTCCCACCTGTCTCGTTCAACTGAGTGGCCTGCTCTTTGATTTCTTTTTCTTTCTTTTCCTCAATCTGCGAGTTATCATCATCACTTTTTTCTCGTAATTTTCCACTGCCTTCCGTCACGTTGGACTCGTCAAGAGTCACTGCTGGCATTGTCGGTTGTAGTTGGTTGTAGAAAACTAATAAAACGAGATCAAAACACCATTTTACGGATTTTGTCGCATTCTACCCAGCCGCAAGCCTTATAAGAAAAGGACATTCACTTAAAATAAGAAGGGACGAACGCCGTTAATCAAGAATGTCCAGTATTGCATCAGGCCTTATATTTCGAAGTTCATTTCACCATGACGGATGTATGAAATATAACCTCTCATTTAGGCCACGTGAAACAAATTTGCATCAGCTTTTAAACTTATTTACGCAGACGTTCTTCCCTTCTTTCTGTTACTAATAAGTCTTACTAAACTGTCACAGAACTATAATGACAAAATGACCTTGGCGAGTATGAAAGGCAGCGGGTTAATGTCGTTGAGATCACATCATACGTACTCCCAACTCTCAGCAAACGAATATAACATTTTTTTATTACTTCTTACCTCTCGGTTGTCAATTGCTCGAGATAACGTGTCAGGAATTACTATTTGTTATACTACAGTTCAGACACGGGATTCAGCTGTTTTGTGAGCCACATCAGCTGCAACACTCGCTTTTCCCACTGCCTTCTCAGTCGTGGTATATCAGCTCACCCTCGTGGTCTCCACGCCAGCTCGCTCGATCTCTCGTCCACTTTAGGATTACGCAACCGTGGAGGTGTGTCAGCGGTTAGAAATCTTCTTCTTGTAACAGTCATAGATTATACCGTTTAGTGAGTTTACGCAACATCGAACGCAGAAGGAAGAGGACAGCAAAACGCATCCTTGTACTTGTATTTGTATTTACTCCATTCTGTAGATAATACATCAGTTGTACAACCACGAGTACATAATGGTAGCAAGAAAATTTAGAATGGAGAAGGTCACATTATAGTAAAACTAATTATGGACCTTTAAGAAGATTGACTTTATATTCTTTTATGGTTTTGTCCCGGGGGGGGGGTACTGCCATATATGGGCTATATAGGTATGTGCCGCTGTGAAGGGTATGGTTTTCAAGCAGTTTACTCTAGGATAGGGTATATAAATCAGAGCGTTTGGCTCTAGAATAGGTATCATTTTTCAGGAAACTGATCAGTTGGTTGAAGATTTTATCTAGACTGGGGAAACAGCTACTCTAGGATAGGGGGATTTGGGGAGTTTACTCTAGTATAGGGTAGCAAAATTCAGCTGAACTAGCTCTGGTAAAGGTTAAGGGTTCCAGGCTCCCAGCGGCACATCCCCACCCAGAAATTCCTAAAGTACCCCCCCCCCCGGGGGTTTTGTTACTCATTAAAACGCACAAACACATACACGCACGACGCACGAGTCAGTATTGAGAAGATAATATTTTTAAGTGCCTTTTTGAACAAATTCAGAACAAAGAAACCAACAGGAACTTTTACACGAAAAACAAAATTATTTAGTAATAGTACAGTGATCAAGACGCTTCAAACCAAAACGAGGCCCGTTTCACCAAACCAGGTTTGGTTAAAAGGATGGCCGTCGACAGGGAAGAGGGCCTCCAGACATGCAGAGCGATAAGTAATAAGAGACTATCAGCCCTGATACTATTAGATCAGGAGCTCCTGATTAGATCTATCAAAAGCTTTTGACAGTATTAGCCATTCTATATTATTACAGAAGCTGAGCCTTGTTGCCGCCGACAAAACCACGAAATGGTTTGAGAGTTACCGTGACTGATAGAACTCAGGTGGTCCGTATTGGCACATCTACATCTACACCCCTCCCTATCACCCATGGCGTACCACAGGGCGCCATACTGTCACCACTTTTGTCTTGTATTTATATCAGTGATCTTCCTCTCGCTCCACAAGTATGCAATCTCGAGTCCTACGTAGACGACTCTAAGATCTTCTTATCCTTTCCAGTCAAGGATGCTGAGTCTTTAGAACGTGTTCTTGAAGAAGATTTAAGACGAGTGGCTGCCTGGTGCTGTAAAAATCAACTACTAATCAACCCTGAAAAGCCCAAGTTCCTTATGGTCGGAACACAACAACTACTGCTCAGGCTTCCGAGCGAAATCTCGATCTCTTTCTTGGGGAAAGAGATCACACCTGTCTCCAGTGCCAAGGATCTCGGAATAATTCTAGCCAACAACTTAACCTATGACCAACACATCCATCAATTTATTTCATCGTGCATGACCAAACTTTGTCAAATAAACAGACATAAACAGGGTAAAGAACAGCTCTGTGCACAATCATCTCCGCTCTAGTCCTAAGCAAATTGTTCTATTGCTCTACAGTTTGGTCAGACACAACTGCCACAAACATCAAGAAGCTTCAAGCTGTTCAGAATTTCGCGTGCAGAATCATCACGAAAACAAAGAAATTTGAGCACATAGCACCTGCGTTACGCGAGATCAAATGGCTACCAGTAAATGAGCATCTCCACTACAGAGACACTGTAATGACGTTTAGGTGCATGAAGGGCCTAGCCCCCAGATATTTGTGTGAGTCTCTCCGAAGACGCAAGTCTATTCACTATCATAACACTAGAAACAGAAAATCCCTTGATATTCCTCCAAGCAAGACAAGTCAGGACAGCGACGTTTCCTCCATAGAGCAGTCAACATTTGGAACAATTTAGACAAAGACTTTAAACAGTTATCTTTACCATCATTTAAAAAAAAGTTGAAAACGCACATGCTAGAGAATTATTTTAATTAATGACCACTTTTTGTAATTTTATTCATTTTTTATCATAATGTTCTTTGCTGTTTAGTATTGAAAAGCCCCCTGGGGAATACTAATAAAGTATGTATGTATGTAGCGGTAAGCCGGCACAGCTGAGCCTTGCAGATTCAATTCCTGGCCGGACAAATACTGACTCAGGGTCCTAAAAATATCTGAGGGGAATGTGTTTTCCTTGTTGTGCATCTGAAAATTATGGCTTCGATTCCTTTTTCATTGTCGGAAAAAGACGAAAAACGGTTGAGCCAGCACTTTCAACTATCTGATTCTTATGGGAAGTAAAAAATAACATTAAAGGTTAGCGCAATGCATGGTGGGATTGGGTGGTGAGGGTAACTAACATGGATCCTACAGTAGGGCACCCGGCCTCATCCAGATCCCAGCAGGCAACTCCCCTTTTCTAGATTTGTGTCATGGCGTTTCCAGGTTTATTTGAGAAACAATTTAGAGCACTTTTCCCCCAAAAATGGAAGCTCTGCACTGGCTCTGCCTCTTCTAATAAGGACGCTTTCGAAGTATAAGATATGAAAAAGCAACGCTAAACGTCATTAAAAGGCCAAAAATACCATTTTCAGGTCTGTAGATAGGTTTTGCTTACTGTTGCGGAACTTAAATTGGCGCCAAATGGTTCTAATAATTAGCTGGTCGATGAATACGCCATGACACGTGTATACGGAAGGCTCTTGGGTCCATGGTAAAGCTGATAAATAACGATTTTGCCTTTAAAAATTGTCACGGGCCTGTATTTTTTGCAGATATGTTTCCATGCATTCCAAAGGTAATAACCGAGCAGTCGAGCAGGTGTGGCGTAATGAGTTAAACGATGCGAGTGATGGACTCCTGTATCCTCCTATCCTGGGTCAGTGAACACGCGTGTCTTTACTACGATTCATTATTGATCAAGAGCTAGAATGTCACTATGTGATGTTTGGTTGTTATCTCCGAAGCTATCTTGTGGAGGATTATGAAATTCACATTGCTTAAGACACATTCATCTATTGGAAACCGAGAGAAAGCCGACTCCTACCGGTGTTGACCACTTTGTTACACTTGAAATGCTTTGATATTTCTGTCTGCACAGGAAAATTTGAAGGACTACGCACTCTCGACGCCGCATCCAATAAACCAGCTGTTGTTGTAAAAGATGCTTTGTGGTTCTCTCAAGGATAAACTTCTTCATACATCACGTCGTTGCTTTTTAAATAATTTTCTGCTTTTTCTTCTTGTCTTTTTTGACGGTAAGGTGTTTTGTTTGTCCTTATTATTATGTCATAACTTGCTTCTTGTTGTGAATTCTTTCAACCCCTTTACTTCCCATTAATAAGTTAGTTTGCAGTAAACGTGAATGAGCCTGAATAAAATACTTTACTAGTTTAGACATAGGGACACGGTAAAAAGGCGTTTTAAGAAACAAATAACTATGTTTATGTTTTGCTTATAGAGAATAGAAATATTTTCGATACTTTTGAGCGACAGTCCAATTGTTTAAAGGCATAACAGGTGTTTGATTGAAAATTTAGTTAGAAACAAAGCGTGAAAGCCGAAACAAATCTTCTACCCGCAGATTTAATTACCCAGATTGGGATACTTGAATTTTGGTCAAGAGAGCAAATTCATTAAAAAGTAGCTTTTCGACCAAAAGTAGCCTCGTGAAAAAAATTAATGGCTAAACTTTTCCGTTGCAGCTTTTCTATTTTATAGACGAACGTTACCGGTGGCGAAAAAATAAGGCGGGTCAAGAGAGTGTCTTTCGCTTTTATATCAAGGCGGGCTAGTGTTGCTTGAGTGCGCTCTATCTAACATAAATGGTGCTTGAAAAGGTCCAAACAAACGAGACTCGAGATTCAATAGCTTGGTGTTGACTTCCTAAATACGTTTATTTACCGAAATCAATGACTGAAAGCGGTGCAGCGAAGGGCCGCAAATCATCTTACGTTCGAGTTGATTCGAGTCCAACAAACCGGATCTTGATCTTAACCTCGCCTCTGACAATACAGACAGCGTAAAAAATAAATTAATTCTAAGTCTTAATCTACGGGGCTTTAACTATTTACAAAATTTATTTTATTGATATTGGCTACTGTTCTCTCATACCAAAAAAGGAGCCAATGATTCCACGGCACGGGGCTTACCAACGGAAGGCAGAAGGCGGCTATATCAAACAACAGCGGATCCGATTCCTCATCCAAATGCAGTGAGCTTGAAAAAATCAGAAACAATAAACCTATTAAGAAATAAACTCCGCTTTTACAACGTACTAGTGAATTGGCCGACAAAAAGTGTAACACCACAGAGACCTTTGGAAGAGTCAGCAGTGAAGAAATCTAACACAGAAGGGAGGCCCCTGGAGCGAAAACAAAATCTGAACTTCTTCCTGGATTCACGTCCGAACGCAGATCATGAGAAAGCGAACAATTCTTCTGAAGAAAATTTCATAGTTTCTGGAGCTTTACAAGATGAAGACCAGCTCTCTTTTGGACGAGAAAATATGCGGTCAAAAATAAATAAAATGCCGACTTACAAGTACGAGAAGGGTGTTTTACGAAGACAGCAAACACCCATTATGCTTTCGGATAACTCTGATGAAGAATTATTAGCAGCTAAAGCGGGAGTTTTCACAAAGGGAAAAGCAACCCGTAGAGCTCTTTCTCATCCTCATTCGGAAAGTGCTTTCAGTAGAGATTCTTTAGAGTCAAAGACTGAGGTCTATCGACCAAGGCAATCATCCCGTGATTCCATCCCACATCTTCCGCCAGGAAACAATGTAGGAGACAGCTTGGGTAGCAAGCGTGCCCTTATATTTTCAGATGATACTGCCAAGATCTTGGAAAGAAAAACGCTGTTATATTCCGAGCCCTTTTACAGGCCAACTGGCGCACTGGAAAAAAATGAACACTTAGATCCCAGACGGTTGATTTCAATATTAGGTGACCCATTACCTGTGTATAAAAGAAGCGATTTTGCTGATCAAAATGGTGTCACAATGGTCAGAGTAGGTACTGAATCCCGGAGAAAACCGCACAGTAAAGGGCGGGTAAGAAGGGCTCATCACAGAAAGGCCCATTTTCGACCTCATCGACAAAGGTTTTTGGATTCGAAAAAGGAAAATTGGGATCAAGATGAGGAAGACATTGGACAGACTATGGTAAGATTTTTTAGTCGTAAGCAGAGTCAGAAGCGCAACGGAATCGGAGTCGGAAGAATCAGAACGTTTCCATATCTGACTCTGCTTACGACTCCGTCGCTTACGATCTAGTGAAAACCAGATTGTCGGAGTCGGAAGCAGAAGCGGAAGGATAAACCAATCACAATGCACGTTTCCACGCTTTGTGATTGGTTCAGTTCATTTGCCTCTGCTTGCGACTCCGACAACCTAATTTTCACTTGATCGTAAGCGACGGAGTCGTAAGCGAAATCGGAGTAGGAGTCGTAATCAGAAGCGTAGAACTTTACGATCAAGTGAAAACACCGTTCTGATTCTTCTGATTCCGCTGACAACTCTGTCGTTTACGATCAAGTGAAAACTGGGTCGTCGGAGTCGCAAGCAGAAGCTGATGAACTAAACCAATCACAATATGTGGGAACGTGCATTGTGATTGGTTTATCCTTCCGCTTCTGCTTCCGACTCCGACAATCTGGTTTTCACTAGATCATAAGCGGGACGTAAGCGACGGAGTCGGAAGAAAATGGAAACGTTCTGATTCTTCTGACTCTTCTTAGGTCTCCGATTTTTCATTTCCACTAGGTCATGAGCACTCCTACGACTCCGACTTCGACTCTGAATCCATCGCTAACTGAAAACCAGCCTTAAACGCCTTACTCAGCGTGTTGTGCGTTTCACCTAAAATTTACAAACATTGAATGAAAGGGAGAGGCTGCTTGTGGCCTTATAAAAAAACTGATGAAATACATGTTATTGCCAGTCAGTATCACAAACAACTAAATTTTTTTCTAATACTTAAAAGCTAAGTTTGAAGTCTCTTGTTTTTATGGTTTATGTCAACATTCGACTCCCTTTCAACCATTGACTCCTAACTGAAAGTTACTAGCTCTTGAGTTATAACCCTTTTCATAGATTTCCGATGTGGTCGCTTATAAGCCTTAGTCTGGGGAAACAGCCGACATTTCGTGATGCTACCAATGGTTTCCCCGAGAAATGACGCCTCGCAGAAATTCAAATTCCACACTGGTGATGCGTCAAAGCCTTTATTTGGGTAGTGCTTCTGATTCAGATTCGCGATGAAAGTTTGCTTTAAGCAATCAGAAGCACTACCCACATCTGACACGTCATCGATATCGAATTCCTGCAGTCGTTTCTCAGACGGAATTTTGCAGGGAAACCGTTGGTAACGTCGCGAAATGTCCGCTCTTTCTGAGGCTAATAAGAGCTTTTTCTGTGTCTCTTTTGCAAGACTTTTCATTGTCTGTAATTATTTAATTTTGACAGGACTTCAGTGGTTTGAAACGCAGTCCTAATGAATACAGCATGCTAGAGCGCCTAATCAATGATAACACAATATCATTTGGAACCAAAGCAGAACAACTGGATAAAGAGTCCACGATAAAAGAAGTGGAAGCTCTGTCCGCCCAAAGCACTCGTCCATATAGCGATGAGCACCTTATGGGACTACCGGACGATTTATCGACCATGGAAGTGTCGGAGGGGGAGTTACCGCCTTATGACAAACTTCCAGGCCAACATGTTGGACTAGATATTCGAAGAAATCATATTTCGAAGAAAATGGAACAGAAAAGCCGCGCATCTTTAAACGCAATTTCTAGTCAGGTTGGTGATGATAGAGAAAAGACTGGGAATGAAGCTGATTCCTCAGCTCGACCCAGGCTGCGGAGAAAAAAGAAGCGCTCATTACGACACCACTTTCATCATCATCACCACTGGCGTTCGCCCTACTTTCATGTTAGGTCACAAGAATTTTCTCCCTACTACGACTACCAAGAAGGACACGAACCTATTGAGTTCATACCAAGAATAACACGTTTTATGGATTTCCCGAGATTTCCCGTCCCGAGACGATTGCCAAAGTTTCCAATGTCATTGATGTCCGAACGATTTGTTCCGTATCCCCGCCTTCCTAAAATTGCTGAATATTCTCCCCCACAGTTGGAAACTTTAGAACATTACCCAGAGCCACCACCTATCCCAACGGCTATTTCAGAACGTGAGAAAGCTGGCAGTAGGGAACAAGAACCCGTGGATGAATGGGCCCCGTTACCCGAACCTGTCCCCGCACCTGAACCCCCACCAATTCCGGAGCCCGCTCCAATACCAGAATTGGCACCTATTAAAGAGATCCCTCCCATCAAAGAACCACAGGAAAAGACACCTCCAAATTTGGACCCCAAGAAAACATTTGATACCGGGGAAAGTAATGGTGGAGTAAAGAAGAGTTCTTGACTGAAGTAGTGTAGACTAAAGTGATTTGGCGACAATGGAGTTGGTGAACATAGATCGTTACTAGCAATGGCGGAGTTAATTAATGTGCACAGCACAAGAGATCGCGAACATTATAACTATAAAGTGAAGGCATTTAATTCTGGCAGAATAGCCATAAAGTCAAGCGCATCTTATGTTTAAATTCATTGACCATCTATATTTCAGTTAGTCAGTGGGTTTTAGAACTCGGTAGCTTGGTCCCGGGAAAATTTTTGGTATGTAACTTTCAATTCACATTGAATAGTTACTTTTTTAAAAGTTTGCTCATCTATCAATGGTTTTTCCCATTCCGTTTTAATCTTGGTGTCTTGTACCTCACATTAGCTGGGTATTCCACAGCCCCATCAGTACCAATTATGTTAAAAACAGTTTTAGCTATAGTGAAGTTCGGTACTGTGGAATAGTCTACCTGTTGAGCTGCGGCGAGCGCGCACTCTTTCTACTTTGAAATACGGCTGCAAAGATCTCTTTTGAAGTATGATCAATAACCAGTTTTCACGGCATTCAGGGAAAGCAGAAACATTTCTCTTTCCTTTTGTAAGAATTTGTTTTTAGGTTTGTTGCTATCAGGAAACATTCCATCGTCTTTAATCTTGTGGAAATCTCCCAGCATAAGGTCTGACGACACAGATAAAAATAGTTCAGTTGCTTCTTTTATTTAACCATTTATAACAATCTCTTTTATAGGTTATAATGATTTACAACACTAAGGAAATAATACATTCATGTAACTAATACATCATACATTTGGCGACAATAGCTATATCTATACACGTTTTTTCCTTAGGCTCTGTTTATATGAGAAAAGTTTTCCCGAGAAAGATGTTCACCCTCCCAGCGCGCCCAGCTTGAGCCCTTTGCCCGAGCTAAGAGTGACAACAGTGTTTAAGCATGCTCTGATTGTCTCTCCTTGAATGGCCAGACCAATTCTTGTCCCCGGAGCCCGTCGTTTTTTGATCACGTGGTCTTGAAACGAGGGGCTCTAGAAGCAGCCTTAGCAGAAAATTTCTGACATCCGGTCGCGCATAAACAGAAGTTACAAATATCACTGCTCATGCTCATAACGTATTTTTGTCCCTCACTGGGGAAAAATATTACTTCCTGAGCTCTCTCCAGAGAGTGAAAGTTGATCGAGCTAAGAGGCAGCCTCCAAAGCAGGCTTTTTCAGGGTAGCAAAATTTTTGTTTGCCATGTTAACGATTCGCCAGATGTTGTAAGGAAGTGTTGAAAACCTGGCTCGCTCAAGGTAGATCGGGTACGCGAGTGACTCTTCTACCTGGGACATGATTTATCCATATAAACAGACTTAAGAGGAAATGTATTTAAACTGTTTTTGACAAAGTGGATGCCATTTTGAACCATACAAAAAATCTCAGTCGCTCTCGATAAAAAAAAATAGTCGCAAGTATTGTATTTCAATCTTCTGAATCTTCTTGCCTTGTACATGATTATTTCTATTGTCCCTCTACAACTTAAATCTATTAGTGCGGCCTATTTCCACTACTTGTTGTTGAAGTTGCTTGCTTTTCAGTCGATGTTATTGTAAGCCTCAGATTGAAGTTGGAAAAGTCGAACCAATCCTCCATGGCTGGCAAAAACATATTAGTTTACTGAAAAAAAAAAACAGAGAGTAATTAGAGAAAGGATTTTATTAAGTTTCCTTTCAGGATTTAAAAACAAGAAAGCAAAACATTCTAACTGCTGACCACGGTTATATAAAGCTGGATAGCGCTGTCAACCGGGTAAATCGCTAGCCAGCGGGTAAGAATTTGCCACACCAAATGTGCTATCCACTTGATAGCTTTCTCCAGTGAACAGAGCTAAATCACATGGAAAGAAGCTGTTCTTCTACGTTGATACCTTGAGTTACCAAAGTTTTAAACGCTTTTCTTTTTATATTCTTCCTGAATCAAACCAGTTATAAAGCGTCTCAAATCCAAAAACGTACGGCCATCGTCTTTAGTAGATCGATTTAATTCATCCCTTTCTGCGCACTAAACAAAGAACTTACCATGCGCGCCTCCCGTCCACGTTGACTTTCATCTGCATAAAGGCGGGAAACAAAAAAAAATCAGGAACAAAGAGTAGCTTTTGATTATCTTTGATTCGAGTCAGAGATGTTAAAACTGAAGCTATGTCCCGTTTCTCCAAAGTACCGATAAATTTTCGGAATAAAAGCGCGGATACTAGCCGACAAATCAGTCCATTTTGTTTGGTGATCTGATTTTGTTTCGGGTAAATACTGGGGTGTTAAGCACAAGGAAAACTTACAGTCCCAAAGGAAATCCGTGATCTTGTCTGGAATTTTTATCCCTCGCTTGTGAGCTTCCGCCACTTCTAAAACACAAATCAAAAAAAGGAAAACTTAAATGGTACAATCGAGAAATCTGAAAAGAAGACCACGTATTAGTCAATAATATGTAAAAATTTTACTCACAGCCGGGTTGTTCAAAAGTGAGATAATGCTATCCACCGGATAAATCGCTATCCTACGGATGAGTAGTAGGGAAACCAATTTCGTTATCACTGGATAGAGATTTATCCGGTGCGGAATAGCGTTATCCACTTTTGAGTAAGTGGAGCCTGAAGAAAATTTTTGTGATTTCATAAGATTTGATCAGTTAGGTCTAATGTTTGTATCAGAACAATTGTTGAGACAATATATTTTTGTAATCTTCAACCAATGAACAGATTTTTTCAATATTACAATATTTTACAAGAACAGAAAGGAAAAAAGAACAGCAACAACTTGCATAAATGATGAAAGTAAAATGCGCGCAGTAAGCACTACACATATTCCTGCCGGCCTTTATTGCGCTTTACAGTTTTAGCCAGCCTTGCCATCTTCTAGCTCTTCTAGCGTAACTTCTAGCGTTGCCTAGTCCATGTACGGCGTCTTCCCAGGCCTTCTCGGTCAATTCATTTCGGTAACGTATCCGAGACGAACTCGCTCTAGGGTTAGATACATTATGCTCGAAAATTTGAGCATTATGCTTTTGGGCGTCACCCTCAAAACCACAGCATTATGCCTAAAATTATGCTCGAAAAGTAGCATTATCATGCTCGACTGATCTTGACTGTATTTGATGCCCTTTTCCATACGCGCAGACACGAATACAACATTTTATTGCACCAGTTACACATTTCGAACTGGTAGCCGTGATGGATAGACAATTAGCCAGTTTTAGCAGCCTAACAAAATCGGATGCAATGGTGCAAGAAGGCATTGTAAGTAGCAATCAAGCCTTTGAATGAATGGAAGTCAAAATTTCTCAGTACAGTTAAGGAAGTATTATTTTTTCATTATCATTCTCTTTATTCTGAAAAAATGGCCATTATGCCGGCATTATGCTCGATGTTTCGACTATAATATAGCCTGCGAACTGCAGACGCATTTTCGGTCGTCGCTTCTCTCCCTCCGAAAAATAGCGTCTGCGAACCCGAGCGACAAAACGATTTCCGTGACGTAAAACCTTTTCAGCCAATCACGGTTTAGCTCTTAAAATAAAGGAACTAACTCGCGAGACTTCTCGCAGGATCGTGCGCGATGGATATGCTTTCAAGTCGAAATTGAAAGGACGACGTGGCTTGTGTAGTAGCCGTCCCTTTTTCTCAGAACGACGCGTTTACGAAAGTTAATTTGCCAGGATTGTGGGACTGATTGACGAAATAAGTATCAAGAGGATTCATATCGAAAAAAAGATTAGAGGACATTTTTCATCTATTTGCCTACGGAGTCAATGATTTATCAGACGTAGTTGTTTTGCTCATATTCGAAACGATAACTGTCCTAATGACAGTAGACGCATCATGCCGTTTGTTGCTTCTGTTCCTTTCTGGTTCCTGGCAGGAAAGTATGCCTTGGACAGGGGCACCCAACGGCAATTTTCGGAAAATATCTGTTCGGAAGACGATTTGAGATCTAGAATTTTCGGAACATTTGTTGTAAAATCTCTTGCTTGCCTGCCTCTCCTAGGATTTTCGAACATCTACAAAATGGTATAATTACCCATTTTCAACGGATTTTTACCCTAAAAAAGGCTACCTAGAATTTTCGGGAGCCTTTTCCTAGCTGAAATTTTCGAAAAGGTAAGTTTTGATCCCTATATATTTCGGACCGCTAGACTTTCAGCTAGGAAATCCGAACAGATGAGAAGCTTTTAGGGGATAAAAATATGCCTATATCCGCCGTTTAAATACTAAAATACGTTCAACGATGCTATGTTAAGTGGTTTTGAACTATATCCTCGTTGGGTGCCCCTGCTTGGAGAACTCTTCGATAGTTTGTCGTGTGCCGTTTTAGATATTTTCTTAGTAGATATCCTTTATCTTTGAAAGGTAGGACATGTGGTAATTGATTTCCCATGGGTGGTTGCTTCTTGGTTCAGATAGAACTTTGATCAGTTTGAAAGCATTTTATATTTGTTCCGGTATATTTCTTTAATTACATGTTCTTTTCAAGGTTCTCATTTCCATAGTTTTTTGTGAGATGAGTAGAAGCGTCGTAGCTGAAATGTCATTTTGACTATGATCTATTTACTGCTGTAACTATTTATTTCACGCTGGGTCTGGCCCAGGTTTATAATATTTCAGATCATTGTGTTGTGGCGATACTAGAATTATTAACGAGCGATTGTTAGAGATTTCTGAATCAGTCAAGGATGTGTCTGTATAATTGATTCACCACCTTTTATCAGCGCTGGTTAAATTGAAATAAATAAGTCTGAGCGCGATGTCATTAAGCTATGTTGCTTTCCTTTCGCTGTAGCGATTATTTTGTCCAGGTTTTGTTTATGTCACGTACTACCGTATCATTTTGTATAAAGCGAAACCAAAGGCCCACATCACATACATAGCTTAAGAAGCAGTTGCTTCATAAAGAAGTCAGCATTCAACGTCGCAGGAAACCTTGTTATGGTCGTGAAATTCACGTTCCAAAGCGTATTTGGTAATTCTCTCCAAAATCCAAGACACTTCAGCGCGCGAGGTCGCGAGGAGTCACTCGAGCTGTATTCTATCCTTTGATCTGATTGGCCTACATCAAAACAAGAGGTTTTACGTCACGGAAATCGTTTTGTCGCTCGGGTTCGCAGACGCTATTTTTCGGAGGGAGAGAAGCGACGACCGGAAATGCGTCTGCGGTTCGCAGGCTAACTACAATAGTATTATACCCAAAATTATGCTAACCCTGACTCGCTCACGTGACAGGGAACGCAAAGGCATTGCGCAATAATGAGGCCTAGGGACTAGGAAACTCCTGGTCCTCGTGCTAAGGCCCCTGGGAGGCTCTGGGGACGAGAATGGCGCATTTCAGGAAGGAGGTCTTTTGTGAAGGTTTTCCTCAGGCATTGAAAAGAAGGTCGAGTTAGCGTTTTACTTCTAAAATCATATCATGACTGACTTAACGCTGTCTACAATAAAACCGGAGGATTTCTAAATCTTATTGTTTAGAAACTGTTCAGTGATTTCCACTTACTTAATTTTATCTTCTCTGCCAACTGGTCCATGAGGTATCGTTTTCGTTTCTCCAAGTCCGTTATACCTGTGATTAAATCAAGACAACATCAAATTGAACCCTCTTACTTAAGCTGCGCTTGCCAAACAAATCAGTTCACAGGAGAATTGGTGGCAGGAATGATGTCTATCACACATGTTGCATCTCATACAAGTGCACCAAATCTACATACTTGCTATCGGAAACTTAAATAACTTTTCTCCCTGTGACCTCGATAGGACAGGCCTGACGTGATGAGAGCCGAGAGAATAAAATAATCATGCTTAAAGAACGCGATATCTTTTTCTTTTGTAGAGTATTTAACAGTGAATTTACTCTAACTCGTACCTTCTTTGCCGTGAATAAGATCCTCAAGTTCTGTATCACTTGACTGCTTGTGCACGACATTGAACGAACGTGAAGTAACATCTGCAACCAAACGAGCAATGAAGAGATTTATCAATTTATGGCCAAGAAGACAATTGAAGATATTAATTTATACATTTATAGCCGACTTTTTGCGATTGTCGGGCAACAAATAAATTGTTTCACCTCGTTTACTTGGGGCGCTTTCCAAAAGTCAGAACTGGCCGGCCGGACCATGGCCGGCCCAATCATTTTGAAAAAGCAATAAGCTTTTTCCAAGAGTTTTTGCTGAAAAAATCATCTCCTTCGTGCATACTATTTAGGATTTGACATATGTGGCTGGATAGTTTTGATTAAAGCAAAATATAGCAATCACATAAAAAAGCAAAGAAAGCTCAAACATTCAACTAGTTTGTTCAAATGACAATTATAATTATAATATTAGGGTAAATCTAGTACCTGGAAGATCAGGCGGAGGCAGTTTTCCTGGAATTTTTACGGGTTTCGAATCTAGAAAAAAGAACAAACAATTCAGTCCCTCTGAATGAATCAAAATCTTTTACGGCTAGGTCTCTACTGATCGAGCTGTCCCAAGTTGTAGTAATTGCGGGGACAGTCTTCTCACCGATTATTGTAAAAATGTGAGTTAACGAACACTGATACTAGCCTGTGAACAAGCTCTCCGATACGCAACCAATAGACTTCTGAAAATCAAACGATACAAACAGCTCTGGCTACCGGCACGTTTGAGTTGTTTGAAAAATATTTCCCTGTGGTATTGATTTCTAGTTAACAGTCGCGCAGCACTAGACATAGTGAAAAGAGGAAAATTATAATAATGGAAGTGCAAGAACAAAGTCTGTAAAAGCAGACTAAACAGGGGTACCTCTGAAACACAGTACTTTCTTGGGGTTTTCTATTGATTATGTTTCTCGAAGTACTTTTCAGTAGAAGAAAACAGGCTCGGGATTAAACCCACTCCCATCATACTTTCTTACATTGCAATTTAGTCCTTTTTGCGTATAGTTTTTTCCATCTTTTCGAACACTAGCCTGCGCGCGTAGCAAGCGTTTCCGCGCGAGTTCGTCGGGAAAGGTGTTGAGGCGAGAGCAAAAAGCTCCAACTTTCGCATAATAACTCGATTCAAAACGTTTACTATGCAACATATCCGAACACCTGGGACAAGGAACTTTGTGAATAATTTGGGTTAGGCATAAAACAATGCATAAACAAGAGCGGCTTACCTGGAAACCAGCTTCCACCCGACCACGAAGACACACGTTCAGCTCTGGTCATGTCTGAAACAAACAACCAAATATTGGATTTGACTGGTTAAAATATTCCATTGACTGGCGTTTACACGCGCACAATGTTAGCCCGTTCCAGGCGTTCAGAAAATGGAGTGTGGCCCAAAGCCAGAGGGCTATTCGGATCTTGATTGCTCTCTCAGCCCTTCTGCCCGGCATGAAGTGGACTCAGCTTTTGGCCCTCACACCATCAATATGATGGCTCTCCCGTTGAACATGCAAGACGATCGCGCCGGTCGTTCTCTCAGATTCTTCTCTCCGTTCCCTTGTGCTCAACCTTCTGGCACTAATGTCTTTGCCCAAGATATCTCGCCAGATGAGAATGAACATTTTGTTCCCCTGTTCGTTCTAATTAATTAACTTTTGAAGTTTCTCAGCTCCCAAGAATGCACCTTTTTCGTCTTGGTCCCTGATCTGTGCCTCAGGAAGTTTTGGTGGCCCATGGTCTAAAGGAATGCCGTAGGTGCTTTCAAGTTGGGCTCTAAAGGGACATCAACGGTTTATTGTTCCCTGCCAGATCTCGCCAGCCCTGCTCACTATCTAAACGCCTAGAACAGGCCTGCAAAGGGCCGGCCGCATCATGGCACATTCTCGATCTGTTTGTTTCAGTGCCGTGTTTCTTCACTTTGAAAAGATTCACGAAAGGTATGAATATGAAAGGTTAATTTGATATCTTCTTCGGTTTGATAATGATTTGTAATTTTCAGCCAGAAAAAGTCCGCCAAAAAACAATACAGACATCTCAGTTAAGGTTGGGGAATGATCTTACCTGAAGGAAGCCCTCTTAAGTTCACATTGGGGTTAGGGTTTGGAAGAAATCCTTGGCGGTTTGTGTCAGATACGGTATGATCTACATTAAAAAAATTTGAAAAGTAAATCATTAAACTTATTAGTGAATTTAATGATTGATTGCAGCTATCTAGCAGCGATACTTACAAAAAGGAATACCCGGACGCACAGTTCGTACAGTTATTCTCCTCCTAAAGCAATACACTAGCGGGCAACTTGACAATGACGCAACAAAATTGCTGAACGCGTCAAAAGAAACAATGCTTTCTGTAAGATAAACTCAGAGGGCCTTTGAAAGAGTTTTCATGAACCATTTTGAGAAATCGTTTCATTGGGCAAATTTAATAAAATCAGTGTCCTAAGCTTACCAGCAGAAAGCCTCTTCAAAAGTTCCATTGGATCAGAATGAGGTAAAAAGTTTCTGCGACGTGCTTGAGAGTCATCTTGAAAAGGAGACAAAAGAGAGGTGTTACGGTTTCATAAAAAAAAAAAAGTATTCTTTTAAAAGTGAAAAAAAAGCAAAAACTTAAGACAGATCTTTCACTTACATGGAGGTGCATCAAATTGCTTGTCAAATCTAGTTCCTGAAATTTTTTAAAAAAGCCAACTTTTAATACGTTGTCGAAATTTAATCTTCTGAAGAAAATTAGGTATCCTCACCGTTCTTGAACTGGGGCGGGCCCGCGACCATTAGAAAACGCTGTTTTGGTTTCTCTTACTAGAAGTATTTTAGCACAGGCCTTGTATGGAGGAGGCGATTATTTGAGCACATTTCCTCAACACCATTCTACGGCTTTCTAGTATAATGGGGCCCGTTTCTCGAAAGTGTCGGTAACTTTTCGGGCTCGAAATAAAAAATACCAATCAAAATTTAAAGAATAAAAGCGCCGGCGTGTCCTGGCTAACAAAATAGTTCATTTCTATCCTGCGAGCACAGGCTTCTCTTTTTCATGCCTTTTTTATTTAGCTTTTACAAATCCGTTCGCGCCGCTGGTCAGTCGCGTAGTTGGTTTATTTACGCCCCCAAGCAAAACAAAACCGCTTGCAAAATTTCCCGCGCTTGGTGAGGGCAATCTTTTAAATATTTGCTTTTCGATTATTTGACCGCAATAGTATTTCCGGTCGTCGCTTCTCTCCACCCCACTACTTTACTTTACCAATTTTTTTTTGGTTTCAACTTTCATTTCGTGTTTCTTTTACCCACCATGTAACGATCGAGCATCAGGAGGTATTTGAGGTGATCGGTTTAAAAGTTCGGTTCCTTGGACATCAAACAATACAAAAGCAAAAACGAACATTTACACAAGCAAGTTTTCCATGCTCTTGCAGAATGCCGCCCTACTTAATAAGCATGTTTATAAGTAAGAAAGAATACAGAATAAGTTCTGGCTCACCGTATGTCCTTCTAGCTGGAATATCGTAATAACCTTTAAGAGAAAAAAGAAACTTGTTTTAATTGACCAATTTGAATGATTCACTTAACATTATTTGAATCCAAAAATCGAGAACTCATGGTGTACTTACGAGATTTGGTCTGAAGAGGCTTGTCAAATTTCTCAAAACCTGGATTCAAGAAAGATCATTTGGAAACAAGATTACTCATTAGATTGTGAAAAAAATAAACAAGTGGTGCCAGTCCGCGACCGCGAGAGAGGAGGATAAACGCATTTCCTTCAAAATTCCTCTCTCACTTCGCTCATCTTCGTCGCCCCCAATTCCCTAAAACCAAGTCGACTAATGTCTATGCCGCTATTAAGAAAAAAACTGAAATTCAGGACGTTACAACGCCTTTTGGTTGACAAGCTTTTCATGATGGCAGCATATAGATAGCCTCACTTGAAAGAAGGACGGTCCCCAATAGGTTTTTCGGGATCCGGGATTTCCCTTATTTGAAGCTCGGGATTGGGATTTTTAAGCAAAATCGGGTTTGAGAGTACGCGCGGGAGGTGGGATGCCAAAAATAACCCTCGAGATTACGGGATTGAACGAAATTTTTGGTCGGAATTAAAGGACTGAAGGACCCTAAATGGGATCCCCTGAAAGCCCGAGAAAGTGAAAAGCCGCAAAAAGCTAACTGAGGGAAAAAGAAATCTCTAAACTGAGCCGAATTGTTGGAAGCACTTGACCCCGGAAAGGAACGCGTGACAAAACCCTTAGAACGTCTGTGCTAACCAAATTAAGGACTACATTTTCCTCAAGCTTTTAAACCAAACTAATATATAATGAGTAATTAAAACCGTAAGAAACTCGCTTACCATATGAAGCATACTGTCTAGGGACTTCAGGGTATCCTGCAAAAAAAAAAAATCAATTAAAAGATCGAAAGAGCGCCTTGGAGCCTCACTACAATGATTACAGTTATGTTCTTTTTTAGGTGTTCTTCAATATAAACGATAAACTAGAATTTAGCACAATTTAAACAAATTGCCGACTTGACTCTCTAAAACTGTGCTTTTGTTGAAGGCCTTTTCACCCTTGAAATTAGCTGATTCTACGTTTTGAAATATGATCATTGCTCGTTAGCGGTAGGAAACATGTAGAAAGACTACCATTAACACTATAGAGTCCTACTCGCCAACACGCCTAGGCATTTGATGCTTGCGTGGTGAGCAAGCTAGCAAAAATGAGTTCTATGGCGCTTACCATGTGTCCTCTTGAAAGGTGCTTCCGGGAATACTACAAAATAAAACTTCCGGTCAAATAAAATATATGTTTCTTAGACCCCGTCCACACGAAGACGATTGTAAACGCAAACGCTAGTAAACGCATATTTTTATCTCCGTCCACACGAAAACGATCATCGTTTACGTAGCGTTTTAAACCGTCCACACGAAAACGCTCGTAAACGCATAAAACGATGTCATAGTCTCAGTTCTTCAGCTAGATTATATAGCGAGTCTCTGCTCATTCGAAAGTTCTCTTTCCACTCTTCTGCTATAACCACCTGATCGGCAAAGTTGTTCCACCAGGCGCTTGTACGACCTGGTCTGGTCCAGAATCTTCTCTCTTTGCTCTCACGTCTGCATCTAAGTCGTTTTACTCGAGTAAAAGTGCTTGTAGTTGTGGATAACAATCTTGATAGGTTTAGTCTTCTTCTTTTGTAGTTTTCCTGTATATCGATTATTGCATGATTCAATTGAATGCTCGCAATTATGCTTGAAATAAGCGCAAGCATGACACAGTTCAACACTCGTGTGTACGCCATCTTGGAAAGGCACTCGATAAAAGAGACTGGCGCTGACATCTGACGTCAGCGTTTTCACAGCGTTTACGAAAATATACGTTTACGGCCGTCCACACGAAGACGCATAAGGGGCGTTTTCAAATTTATCCACTTTGGAGAGCGTTTTCGAATTTATGCGTTTACGGTGAGCGTTTTCATCGTCTTCGTGTGGACGGAAGGCCTAAACGCATAAAAAAGTTTGCGTTTACTAGCGTTTGCGTTTACAATCGTTTTCGTGTGGACGGGGCCTAAGATTAACGTGTTCGAACGCTGGATAGCGCTATGCACCGGATAAATCACTGTCCAGTGGATAATTACTTATATTTATCCAATGGATAGCGCTATCCAGCTTTTGAACAACTAGGGCCTGATCGTGAAATACCGTTGAAATTTCCAAGTGTTTTATTACCTGGCTTGCGTATTGGGGTCTTTTGGTACTGGGAATTAGCAGCATCGAGCTCTGGAATTCAAAAAGAAATAAATGAAATGCAGGAACAGAGTTACAAACTCAAGTAATAACGCTAAACCAATTCTGAAATATAAACAAACCATACCCATAAGCCGTCTGTAAGCTGCGCTGTCCCTGAAATCTAGGATAATGGTAAGCAAGAGTAAGATATAAATGAAGATCACCGGATAAGGAAAAAACAACTTTGGACTGAAAACGGATAAAAGTTTCTTTTAAGGCCGGTATACTAAGCTATAAACGTTAACAGTTTACCTTGCTTTTTCTGGAGAGGTAACCGAACAACTGAATCTGCAGAGGCTGGAGAAGATAATTAATACATGTTTAGTTAAAGAAGATTTGGTTAAAGAATTTGATTGGTAATTATAATGCGTAGAACGGCAATGTTAAAGAGAACAACAGCAAACCAGTTCTTATGAAACACAGACTAAGGATCGAAGCAGCCACTACATTTATAGAAATTTATATTACACTTTCAGGAGGTAGCCACAAATTTTCCAAAAATACGCAGAGTTTTGTAAATCAATCCTACCACCCTGGGAGGTGGTCGTTAGGAGCCAATCAGCTGTCGGGTGCAAAATCTGGACTAAACCGATTTACCCGCAATCGCGTTCTGGTCCCGTGAGAGGCTTTTCGCGCGGGACACAAGCAACGACGACGGCGACGGCTACGAAAACGTCACTTAAAAAGTGAAGCCACGTTGCATCAAACTTTATCGCAAAAGAAAAGAAAAGTCTTTGTCTTATGTTCACGTACGCGTCCTCCACAAACTGACTTGAAATTAGGTGATTTTCACGTCGTAGTCGTGCAGTGGAAGCAAAAATGTACAAAAAAAAAGTATGCTGTACGTGTAGAGTTGTTGTTTTACTCAACAAACTTAATGCTTTTTTTGCCATTCTCGTTGCTGTCGCCGTCTTCGTTTCTACTATAAAGACCTGACCGAACCGAAAACCGCGCATGAAAGTTTCTGGCACCCAGGGGGTAACTCATCCCCACCCCGTACACTGCAAATAAATTCACCCTTTACTTACTATCAGTGGTTTTCTTATCCTTGTTATCTGATGTTGTCTCCTTGGTTGCATCTTTCTTTTGTTCGGTTTTTGTGAGAGCTAAAGAAAGAAAGACAGTAATTATTAGCATAGAGATAGTGATATATTTGACAGGGTAGCCGAACAAGGCTAAGTATACATAATTTATCAGGCGTCGATTTTATCAAAAAAAAATAAAGTGAAATAAATTTCCCCTCAACGAGGCTAAATATACGTTATCCTAAAAATGTTTATTTTATTAGTTTAGTTCGTCCCTTGTGAAGATCCATGTGAAAATTTATTTTTGGTATGATTCAGTTTATTGGCTCTACGCGTCCGAAGTTCGACCTCTGACCCAACAGACGATCTTAACTTAATTTAGTACGCAGGGTTTCATTAATATAATAGTTTGTCTAAAGCAAATGTTGTCATTTTAGTGCTAGGGAGATCTTTCAAAGTAAACATGAAAGTTTAGTTTTGCAAAGTTGCTAAAACCGCATGGTTTAATCTGTAAGGAGCCGCTGCACACTTACTCTTTGCCAAAGTCTCGAGATTTTCCTTGGGGACTTCCCTTGTTTTACTTGTAAGCTCCTTGGGCACCTCTAAAGATAAAAGGGAACAATTACAATGAATATCAATGATGAAATAACTTGTAGGGTCCCAGCAAGACTTAGCACAGAAATATTCCCAGATGCTAAGGCTAAACAATTAGCGGTATTGTGGCCAAATCAATTTGCTAACTAAGAATACAGGTGTTTGAAAATATACTCATTTGAAGAAATGGCTGTTAACATAATGAAAAGACTCAAACAAGGAAATGGAGCAGCAAGAGTAGGAGGTAAACTGTAGTGCTAAGCTTTTTCTTGGTATTTCTATGGTAGGGAACTTATGCGACGGCGACGGCAAAGAAAACGACGTTTAGAAAGTGAATTCACGCTGGTTTAAACTTCACTGCTAGGGTTTATTTCTTAAAGATTATTCACGTTGAGAAAAAGAAAACGAAGATCGTCGTCTTGTGTATACGTTCTCTATAAAGCGTAAAATCAAGATATTTCACTTCGTAGTCTTGCAGTGGTGACCAAGAAATGTCCCAAAAATTGTGAAACACGCGATGAGTTGTTGTTTTGTTCATTAAAACTATTGCTTTTTTACTGATGTCCTCGTTGCCTTCGCCACTATACCAGTGACTGCATGTATTTGCAGTAGGCTTATATATTTAACACGAAATGAAACAAGACTTGACAAATTAAGTTTGTTAACAGAAATTCAGTGTTGAATTACGCATGATATCTCTCTTTCCTCTTAAGGGAAATGTTCAGGAATATGTAACAGTGTGCAAAAAACGCCACCTGAAGAAGTGGAATGTTAGTGCTTTTGGTTCCTTTACTTTAAGATTTAGTTTTATAATAAAAAGGGGCTTCGGGGCATTAAAGAATTGAAATATTGACTGAATAAACGTCACTTTACCAGTTTCGGTCTTTTTAGAAGCGTCTTCCTTCGTTGATTTTGTTTGGTCATTCACGCTTTTAGATGTTACATCTAAAATTAATAGAAGTAAAATATGAATTCATATTCAATATTCAATATTCATATTCAGTTTGTTAGCTTGAGAAAAAGATTTTCGGTCTCTCCAGCGCGAGAGCTCCCCACCCACGTATTCCACACGCCTTTTGCGCGTGCAAGCTTGTTTGTAGCCTCCCACGCAGGCGTTTTTAGGGGAGCTCGTATTTCTTCCCTCAAGTGGGGAGGGAAGAAATACGAGCTCCCCTAAAAACGCCTGCGTGGGAGGCTAGCTTGTTTGCAGTCTACGTTTACTTACGGTTACATGTTGCGATCAAACATTCAGTCAAACCAACCCACGAACAGAGCATCCTTTCGTCTTCTTCTTGGCAGGGTGCAGTCAAAGAGCTAAATATCTATCCCACAGACAGTGTATCTGTTGCGCTGGTAGCAGTTTATGCTACATTTTGTCAAAGTGACCATTTAATAGAGACGAAGACCGTAAAAAATAACTCGTTGAAACCTTAAACAAGATGACCGCGACCTCTTCATACAGGTCAGTCTTACAATGATTAAGGAAAATGATTTCCAGGACTTTTGTAACACGTACGTAGAGGGAGACTACTTAATACAGGTTAGCTTAATATACGATTGAGGTCGTTTCAGCGGTTCAAGAAAGAACACTTCTGAAAGAGAACTTCTTCACTGACTTACCTGTCGCATCGTCCGACACATGTGCGCTTAACTGTTGGAGTTCTGAAAAAAAAAAAACACAATATATGTATTCATTAAACTAGCAGGCTCGTGAGAAATTTCATTGTGCGCAGGTAAGAACTACGAAGCTTGCTGCGAGGGGGGAGGACGCTTCTCTCTCGAGCATAGCTTATATATGGCTTACGCACCACATATCTTATGCGCATGCCACGCGCGTTAACATAAATGACAACCCATAAAAGCAGGGGCGTGGCTACCTGTACGCACGGTTCGCACGTGTGTACCTTAAAACGACGAGAGAAAGTAAAAAGAGCAAATCAAATGTATAAAATATGATTATTTTAAGAGCACAGTTTTTAAAATTTTTGTCTTCTGAAACAAAAGCCTTTTTTTCACCCTCGAAAGTCGGCTTTCAGAGAAGCGACGTGCTCATTTGTGGACCAAATCTTCATCGATTTGTCTATAGAAAAACAGGTGGGAAATAGCGCGGTATTTAGCGTAAACTCGTTGTTTTTGCTCGGCCTGGGGCATTTGCAGAATTGTGCTCACTCTGAAAAAATCTTGGAAACGTTCCTAAAAGCCCGATAAAAATATTGTCCTTCACCTTAGCGAGCTAACTCAGTGAACAACCGGAAAGTTAGGTTTTATTATTTTGCAACCGTCAAGCGCAGGTCTCACTTGTTAGGTCCGAGATAAACAATGCTCGAGCGCGCGAAAAAAAAAACGATAGCCTCCTCGCTCCTAGCGCGTGTCCTTCTCCCTCGCGGTCCGCGCGCTTTCATCGGTAAAAAGGTCTATTAGGTTTTATTATTTTGCCCGTAAAGCTCTCACGAAGAATGCTAACGTTTTTTAAGCCTCATTACAAGGGACGGAAGCTTTATCTCTGGGAAAAAATTGCTTTGATCTTTATAAAAACCAACGTCTTTTAAGACGCTGCAGATGCAAAAATAAATAACCCTGGGAAAAACTGTTCCTCATCCTCAATACCTAGAAAATGTTATAACATTGCCCTGCAAAAAATTTTTAACCCAAACAAATAAGGTATCTTCCAATACAGACGTCTGTTACAACATTGCTATTTTTTCTGGGCTTTTAATAGGGGAGTTCACCTTTGGTAAAGATTTGATTATTCTTCCCCAATAATTTTCTTAAAAAAAGGCATATTCTTCAGGCAACAAGTTAGTCTCTCATTTTCTATAGGGATAATATATACCTGGCCTGAGTTGCTCAAAGCATGGTTAGCTTTAACCATTGGTTAAGCAGTATCAAAACCAATACGTTGTCAAGGTATTAAACGCTGGTTAAACGCTAACCATGCTTCGAGCAACTGGGCCCTGGAGTTGTGAAAACCAGGTTAGCAAACACTTTGTAATTTTTCTCAACTTCCCTGGTCTAACAGCTTGTTTACTGTGTTGTTTGCTTATGTCGTGTTTTTTTTGCTTGTTTTGTGGTTAGGGATTTGTGGAAAATTTCGCGAAAATATCCCCATTACTATCTTACCCCCCCCCCCCGGATCCCCTTTTTTTCCCTACCCACAATTCTTTGTTTAACACAAGTGACAGTTATCGTTATTTGAAATCAGTGCGCTCCTAAGGCTGGTTTCGGTGCCGTTTAGCAGTTTAGTTTTAGATATTGGACATATTGGTCACCTTGAGAAAAGTTTCCCGGAGAGCATCATGCAAAGCTCTGATATGGGGCAAAGTTATTACGATTCGCAGAGTCTGCATCGTGCAATATCGTATTATATTCTCGTTTCATTTGGCTAAACGGATCAATCAACCTGATCCGGGCTGAGACAGAAAGGTACGATATTGTTCGCTTTTCTAATGTGACCACTAAGTCTTTGACCTCAGGAACAGGCTCTTAGGAGTCAAATGAATTAGGTGAGAGCAAAATTGCAGGTGAACTTTAACCGGGCCAAGACGTCGTTTTTTTCTGGTGTGAAAACAGGGCTAAGGTGATCCGCCGACCGTGTGACTCCACATCCGGGAACTTGAACAAGACGAGTGTACGAGAAAAGTCCAGAGGTGTTTATCTGGCAGTAGGCTGAGTTTTTCCGAGTTATTCGATGATATTTCGCATATGTTAAACGTGAGAAGATTATGCGTGGTTGTGGATAGTCTTATCAGTGCCTCGAAAGAGTGTGATTGTGCGATTTCCGCATGGTGTCGACAGGTTTGTGATCGCGTGGTTGAACTGGGGTTTACCCTGCGAGCAGTGGTTTCTCCAGGCGAGAAACCACTGCTCGCAGGGTAACTACGGTTTGGCCAAAATATTCTGTGCCAGCCATTAATATTGTTTCGTCGGTGTTTAGTCTTGGGAAAGCGACTCTCGACTCAGGAAAATTGGATCTAGGTCTAGTTTCAGCGGGCTCTAATGGCATTGAACCATAGGCCGATTTTTGCAGATAAGAAAGTGATAATTTTTTGCACTACGTTTCATTCAGTTTGTTGTCTATTCCATGCGGAATCCTGTTGTTTATCGATCCGCCGAAAAAGAAGTGTTTTACTAACTATTTAAGTTGTTATGTAAGCCTTAACCAGGCACTCTTTCGCTGCAGTTCACTCAACTTAAAAATTTCTAGAATGAAATGACACCGGTTTGAAACTTTGCGAAGTCAGTTTACTGAATAAATGTTCAAAAATTTGCGTCATCTGACATTTGGAGTCGTTGGAATGCTTCTAGGGACCATTAACTTTCTGCCCGGCGTTAGATACAGGCTCTTAATCGGCCTTTGAATGAGGTTTATTGTTTTACATTGCCAAGTAGTAGAATGAGTTGATATTTTTGCTATTTTTTCAAAAATCCAGGTATATATAAAAGCGAGCGAAATACTCAAGCCCTGCTGAAAATCGCCACACGCGATCGCCTCCCTCGCGGGTAACGATTTTCACGCGCGCTTGTGAATTTCGCTTGCTCTACCATACCTAAGAAAATTGAAAGATAGCTCGTATTGTACTTATACTTTATAATATTCTTTTCAGCTTTGGTAACTACATCGGTACCAAATTTAAAATTCTTTTCCTTGCAATTGAAATACCACACAAGTGTGACGTTCCTAGTCAAGGGCGGGGGAAGTGCAGTTTAGGAAATGCGGGACAAACTATTTTTCAAATGTTTTTCTTGGCGGAGGGATATAGACAGCTTGACATAATAAAAAAGATAAGGCGATAAGTGCATCATAAGTTTGTCGTTGAGTTTTGTTTTCAGATCACAACCCGAAAATAACGAGGTACGATCTTAAGTTTGAAACAGAACTGATGGACAACTAAAGAAGAAGCAGGGCAAAGGAAGCAAAAAATGAAAAAGCGAGCTCTTGAAAGATTTTCCTTCCTTCGCGTGCAGTGTGTTGATGAAGGGCTGGGATAGGCTTAGCTCTTACAACTAAGCAACTTCATCTTTAACATCACGTTCAACGTTTTTCACGCTATTTGCAACGTTTCAAATAATCGCGAAATTTCATTATGAATTCCTGTAACTCTCAACATAAATATTTCCCTTTGACAAAACATACTTTGGGCTGCTAGACAAGACAAGATCTGATTAAGCACGGCCTATATGACGTAATTAATTTAAAATCTTATTCACCTTTTAATAGAAGTATAAAATATTTCTCACTTTTGCGGTAAGAGCTGGGAGATAATCATAGTCTTCATAGCAAGGAGAAAAAATCCCTCTCAGAAACACATTAAAGTAATTTCAGAGTTTGGTATGGTAGAATGTGCCTCGCCTTCTGTTTTAACCTATCACAACTTGAGTGGATTATCGCGCTATGTAATTATACCTTGCGAGTGTACCTCGCAGGTCAAAAGGCTGGGTGACAACTAAACAATTTTCGTTTTCAATTCTATCCTGCGAAGAGGAAAACATACCACTGGAGAAAAGAAATTAAATTTTTACATCTTTTATAGTCTACATGACTTCGTATTTAATGTGAGGATTTTCTCATGCTTATCAGATAATCTTGCCTTGGTTTCATAGCCGCTAAAATGAAACAGACTTCGTCTACATCTGCCGCTATATTAAAAACACCAAACGAAACGAACAAATTCTGCCCAATTTTTGCCTTTCACTGGCTTCTTTAACAATACTTTGATATATTTTCAAAGCATGCTTATCAACAGTCGTAACCTCAATGTATTTTCACAAAAACTGCTGTCTATTCTTAAACCAACAATTACTGAACAGATTATAGTCAGACTGCGGGGTTGAAATGGCTCACTAGGTGGGAACTAAGCCTGTGTGTTGTATGATCGGAATGATTATCATCAAGGAGAACACGTACTCATCGTAATAGACTGAAGCTGACTGAGAAACAGCATCATCGGCACAGCTATGAATAAGTATGACTACTACATTGGAATCCTGTTTTCGAACTACCTTGGAAAAGCAAATTGGTTCGAATTATCGGGAGGTTTGAAAATCGACCCCGGGTGAAACTACAGTGTTTGACTGGGGAAGTCGGGGAAGTTAGGTTTGGTTCGAATTATCGGGAATTTCGAAAAACCCAGGGCTACTCAGGGTTCGAGAAAACCGATTTCTACTGTATATGTAAAAGAGGCAATTAGAAATAATTTAAGACAATTTTAGATAATCGCGTCCCACTTGATAACAACCATCTGTTGCGCTGTAAAGCGCGGTCAACACTTGTGCCATGCTGTAGGACAGTTATACAACGTAGAAAATATTTGTATTAACATAAAAGTAAAAGATCAAATGAAACCATTGTTTTCTGCTGTTCTTGCGCTTGATAGGCGATGAACGCCGCTTAAATAACGACTTACCTTTCTCGATTTCCTCCAAGCTAAGTTCTGGTGATGGGCGCCCAGAAGCCAACAAGATAAAAGCTAAAATGAGAATGAGGCGAGCACACAACATTCTGTAAAACGACTATAATCAAGCCGACAAGCGCTAAAAAAAGTTCTTGTGCCGCTCTTCGACTTGTAGCGTCTGTTTCTTGATTTGGAAGGACGCGAGTGAAACTAAGTAGTATTTCAAAACCGAAATACATTTCTGTCAACCAATCAGCGAATGCTGTTTTAATATACAACGAGGGTAGTGTTTCACATCATATCAATAACACATAATTAGCAGAAGTCTTGACATTTGCTTTTTATAATTTATGATAAACTATACAAAGAGGTCAAAGAGCCATCCCCAGATGATTCGGACACAGCAGAGTACGAACCGATGTTACATTTTCTTTATTCAAAAGCGCCGGCTATTATAGTTGTTATTATACATTGTACTCACTATCTTTCTTTCCATTGGCTAAAAGCCTACAGCTAGTTTTGTAAAGCAGTGCAACCTACAGACAGTTAGCCCCCTCCCCCTGACAAAGGAAAAACGGAGAGAGGGAGCTTAAAGGGGCTATGTCAGCTGGAGAGCATGCGCTCTGAGGTTATGCAAATTACTTTCAACTGTCAAAATTCTATTGTTTTGAATTAACGCGTGACTTTCTTTATGTTCTCTGTCACGTCCAAGGTTCCGAATTTAGAGAGGTTAACAAGCGAAATGGGTTTGGATAAGGGATATTTCGATAGAATTTATGGAACGTTTCTTCTCTGGTTATGCTAGATCAAGAATAAAATTGTGACGACAATTTTACTTGTAGTTTTGAAGTAAAAACGCATGCCATTCATAAAATAGAGCGCAAACAAAAATTCAACAACATATTGTCTTATTCAACAAAATAAATGGAAGTTGTATTTTACAAACGAGCTACAAAAGACGCTAGACCGAAGATAAAGACCAAGACTGTTTCAAATCATTAACAATTAGCCTTCTCTGTCGCTACTGATTTTATAATTTAGATGCTGATAGAACAAGAGACCAAGTCTTTGTTTTGATCTTAGGGAAACATACATTATCGCGCAAAATTGTTCGATCGTGCCGAATCACTGGGACGTCGAGAAAAACAGAACCCAGCATCATTGGTATACTACTCCACTATAAGCAGTGCGTTGATAAAAAGGGAAAGTAAACTCTGCTATTTTCCAAAATTATGCTCGAACACAAACAGTTCAAAAACATGACATTTGCAGGATCTAACTCGTACTAAGGTGCCTCTCTAAGTCCGTTGAGAACAATCTGGACGAGCAAACGGTCGTGTTTATCTTTGCCGTGAATCGAGATAAATACAAGAAGGAATCTAGCCGAATTTTAGAATGTTTCCTTCGCCAGGAGTTTAGTTGCGTCACGAAACTCATGGCCTGATGCTCTTGTAATCGTTTACAAAAAACGGCCGCCGCCAACTCGATAGCCGCTTCATTATATGTCCACATACTTTGAGTACAAGAAAAATCCAAGAGCCAGCAGCCTCTAAAATAACTCAACAGAAAGGTCCTGTGAACTATAGGGAAGATTCCATCAAAGATTCCATCACTCATTGTGGAGTAGCCGTCATTAACTCTGCCATTACAACGGTCGCTGATAAGAGGACACATGTAGTAAATCCACGTAAAAACATTCCACAGGCAAACAATTTTAAAATAACGGCAAAAAATTGTTCTGTAATCACCATAGAACGATTCTTAATACAAAACTTTGCTAACTATCGAAAGATGGCTGAGATTTAGACAGATAAAAACAGCCTTCCAAAATCTCCGACACAACTTGAAAAAGTTGGGCCGTCTTTTTCAAGTTTGTTTTCATTGGCTCGCGCATGCGTGTTGGGTGACATAGTCCCTTTAACACTTACCTCGACCTTGATTATTCCGGATATCACAAAAACCTCATTCAATAACTGTTCACAATTTCACTTAAAATTTCTTCCAGTGGTTAATGGTTGTGGACAAGAGAGAATGTTGTGGAGGTTTACCGCGCAGCCCTGCGGGGGGTAGGGAAGGAGTACTCCGTGCTCCCTACAGTAGCCTTTGGGGAGGCTCCTCCCGAACGGGGTGCCTTATTCAGGCCGCAGGTACATGAACGGATAGGGATTTCACTAGTTAAAATAAGGGTAGGGAAATCTGTCATTTCCGTAATCGGCTCCTGATGGCTACGTGAAAGTCGAGAAGCCATTCTAATAGCCCACGTTAGATATGTATTAAAATTCTAACAAGACTCTTAGGCTTTCTGATCATTTTTCCATGTTTGTTTGGTTTTCATTGTGCTCAGGTCTCTTCTGAGAATTGCGAGATACTGGAGTCGTGAAAAATTTGCACTTGGCCCAAAAGCCTTGGCCTGTAGTCACTCATAATACATGTTATGCAGAAAATAAATAGCAATTTACACGTTAGCCCGTCCACCGCGCGCTGGAAGATCTTTAAAGAGATTTCTGTGAAAAAGCTATGTCAAGAGAGAATCTTGGCTTAGTGATGTCCACGTAAGATCAAAGCTGCTAAAATTGGGCATGAACGCGTGCACTGCTTGAAACGGGCTGTAAAACAAAGATACTAGAGTGCGCCAAAAAAAGAACAGTGTGTGTGTGACAGTGACAGTGTTAACAGACATGCCTGTCGTTTTGCTTACACAAAACAAAGTGGGGGAGAATTGTTGATGTTTTTTGGGTGTGAAATAATTGATTAACACTTTAATTGTTATAGTTGTCAGAAGGTAAACGTAAAAGAAAATGTCCATGGTAGAAAATCCAAGGTTTCGGCAAGTCCAAGTAAGAATTTTTCAATTTTCTACCTCACAGTATATGGCAAGATCCTTGTGTATGGTTAATTGTTATTACTATTTCATCTTTACTTTTTCTTCTTGCTTTCTCCCTTTTTTCCGGTTCAGCAGAGGGTTTTCGATCGAACCTCCCGGACAACCCCTAGATCACCACCCTCGTGACTTCCCCACAATTTTTGTCCAGCGTTGTTAGCGTGGTTGTGCTGATAGGATTTTCTTAACAGATTCTACTGATGTTATTCCTATTAATTCTCTATTTCCTTAGGCCTCTTACGGACCTTACTCGCTTGACAGGAACTTGCCACTACCAGCGAATGCTGACGGTTAGCAAACAGGAGAGTATCATTGGAGCTGAGGGGCATGATCGAACCGTCATCTCAACTTTGAGACCAAATAATGCCCAATCATGTCCCAGACTGAAATCAGTCGGGAACTTGCCACCGACAAACATAGATTCGTAAGCTGTAAGCGAAAGGAAAAAGTGAAGAGGGTTTGGTCAGCTTGTTTGCCGGCAACACTGTAGCCTTTGCCAGTCTCTCGGTCAGTGCAGACGTTCGAAAAAGCGAGCGAGCGAGCAGGCAAAAAACGGCGGGAAGAGAGAAAAAGGAGAAACTCCACATCGGCTCCTCGTATCTCTGCAGCCCCAAGGCTGTTTTCGCGCATTTTGTCTCGGTCCGCTTTCCCTTCTATCTTGGAATCTGGAACAGGTTAGCTACCCTAAGACGTTCCGGGGAGGAAAAGAGAATGTGGAAAAAGAAAGCAAATTAAAAGGCCTTTATATGGTATAGGTAGTTGGTGTGAAATTTTCTTTCGATCCTTTTTCAGTCTCATCAATAGCCCTCCAGGTTTCGAAACTGATGTAGAAAAAAATGATAGATATGATCCTAGGCTGGGTTCAAACTGAAAGAACCTGTCCTTCATCGCCCGGTGATCATGGTTCGAATTCTGACTTAGAAAATACAAAGTACCTGAAGAAAGCCAATTAGAGAAAAGAGGGACAGAGTCCTTGCGCCTGGTCTTTTCTTGGGCTCGAACTAACTGAGAGTCTAAAAGAGGCTACTAAAATTGATGTATAATATCTTCAAGATTTTCCGCAAGGGCGAATAATGATCCTATACCTTTTTTTGCCTGTTTTCAAATACAGCCATGACAACGCGCAGTGCAAACGCAGTGTAAGCAAATGCTTGAGAGGCATCTTTGAATTTTGCACAAAAAGGAGTGCCTATCGTTAAGATGTAGGAAGTCGCGCCCTTATATCCTATGCCGCTGTTTCGCATTCCACAGTTTGCTCTGGATAAATTTGAGAAAGCAACACTTTATATGTTAAACAAAATGATAATACCAGAATAATGTATTCATTTTTTTATTTCTTATCTGCATCAACTAGTACTGAATTAGTTAAAGTTAATTTTATGTAAAGGTGCGGGAATTAGCAAAAGCATCCTTACTCTTACCAAGGAAAATAGTTCTCTTTCTCCTACCCAGTTCATAAGTTTCCGGCGTGCCAGAAATATCTTGGGCTCCTGCTTTAGTGAGCTCATAGAGGAGGTCTCCCCATTTTGTCATGGACCCTTTTAAAGCCCAAAACACTGAGCGTAGACCCCACCAGCTACACCACAGATGGATTAGGTTATTACGTAACCGCAACAAGGTAAGTTTAAATAGAAACCCTTTAATATCATCTTGAAGAAAGAGTATACAGGAAATTGTCTTGAAAAATGGAGATTTGGAGCAATCGAGGGTATCATTAGCTTTTCGCTTCTCTTTGCGCAAGAGCCGCGCTTCAAATTTACGGGAGATTAGATTTGATATTCAGGCAACTAAACGAGAGTTTAATTGAGTCCAGATATCACTAGATTTTTACTTCAATTTCCCGAAATATTCTAAAGATAGGCACAACCACATAGACACGCCCGACAGGGTCTAAGTAGAAGAAAAGGAACTTTCGACCAACACCAGATTTACCAAAGGCAGATAAAAGCTTAAAAGTTTTCAGTTCAGTTTCATTTTCTATTATTTGGCCTGCTAGCCATGTTTTCCTGCCACTGACGAAGATCAGTTTCCGTTGACGGTTTTTGACTGAATATATATGCGACCTATTAAAAAGCAATGATAAGAATTTGTATACCTAATGCCAAAGCGTCGCGAAATAGAAGAGTCTTGACTGCATACATTTTCAATTGTTTCGTACAAGGTCAGGTCATATCACCAAAAAGGGATTTCAGTGTTTAGTTTTGTTTTGTCTACTTAGACGCGACATCCTGCGTAAGAAGACCATAGAAACCTGTCTTTGTGTACAGGACTGCTGGGGAAATTCAAGCAATAGTCAGGTAAGAAAAATTTATACGTTTTTCTTTGGACAGATCTTATATATTTCTAATGTTATTGGTAATTGAGGTCAGGGCTTTAACATGGCTGTGACATAGATTTCTCGTGTGCCCAAAGCGACAACAATTCATCGTCCTACAGTTATGATACATATGAGAGCTGAGTTGACCTGAGTAGTGTGAGCATCACCTCTTTAATAAAGAGACAAATCTTTAAAGGTTTTGTAAATGCTCTTTTATGATCATCAAAATTGACAATGCAAAGACATTTAAGATTCCACCAGGAAGTTTTGAATTCGGACTAAAGGGATTTTTGAAAAGAAATCATTCTAGGACAACCAAGCTTTCGACGACTTACGGTTCAGATTTTTCCGAGTGTGGACAATTGCTTCTCCTAAAAACCTACTGAAGATCAAAATTGGTGAGAAAGCTTTTTAGTACTCGAACACCTAAACAGTTCAAATGTTTTCCAAAATACTTGAAATAATAATTGGCGAACACTAAGCTGAGTCTTGCCGAGCTACCCTAAGTATCGTACCAGTGAAGTCTCACGATTCTAACTGATAAAGTTATTTGTTTAGGAAATACATTGTTTGCTGTTGGGATTTTCTGAAGCCCTATTGTTTGGACTATGTAAGTTCATTCTTCACATAGTGCGGAAGGGATCAGAGGATAAAATGCGTGAGCCCTCGATGATAATTGTATGAATCAGTCAACAGCGACAATCATCACAACAAATGTTATCGTTTTGTCTCGAAGAACCCGATCCAGTTTATTTCATTGACTAATTCTGTGGCTGATATAGAGTAAAGTAGAGAAAAACTATCAACTCAGGGCGGGGGGGGGACAATGTTTTATATGGGGAGGCTACGCCCCGAGGTCCAACCCCTTCAGCTTTTATATACCGTTTTTGGCAGAAAAGGCACCCCTTTCCTATAACTTCTATTGACAAAAGGTACCCCCTTCACTTATCTGGTTTAAAACTTTGCATTCCTTTTAACTGCTCTAAACTCACTGTTTTAAGAATATAAATAGATCACAAAACAGAACGGTGGTCAGAACTTAACGCCCATCGATTGCATCTGTTGGCCCTTATGAACCTTTTTACCGACCGAACTGCACAGATCTCCCTTCCCTTAATATACTTCAACAAGTAAAATCCCTACCCTTTCATTAGAAAAAAGGTACGGCCCATTTCGGGCGGAGCCTCCCCGCATAGGTCATTATAGGGAGTACCCCCGGGGATTAACTCGTAACTGAACAAAGAAAAAAAACTGAGTTCGTTGCCAAGCTATCATGTACCCAGGGATCGTTTGACTTAAGCCTCGATGGTGTCGCGTCATTCAGTCGTTCTTACAATAGCGTGAATAATAAGAATTGAGTTTCAAGGGAACATTTTTCTAATTGTTTTTCGTATTTAAATGATCTCTTTAACTCTTCTATATGTGTTTATGGCTGCAAAATGGCAACACGTGACTGTCATAGTCTGAGGGTCATCCAAAAGTAACGCAGAATCTTCCTGATTTCAACCACAAAATGATAAACAACACATCGTGATGTTTTCCAGGCCTAGATTATCCCACGTCAACGGGTATACTTTGAAAATGAGCTGATCATAACCAAAAGCCCCGTTCAAACGGACGCAACATTGTTGGCCAACAACTCCCGACTTTGTTGGATGTTACATGTTGTGTTCGTTCGCACACCCTATTGCATGTTGTTGCGAGTTGTTGCGCAAAGTTTGAAACCGGTCAAACTTTTAGCCATGTGCCAACGGACGCAACAACTCCCAACATCGTTAGGCCAACAATATTGGGAGTTGTTGCGTCCTTTTGAACGTAGCCTATGCAAGGACTCATACTAGGAGACGGTCTTTTTTAACGACGGCGTGCCTGCCTGAGAAGAAAAGCCAAAAAAGCTACTGGTAGTTAGTTTTTTGCTAAACTATGACACTACACATGACTACAAGGCAATGTAAGGTCAGCCAGTCTAGAATAGATTCAATAATTCTCTCTCCTTAAAATTACTAGTCTACCATTACCAAGCTATAGTCGCCTAAAAGTATCACTGCCATATGCGTCATCTTTGAATAGAACTTTCCCGGCCTGCATGCAAGCTCAGCTCAGTATGTACTGGCAGACCTTCTCGAATTCATTGGCGTCAATGAAATCTTTTTTTTAAAATCCATTATCTAACACATGATACGTGTGCCCTTGCATGACTATTTTGGATTTACTAGATTTTGTTGAAACATCGCCTTAATCTTTTTTTGGACTGGTACTGATCTGTTTTGATCCAGTGTTAAGCAAATTTGATTGTCCAAGGCTTTTGAAAGCAGTGATTCTCACAAGGCTAAACAGTTGAACGCCTTCGGGAAGTGTGCATTCGTACTTATACACGGGTAAATCATAACAGGCGCAAGTGTCAATGGAAATTTAATAATGACTGATAACCATCTGTGCTATTGCTTTATCTGCTTTAGGACAATTGCATAGTTAAGCCGCTTAACTTGGGTAGTCTGTAAACATGTGAAGAAATAACTTCCTGCCTCCCAGTTAATGACAGCCTGCGTGCCAGGAGCAGAAAGAGCGGGGGGGGAGGGGGCGGGGAGAAAGTGAGAAAGGGAAAAGGAAGATCAAAAATTGGCGGGAAATGAACAAAAGAGGGTTTTTTGACAGGCGTCCCTTCTCCTCTCTTTCCCAATCCCCTTCTCTTTTTCCTTCCTCCCGATCCCCAACCCCTTTCGATGCCTTCCATGCAGGCTACGTTGCTGAAGGGACTTTGTCCAATCGATGTTCACTGACTAGCTAACGTTTATAACTACAGGGAGACCAGCTGACAGCCAGCCCCTTTAGACAGCGCTATATGTGTTCAGGAGCCTATAGGTCGTTTGCTATGATGCTTCGATCCTCTAGGCGAGCAGCATATTAACTCGGCTTTGGGTTTGCTGTGGTTCCTTGAGTGCCCTGACGCAAATTAGGCGTTGCACTGTATCAGTGTAAAAGGCTCGATTCTTTTGCCTTACTATTAATGCGCACAATTATGCCGGCATTTTGAAGACAAGGCCAAAACTAGTAATAATCGTAGAACATAAAGGGCGTTCGAGCTACAGGTTAAAGCACGTTTTGATCGGATAACCTCGGAAATGCCACAGAGTATAAAATTTTTGGGACACCTTCCAACGAAAAATTTATATGCGACAATATCTAGCATTTTAAGCGAACGGAAAAGTAATCACCGGGCAAAGGGGCTTTCGTGTTTTGATATCAAGAGATAACAAGAATGGAATGCAAAGTTAAACAAATCAGTTTGATACAACGATAACGCGAAGTGTGCCACGCAAACATCAGAAAACAAGATGCCGTACCATTCTTGCATCAGAAATAGATTGCTTGCAAGCCTGGGGCAAGTTGTAAAACATCAACTAGACAGTCCATAAGGTTAACTCTGTTTTTATTTATGGCTCATGCCGATTCGATCATTCACTCATAAAAAATGTGTTCAAGATCTTGTTCCGGAAGAAAGAACGATAAATGTGCTGCTCGTCAGAGCTTTTATTCGTTGTTCGGCACGTGACCGTGGTCTGCCCAATACTAGACGTAATTCAAGATGGCGCCATAAAAAACGCAGGATGCTCAAGAATCACAGAATGCCCAAGATCGTTAGTTGCCTTCTCCTTACAAAGAACGCAAATACTTAAGCAGGATTTGAGGTCTCACAGTTAACCAAGGGCTCTTGAGTTAACAGCTATGGGGACTCAGCACAGTACTATGTTTACACGTCATGCGAAACTTAGGGTTTGTCTCGTGTAAGAAATTTTCCCAAAACACGCAGAAGTGAGCCTGCTCGGAGGCTATGAGAAACTTGGTACCTCATCTCCCCAGTTCAGAGGACAACGTAAGAAACTTAAAAGAGAATGTGATTTATTCTTTTAAAGAACAATTGGACGGATGTACGTTTCACTGATTATAACTTTCAGCAGCACGTATTGAAATGGCAAATGATTAAGCAATTTTTGTTAGAAATTTCGTAGTTTAAAAGGAATTTAAGAATTTTGCATTTTAGGATTTCCAGAAAAAGGACAACTCTGGTGGGAAGTAAAATCAAAGACATTTCCCTTCTGTTTGAACACATTATTTGGTGTTATGACATCATACTATTTGGTATTACTAATCGAGAGACGAGGCATCAGTTTTACATGTAACATTTATATACAAAGTTTGTAAAAAATAAAAACGAGCTTTGTTAGGCACAAATCATGCGCATGATTCAAAACTCATACTTAACAATCGAGGTTTACAGTATCTCTAAAAGTTCAAACACATACAGTTATTAAGTGTTTGCAAAAAAAAACTCAAGTTGTAATCCAAGTACAGTCAGTGTTCGCAAAGTTTTCAAACTGACAGACGCCAGTTAGGTTTAATGATTTCATCTGCTTTTTGATTGAAGCATGAGTCGGGTATAAATTTCGATCAGGGGCCTGTTTTGATACATTACTCGATAAATAGCTTATATCACAGATTTTTTTCAGGGATGATGTAAACAAATTTTTCTGCGACCTCAAAAACAATACTATTCTCCGTCTACGCTAGGATGGCTCCAGATCGGAACCGTACTTTGCATATCTTCTCTTAAAAACTAAATGGTTAAAACAGGAGCCCCTGGTCAAAAATGATGAAAGAAGAAAATGTTGTTCTTTTGACAATAAGATGCTTGTTGCTTTCTCAGAAGCTCTCTGGACGTCTCTATATGGCTCCTGCTTCAGAGAGTAAAAGCGGCTCCAGAGAGAAAACGCGCAGAATTTTTCTTTTGACGTCATGATTAGATAAAAACACCCGATAGGCAATACAGAACAGACACATATCCTGCAAATCATCCGTTTGTTTTTCCTGTTATTTTAAACAACGAAGAAAAACCGAACGTTTTGACAAACTTGCTTTAAGTTTTTTTTTTTTTTCGTGAGCATAAAATAACGTGACGTTTGCGTGTTACGTGAGTGAGGCCTGTGTCAAAGTACGTTCTGCGGGACTGCGGGCGTATGCTAATTCCCAAGCTCCCAGCGGCGAAATAATTTAGCGCGCCGCAGAGCTGTGGTTTCGCGCCAACAGTTTTTTGTCTTGTTCAGAAAATTTTTCATTGATTTTAGCCGCGTGGAGCCACTAATTGCATCTTCGAATTTAATATCGACTATTGTTTTAGGACTCTGAAAACAATGGTCTTTGAGAAAATGAACTATCAATGTAATTGGAATATAATGAGCTTGGTTTTCTTGACGCTACCAATTATGTTTACTACGCGGAAAGCGATATTGTCTCTGCAGTTCATCTGTTTAAAATGCATGAATATACTAAACGTAGCTAGTTTCACTGTCATTCAGCTCGGGGTGGTTTCTACGACAGGGAGGAAGTTATTTCACGAGAAAAGAACTAAAATTTATCGGTAAGTACAATCATAAACTGTCCGAAGTATAGTGTAATCTCGGGAAACTGTTTGCAAGGCTGTCTTCGATTCGTGGTGAAGAAAGCTGCGCTATTTAAATGGCTTGCGTGGTAAACAACCCCATAAAAATAGAAGTCTGAGTTTTAGTCATTGTCGCTAAGGATTAAAATTCTTTTTGATTGACCTTTTGGGGCCTTATGTTCCTATTTTGTGAACTAAAACCTTGTAACTTTTGTGTCATCGCGAGACTGGTGAGTTGCAAGTAAGATTAGGTAGAATGGTTTGCACGTTGTTTATGTCTAAGGGACGTAAGTCTTAACGTTAAGCGAAGGACTGAAACAGAAATACGAGTGACTGAAAATTTATCTGGAGGTGCTGTTCTAACCACGAAAGAACTACTATAATGTTTTATAAGTGTCGTGTTGTTTCATCTCGTTTTGTTTAACGTACAGATTAATTCAAGATCAAATTGAGTTTACGTCAAAGGAAGTGCTGAATTTTTTTTATAAAAATACAGTTCATGCGTAAGGAATGTGAAGAATTATTCAGCCTTTTCGGATGGTCATCTTAAGATTGGAAAAGAATATCCAAATATCTTTTTGTCGCTAATTGTTTTGCTCTATTGTAATAATGAAGTGAAATGAAATTAAAAAGACAATTTTTGTGTTATTTATAAAAAGGAATCAAGTGTACAATATTACAGATTTTATAAAAAGTAAACTGCACTTTGACCTGTCAATCAGGTTATCAAATATTCAACTTCAGTAACGGGCACAGCTGAGAAATTATACTTAACGTAATATATAGAGAGGCCCAATTAGCTAGAATTTCAATTAACTAGTGATGATAATAAATTCTGATCACGTGTTTTTGCAAGTAACGATAATCTTCTCTAAGTACATTAATTCCCCCTAATTTTGGATGCTTTTAATAATGTCTGATAATAGACCTGTCCAATTTTTTTTTGGAGGGGGGGGGATTTTTTTGTCAGAAAATGTTACAGAGCATATAAGTTAGAATAATTTGTGTAAAGTGTGTCTGTTAAAGGAGCAATTAACCAATACATGTCGTATAGCTTATGGCTAAAGAGTAAGACAGAGTCAGTATAAGAAAAAATGAGTTGGCTGCTAGGGTAGATTCTTATGAGGACCTAAAGAAATGCACAGAACATTCTGTTTTGACCAGGAGCCAATGGATCAGTTAATCAGCTCGTAGTTTTGACTTACTGTGATTTGGACAAAGTGCTGATCTGTTTACGTATCTGAATTTTTTTTTTTAGATTTGTAATGGCATGTCAATGAATCCTCTTTTATAATGTCCAAAACACTGTCTGACATCAATAACATTCAGCCAGATATTTAATGCCTGATATTAAACACATTCTAAACCTTTTTGGTGTACTTTTGTACGTCTGTCAATTTAGAAAAGCCTTTATGTCTGTGTTGTCTAGGCTAAAAGGATCGTAATGATGTTAAACTAACATATTGATCAACTTTACCAATTGATATTGTTATAAAAATGGCACTTGACAGTACGTTCACAATTTTCCCTCGAGGGGAATTTTAGAACAATAAAATATAATAAGAGTGAGGTAGAAACAAGATGGTACAGGTAGCCTTTACTCAGGATGGTTCATGGCTTAGTGAAGTTACCAAAAATTTAGTTCCAGTTGATTCTGACAAACTAAAAAGTCAGGCAAAAGTATCGGATGAAATGGAAACTTATCAAAACTAGACACATATAAACTGCATGAGCTCTGGCTTCTGTATAAAAAAGTTCAAATGAGAAGTACGTCACCTAAGAAATCACAGTCTTCAAAGGCAATATATATCGAAATAACAACAGTCTATATGCTTGCATAAACATCTGGAAACAATATTGCGTGACTAAAATAAGGTGTTAGATTGTTGTAATTGTATAGTAAAGGTCATAAAAAAGGAAGATAAAATCAATGACTTCAAAGCAAAAAGCAAGAATATAGTCTTAAAAGCTAATTCAAGTACTCAATTCATTTTCTGTTTCTTCTTCTGTAGTGCAACTTATATGCTTATAAATGTAAAGGGATTCCTGATATCTTGGCTAAGATTCTAGAGTTGATCAACAACACTCCGTTCAAATTCCTTTGGTAGCTCACCACTTTGAGAAGGCTTCTCGTTAAGGTTCAAGCAGAATTAGTTGAGTTTGTCAGTAACTCAGTCACTGATTGAACTGAACTGTTCAATCATCATCTTTTACTGAAGGGAGTCTAGAGATAAACTGCATGTGCATTTGGTATAAAGATCTTAAAGGTCATTAATGGATTCATACAGTCATGTAGATTGACAAACCAGCCATCAATTTCCACCCCACCCCACCCCCTCCGTTTCACTCATTTTCATTAATTCTTCTAGTTTCTCTCGGTCCATAATATCCCTTCTGATATGGCATTATGAGAATACAGATTTTGAATGTTGTAATTTTTTCAGTGCTATACTTACATTCTTTCTGTGTTTGATTTCAGCAGCGTAAAGAATGGCAAATATTAAAAACAGGGAGGCATCTCTCAAACTTGGTCAGACTAACAGTAAGTGTGCAAGGTGCGGAAAGACAGTGTACTTTGCTGAGCAAGTGTTTGGTGCTGGAAAGAAGTGGCACAAGCAGTGTTTCAAATGTGTTGAATGCAATAAGTCCGTTAGCAGTTCTTCTCTGCGAGACAAAGATGGTAAGTCAGAGGATCTTGTCAGATAAATTAAAGCTGCTTTCTGGAGTGTGCAAGCTAAATTTATAGGGTTCATAAGGTAAAGCAAACCCAGCCTAAATGACAACAAATTTGTCTATCAGTAAGCTATGCTGAATTCTTGCAGGGCTGGAACAGTGCTTGAATCCAGCTTCATGTCTAATACCTTCCCCTGTGTTTATTGGTATTTTTAGGTGAGATCTATTGTGCCAATTGCCATACCAGAGCCTTTGGAACAAAAGGTTATGGATATGGCATTGGGAGTGGAGTGCTTAGTACAGACACTGGAAAGGCTGGAGAAATTGTCTCTACAGCACCAAAAACTGCTCCTTTAAACTCCAATGGGCTAGCGCCTAGAAATGGCTGTCCTCGATGTAATCTTGTGGTATATGATGCTGAAAAAATTCGAGCAGTTGGAAAGGTAATATAGGTTTATGTGTAGTATAAGAAGATGTTTTTTTATGAGAAGAGAGGCTTGAAAACACATTGTTGGTGACTTAATAATATTTATTATCTGCATGTACCACATTTGAGGCTTATTTAAGGTTAAGTTGGAAAAAAAAGCTTAAGCACGCTTTTATAATAAGTACAGCTGGCATTGGACTGCACCGAAACTTGATGTCTTTTTTTTCATGAAAGTTTAGCCATTTTAACCTCTTTTTAAACCAGTTAACCTTTCTTTAAGCCAGTAGAATTTACCAAGCAGCAGGCTTGTGGCTTTATAATTTATTCTTTTACACGGTAATAATTATTTTCTGTGGTTTGTTGTTTAAAGCTGTTTCACAAGCACTGTTTCAAGTGTGTGGCTTGTAGCAAAGGTTTGACTCCAACAACAATGCGAGATCATGATCAAGAAATCTACTGCAGAGGTAATTTCATTTTAATTTGATTGTTTGTTTATTTCCTTATTAGTCTCGCTTAGCTGTGAGACACAGAAAATGCAAGCATTCCATTTTTTTTTTAATTTGTGTGTATGTGCCAAAATGGGGTCATGGTCTCAGGCGTTCCTAGCGAAGACCATGGAAACTAGGGACAGGAATTGCGACAGGTCAGAGCACCATGCTTTATTTTGTGAAGAAAGGAAAGATTGATACGAAAGATGTCAAGCTTTTCTGGAATAGGTGGGTTCACAAATTCTATCGTTTGAAAGCATTGTTTAGTTTGGAACAAGTGAATACTTCAGTGATAACTTCGATGGTGACGCTATAAACTGGTCAGGTGTTGTAAACTTTTATTGTATGCAAATGAGTCTTATGGTGAGCATACAGTTTATTTCAGTGGTGATTGAAATGATGCACCATCACGTTTTTGGTCTCTGGCAGTCATGTGATTTCTCTCGAATTGATTTTCGTGTATTTATACATGCGTTCTCAATCATAATTGTTAAATTTGATGTAAAAAGTAAATATCCTGAAGAATACTCGATTGTCAATAAAGTAGGAAGTGGAAAAACTTTTAGAGAGGAAATCCTGTTTTGTGTAGAATTAATTGCCTCCTCATTTCTTATCTAATCTCTAAGCCAGCGAGACTTCACACTTTTTGAACAGTGATCTTGTCCTACTTGTTCTTGTTTTTTCCTTCTATTTCTTTTCATTTTAGTCGGTTATTTTCCATTCATTGTTTACCAACCCATTATGTTTGTTCAGTTATCCATTTACTTGATTATAAATGATTTTTCATGTCTCTTTTCTTCTCCTAGCACCCACCCCTTTTTTCACTCTGTTCTGTCAGACTTCAGAATAAGAAAATAGTTGCATTTTGTAATGCTTCAGAAATGTAATGTTAACCTGAGCCACAAGACCTTTTGCAGCATATTTGTGCTTTTTTCTTTATTTTTATTAGCCTTCAAAGTTCGTCGAGCGCGCGTGATAAAAATAAACCGCGGGGGATTTATTGACCGCCAATGCCAAGCGGTAGGGGTGGGGAAAGAAGAAAATAGACGGTAACGTTATTTTTTTATCTCGCGCTCTCGCTTGCTCGCCTCGCTCTCGCGCACGCCGATGTTTTCCAAAAGAGCGAAAAGAAAAATAAATCAACGTCTGTGTACAGGCTTCATTTTTATTTTCTTGATGTTTTTAACAGTTCTGTAATGTTCTACAGGATTTGAATGATCAAAAGAAATCAGTGACAGCAAGTGACAGATTGTTCTTTCTGTTGAATTCTTTTTTTTTAGTGTTCGTGAGAACTTATGGCAACCTAAAAAGAAAATTCTCTTACAATTTTCCGTGTCCTTGAAAGATGTTTGTGTTTTTCCAAACTTTTCTCTGACAGATAGTAGCCCTGTGTCAAAACTGCTGACCTACCACCATTAACCTTAAATGATAAAACATGATTGCAGGTAACAAACTTGTTCATTTATTTCAATTACAGCCTGTTATGAGATCAACTTCGCACCTAAAGGATTTGGATTTGGCCAGGCGCTATCCAGGACGTAACAAGTGGAGGAGCACAGGGATCCCAAGAATGGGTTACCTACATCCAACCAAAGTGCAGCACATAGGAAAAGAAACATCTGTTTTTAAACTCTTTTACTTAAACTCACAAGAATGTCGTATTCTATCTAACTGTTTTATGGATTTGTAAGAAAAGAAATTTATTATTGATAAATCATTTTTCAGTAGATGAAATAATGATGATGAAACCCACAATACACTTTCAGTCATAATGGTAATGACTTATTGTACAACATAACACTCCGTTTGTAACAACTGGTTCTGAGGAGAACAGTTGGGGAGGGACTAGCTTGTGTAGCATGGCGGTTTTGGTTGGGCGCGCTACGTAATAAACGCGGGAGGGCAGAGAAACCGCGAGGAGATTGGGGTGGGAGCTTGGAACTTGAAAAGTTTTGATTTTTCTCCTGGCTTCGCCGCTCGTGCGCCCGGCTCAACAAAACCGCCATGCTACGCAGGCTAGGGAGGGACGAAATACGAGCTCCCGTAAAAACGCCTGGGGTGAGGCTTATAACAGTTCTAGCGTAAAAAAAAATCAGATAATCATGATATTCACGGCCCCCCAAAAAAACTACACACATGTAGCTATTCAGGTCCAGGCATTTCTAAGAAAATCAAAGAAACTAAGGTTATTTAGCCGCAATGAAAAAGCTTAAGGCTTAAACAGAGGTAAAATAAAATCATTTAATGGTAAACTGTGTCTGTGATCAAATCCTGTCCGAAAACATTTGCAGAAACATAAACCACAGGAACTAGTAATTGCTCAATATGCATGGAACAGACCAGCTTCATAACCTCTAAATGTGATACTCAAAGCGGCAAAAAAATGTAATTGCTCAGTCAAAGTGTAGAATACTCCATGCACTGCATGAACTACGCAAAAAGCGAGCAAGAAAAACCTTAGCCTGCGTAGCAAGCGTTTCCAATCGAGTTATTGGGCTAAAGTTAGAGCGGTGTTGTTTAAGCTGACTCTAAGGTCACGTTTCACACCATCACGAGCTCAATCTCTCGGTTTGGCCCGGTCAACACTTAATTCAAATCGGACTAATCACAAACTGCGTAAGAAACTAGCCAATCGAAAACGCCGACATACGTCCTTGCGACTCTGCGGGATTCGAACACGATATTGTGCACTAATTCGCAGACGCTCTATATAGAAGGTTTAGAGTGTCTGGGACGCAGGCAATAAGAGATAAGCACTTGAAATATAGTTATGACTTTAAAACTAATTTTAGGTCATGCATAAATTATGAGCCCGAACTGAGAAACATTTCATCAGAAATGGAGTTTATTTTAGACGCAACGCAAAGAAAATGGCCTTTTCTTTTAACTAGACCTGTTGTAAATACGAACCACTAATTATTGATCGCTATTTTGTTAGCTTTCTTGAGCAAGATCATGATCTAAAGAACGTATGTTCTTACATTTCGATACATTGCTACAGGTAATATTACTGCAAGTAAGCACGTGTGAAAATGAATTGTTTTGATTGGTTGACACTGGTAATTCTTAGAGTAACATGGTAAGAGTTTTATCTCGAGATTGTTTTTGTCCTCTCCATCTTGTTTTTGCCCTGTGTTCTAGGCAATTATGAAAAAGGCATTAAATTTCGCGTTTAAAGCATTCTCAACCTGATCTTATTTTTCAAACGTCTGAACGTTTTTATTAAAATATCGAGATAAAATGAAACAAGCAAAACGCATATTAATAGTATTTACAACAGAAGACACGGTCAAGGAATTGAACCTTTACCTTAGCCGCTGTTATTCGTCCGCAATCATTTCCTTCAATGGTTTTCCAGAGCATTGGATAGCATTTTACCGGATTTGTAAGACGATCGCATGACGTTTTGTTAGATTCTACATAGCGTGCGTAGCAGGGGCTTGGAAGTAGTGGGCACAAGAAAGAACGGGACACGTGAGAAGAGAGGGAGCGCCTGCCAGAGAAGGCTTCCTCTCCCCTCGCGTGTCTCCCTCTCGCGCGCCCGTTCTTAATTCCAAGCGCCTGCTACGCAGGCTAGATTCTACAGTAAACAAAGGCGACTTGCGGTATCAACTGTAAAAGTTTAACTACAGCCAAGGTCACAAATAACTCTTCTGCGCCCTGTGGTCACTCCTTCCGCTTAAATGCCCCGCTCGAGACCCAAAATTAAGCGTGTTCCAGGCTCCAAGATAGTGGAGACAACGGAGAGAAAAAGTGCGAAAAACTGCGTTAGGGTTGGGGAGAGTTTTCGCCGCTTGCACGCTTTTTTCGCTGCTCTCTCCCTTTTTTCGCTCATCTGCACTACCTCATCGAAAGCCTCGCAAAGGCTGAGAGCTAATTCGTGCCATTTCGTCTGACCCACCTCACGCATTCTGATATTGGCGGCGGTTTGAGCTACACTTTTTACCTAAAAAACCAAATTATTAATTCATAAGATGCTGTCAAATTTCGTCAATTTATCTAGCACGCGAATTAGTTATGGCCTGGAACGGTAGCCATCATTAAACTTCGAATCCTTCAAAGGGATGTAGTTAGAGCAGTGATGAATCCCTCTGTAGTATTTCATTGTTCTTAAGAGAGAGCTTAAGGTTAAGGAGTCATGTAAAGTGAACAACAAAGTCAGTGTGTCGCCGAGGATGCGCTTCTGGTACCCGTTCCTTACTTTGGTTTTATGTGTTGAGTGTTATTATGGAGGAACTCAAAGCAAAGGTAAGCACAGTAAAAACATTGCTGTTTCTAGCTTGAAAAAGAATCGCTCAAAAAGAAGGATGAGTCAAAATCCTTGTCCTCTCTTTACGTGGCATCGCGAAAGCCGGAGTAACTATAGTCAGGATCAAAATTAATGACTCTTCTAATCGGTTGAAATAAGACGTTTTGGCCATTGTTCTTAAGCGCTTAATGTTCTTACACGTAGCAATTATAATGATTGAGAACGAGATCTAATGGCATCTATTCATTATTGTAGGCTCAGTCAACAAACTAGGCAGAGAATCTCTTTTGAAGTTCTTCAAACTAAACAGCGATCTAGAAAGCCCTGGACAATATAATACTTCAAGAAATCAGACAACAAATACCTCAGCAAAGGCAGAGTCAATTTTTAGCTCGTCATGGATATGTAGACATAATTCCACGGGGATTACACGATATAAAAAATGCCTCAAGAGGCAAAAAAACAATGCAGTGAAAAAATCATTCCGTCCACATGACTACGACGACGACGAAGATTACGATGATCCCGGAAGTGATTACGAGGAAACTCCAGAAGACGAGGAGTTTCCGCAGGATGACTTGCCAGGTTCGTATAGGTCTTATAACGACTTGCCACCGAGGCCTCGGGATTCAGAAGGTTTATACGGGGGTCCATCGGAGAGACTTCGGGATTACGAGGCTGAGGAAGAAGATAGTGAGGCAAGGCGAAGATATGAATTTGAGGATGAGCCACCAAACCGGCCTGGGTACGAAGATGAGTTAGACCACGAGGACGACGAGGACGACGAGGACGACGAGAGAGATGGCTGGGACTGGGAACCACCAAGACGACATCATGGTATTGAAAGATAAATAACTTCGTTCTTTGATGCGATATTTTGCCTGTCTTTTAATAATCTTCTCTTCAGAAAGGATTTCATTATTACATAGCTAAGTAATATTTAACATACAACCAATTTATCTGACAAGTTAGGACAGTGTAAACCCCCATCACCGCATCGCCATGCAGTCAGTACTGGGTTTAGGCAAGAGATAGCTCATTCTCTCTTGGTTTAGGTGTCACTAATGGAGAATGAAAGAATATCGTACAAAGAGAAAGCGTGCAGACAAAATATAGACTGCCTCAGCGCTACTGAACTGCAAGAAAAACAATTCCAGGTCATTATTTTCGATTAACAACTGATTGGACTAGCTGGTGAAACAACGTGCTACCGTCGGTTGCATCGAAGCGTGGACACAAGACAAATACCCTGTTCTAATAGGGTGTCACACATGACATGTTTTGCCTCCAAAGTTTGACAGCCGGTCAAGCAGACCGTCGCGCCAAAGGAAAGTTGTTTATATGTTTTTGATCAGTGCTTCCACTCATATTTCATTTTTCTCAACCGCAAGACATATTTCTCGCTTAGAAACAGCTTACTTGCCTACAGAAATTATACTTACCGTCTAAAAATTCCTTTAAAGAATATTTTGTTGAGCGAAAACAAATCAAGTCGAAAACAGCCACTAACTCCAAACTTCGAATATTTGGCGACAAAACATGTTCTAATTGGGTGCCCCCAGGTTGGGGGTTGAGCGTGGGGCTAACAACCCCACCTCGGAAAAGAAAAACCGATAATCGATAATAATCGATAGTAATCGATATCAATCATCAATGAATATCGATTTCCGATATAGATCGATAGAAATCGATAAAGAAAAAAGTTGTGTCTTCCATTAATTTCCAGGATTTACCACTAGAAATCGATGATGATTTTTATCGATTGTTATCGATTACTATCAATTCCTATCGATATCGATCTCCGATATCAGTCGGTATTATTCGGTGGATTAAATGGATTAGTATCGATGATATCGATTGATTTCCGATATCGATTTTTATCTGTTAACTCCGTCTAGTGTTACCGAAATTTAAACACTAGCACAAAAGAATAATAAGCTAAACAAAAAGTTATTTAACAAATCTAATTTGTTGAAATATTACAGGTGGAAAGAGATGGAAGTCTCATCAAGATCCAGATGATGACGATGAATATGAACCCAGCTACCACTCTCGGTACCAGCATCACCCGAGACATGCGCACTATCACCGCCAGTACTTTACACACCCTTCTAATGTTCGTGCCAGTTACAGAACATTCGACCAATCAGTGCCTTCATGGCGATCTCCATACACCCAGATTTACCAAGCCTTCTATCCTACCTCTGCACCCTACACTCCGCATCCCGCGAGATTGGCAACATTTCCCTCGGGTCAAGCAAGCTGGCAGCCTCCTTATCTTCGGATGAACACAAGACATTTGCTCAATGCTGTTGGGCCGAGTGTTATCAATCCTTACCTTCAAAATACTTTCACTTATCCACATCGAGAGACTAACTCATTTTTTATTCCTCCTCGTCGTGTCTCATCGACTCCCTATTTGGAGGCCACAGCTAGAAATCTCGTGAGTTTCACGAGAACTATTCCCGATATCGCCGCGACTCTCCCGCGTCTATCTGACAGTGTCTATCATTACCCGCGAGTTATCCCTGGGGTAGCATCCCGTAGCCGGCATTTTGGCGGTCACTTATCAGGACCGTTTCTAAGACACAGCGAGTTCCCTGATGCTGTTCTCAACAGAATTAGAGAATTAAATCTTCACTGATCTGGGTGGAGGTTAGGTAGTCTGCGTCTCCTGCCTGCGTTTATTTCCTCTTTCCCAAAGGAGCTGTATCATGGGAGTTGCTGTTTTAGGTCATTTATTTGCTGACGTCGTTGCTTAAAATACTGCCATTAGTCACCCATTCACAAAATGCTCCTGTAGGCCTGTAGGGTTATGAAGAAAATATCAGGCAAACACAAACCATAACAGAGTCAACAGAACGATTTGAAACGTGGGAGGGGGGGCTCATCTTCCGCTCAGCCATACGCATCAGGCCCCTGCTCAGATTTTCCAAAATGTCCTTTTTCGTTGTTCGTTGGCACAAGCAAACCTCTTTGCAATCTTCGCGTGTCCTTAATCGATTGTACATCAGTAGGCAGTTGTTCAGGCGCTCCTGCTTCTTGGTGCTCTTTAGCCTTCGTCTGAGGGCAGAAAATGTGCGCTCTGAAGTCGCCGATGTCACAGGTATTGTAAAAAACATCGGTAAAAGTGTTTTTCGGCACCAAAACGTGGGGGCGTGGGGGGCTCTGCCCCCTAATTTTTGTTTTTGGCTAATCCATGTCCATCCCTGTCATCCGAAGCAACAGAATACAGGAAACAGCCTAGCTTTTTAAAGAGATTAAACAAATAGAATGATATTGCCCCTTTAAGTAAAAGTGCCATTTGTGCAGTGAACCATCTGGCAGTCCCAGAGATCCCTTATTGCTATTTAACCGTACTCGGTTTTAGCTTAAAACTACTAAAATTAAACTTTACTGAATAAACTACTCCACAAGATTACAATATTATAAGCTTTTTATTGAAACTGTGAAAGGTTGGCCGGAAAGGTTGAACTGTGGGGCTATTTTTATTGAAGTCACTTGTGAAAATATCACATGAGTTTACAACTTCATGGAAGCTACATAGTCCTTGCTAAGGGCTCCCAAAATGGCCGATTATTTCTGTTACGACCGAAATACAACTTCTTCGTTTGCCTCGGGCCGCTTAGAGTCTTAATCCAAGTTCGGAGTCCACATTACTATGAATCAGCGGTCGAGAACCTTTTGACTCACGGCCATAATGGCTGACTTTTACAACGAAGATGAATTATTTTTCTTTTAGTCGACTTATCTCGTCCCAGGTCTTTCCCTATTTGCAAATTCGTAAGGTATCTGTGTACGCATAAGATTTGCCGTAGACAAAAGAAAAGAACAAATAAACGTTCAGCGTCCCTTTGCTCATTTTCCGATACGACGGGTCACATGATCATTAAATTGCTCTCTAATACGATAGTAAGGTTTCATTGTTTAACACTTGAAGGCAAGCGGTTTGAAAAAGAGGGGTCGACTCCGTCGGTTGCAAATTAGGAAAAGGAATGGCTGAAACTAACTGCACATGTGCTGGACTGATCATTCTAACATCTGCTGAACATGATCTGCGCAGTGGGCGTTGCGCATGCGTTGGCCGGGAAGGTTGAACGGTAGGGCTAGAGCCTGGGAACGAGGCCATCAGTTTTGGGTGTGAAACAGGTTGCGATATTTGTATCGGAGGGGTGGGAGATGAGGTCACTGGAAGAAACCTTGTCGGGCTTGTGGGATACGTTGGGGATGTTGAAGAGACGTCTGTTGTACTGTGGCAGCCTAATAAATAAAAATAGAAAAAATCACAAGTGAAATATCTGGCAATTAGCTCAGTCGGTAGAGCGCTTGACTGTAGAGCGGGAGGTCGCGGGTTCGATTCCCGGGACCGGACCAATACTCAGGGTCTTAAAATAACCGAGAAATGAAGGTGCTCCCTTTGCACTGCAACGGGCTAGACCTTCGCGCGGCTCGTATGACCACGTAAAATGGCGGTTCGGTCTCCATTAGGAGACATAAAATATAGTGTCCCCAATTAGCACTTTCGTGCTAAATACATTGACACTCATATAAAGTGCATTAATTCCGTTCCCTTAATTTTGCACCAAAGACCTAAAAGACAAAGATCTAAAGTAGGTTCTCCCAATGCCACCACTAATTTTTCCTTGATCCCACCATCCCTCTCTATTTTTTACCTTTGGACAGTAGTAACTTTTACGGAGTGGTATGAGTTGTGACACCATGTTCACTATTTTGTACTATAAGATCAAGTGGTAAAAGCTAAGTGAATAGAATGAAGGTTATACAGCCAACTCTCCCCTTGCGGAAACCTGGCTACAATGGACTCCCCGATAATACGGACAGCAGCTTAATCCCAGGCAAAATAAATTGAAGACGTTTGACTGAAATAAACCCCCGCTATTACGGACTCTCACTAATGATGACACTAACTCGAGTCCCTACAGTGTCCGCTGTAAAGGAAGTTGATTGTACTTGGCCAAACTGCATCTCATTCCTTTGAATATGAATATGACTTTGAATATGAATTGAGGGTTGTAGAGGATCGGCTAAGTGATACGACTGGTATACGAGTCGTGCAACTCGGGAACTGCACCGACTGCATCTCACTATTTAGGACACTTGGAATCTGGTTGGCAAGTCATTTAGATTGGGGAGGGGGGCTTGGGTGTTATGTGACTATGACCATAGAAAATCAGACATGAGGTTGATAAGTGATATTTGTTAAAGCAAACTGTCACAGTTTGAATCTTTTCTACCAAATCAACCTCCTCCATAGATCTCGATCCCCAAGGCAGCGTTCAGATGGCCGATTTAACAATTATGCTCTTTTGGACAAGAGCTATAATAATGGAGCAATTACTTCAAATACATATGGTGATATTCTTTCATTTTTTAATGGTCGACCAACAGCGATTGTAAAAACGAGAAAGAGGCCTCTTGTAATTAGTGTGAACATTCATGGCGCCCCCGATCTAAAATAAAATTTGTCTTTTTTTGTGTCTCAATTGCTAATTACTCTAATTTGGGAAACTTTCCTAGCATATCCTGCATTTACTGCGCTTTTCACAAACGTGCGAACTCTAAAGTTCAGAAGCCGCCTTCACAATTGCGTTTTTGGCTGCCGTCAATCATAATTACGATCACAAGTACAAGTAACGAACTTTGAAACACAGAAACACACAAAAGGGATCGAAATCCTCCAATCACAAATCAGAAACCATGACCTTTTGAACCAGTTAAAGTAAAGTTTTGTTCCCTATGAGGTCCGTTAAGATGATTGACGGCAGCGAAAAACGCAAACGTCAGTTGGCTTTTGGACTTCAAAATTTGCATGTTTGTGAAAAGCGCAGTAATTTTATCTTTGCGATTAGTTGTGGTGGATGTATAGATGCGTCATTGAGCAAAAGGTATAAAACATCTTCGTAAGCTTACTTCTCAAAAACAAATTAAACATGAATAACAGGACAGCAAGGACCAAGGCGACTTGAGTTTTCGCGATATTTCAGACGAACAATCCGTCCTTCTTCAGGGAATTTAATGAAGAAACGGATAGACAATTTGTTTTATACGCGTTAAGGAACCTGTCATAAAGTACAGGGGGGTGGGCTATGAAAATTCTTTTTTTAAGTACTGGTTTTCAGTGGCCCATCCCCGAGTTATTTGACAAAATTGGGGCGGCCCACCCCTGGAGTGGCAAAGAAAAAACTAGTGACCTACCCCCCAACCAAAACCAGGAACGCTGATGTGGATAGGTACATTAGTATGACCTTCACTGCCAGCTGTCAGCTATGTCATTGCAAGCAGCAATCCCATAAGGCGATTCAGAAGAGGAACCCTTAAAGCCTACTGACCGCCAAGCAATTAATCACAAGATTAAAAAATGTCAGGATTTGAAAGAGAAACCTGAGAATCTGAAGAGTAGTATCCAGAAAGAAATGCCCAGCGGTTCACTAAAAAGTCTGGCAAAATCATCAGTGGGCAAGAGTGCGGGCAACGCTTCAATGAAAAATGCTTGGGAATGATTGCAGAATTGCAAAGTAACATTGACCAGACTTTGATGAGGGCAGAGGCCCAAAAAGAAAAACACAAGAGAATGTATCCTTTTGCAAAAGAAACATTCGTCTCGAAAAAGAGAAGAGTGAAAGAAAATAAAGCAAAAGCTAGGAAGCGACGCCGTGAAAGAGCAGAGAAAAATTGTGAGAGAGTGTTCTCCGCAATCAGTCACTCATCATCTTATGGTGAAGTTATAACCTCCGATCATTGTAGTGTGATAGGCCTTAACAACTTAACAAAGAGAGATGGTAGGTGGTTAAAACTATAAATAAGTAATTTAAGGTAAATTTACAATGGATGCTATTGAAACAATCAGAGCAAAGTGTCACCAGTTGTATTGAGTGCTATAGATGATAGTGATTATGATGATGATGATAATGAGAAGGAGGAGGACGAGGAGGAGGAGGAGGATGGTAATGCTTCTGAGGGTGATGGTAATGGTGAAGATGACTAAAGATGATTAGAAGAAGATATTAAAAAAGATGTGAACATAAGTTAGGTTTATGAACACACAGTAAAGCTTTGTTCTAGATTTTATACGTCAAAAAGTTTCCTGCGTGACTACTCTTCAGATTGAAAGACTGTGCATAAATAGAAACAAAATATTCAATATGTGAATTCCTGTTGTCCTATAAAGTTGGATTAATGTGGAAAATTAGATTTGTTGTTAAAAAAAGATTTTACTAACTTTTGTAGTGATATGTGAATAATTTAACATGACCCACCCCTAGTGTAGTGCATTATTTTTCCTGACCCACCCTTTTTAACGTGTTAAAAAATAGTGACCCACCCCCAATTTTTCCTAGCCCACCCCCACCTGTACTTTATGACTGGTCCCTAAGATAAAAGCCAAGAGCGAATCAAGGCCCCTCTTGGTGTCCAGAAGAAAGGAAAGAAAGAGAAACGGATCAAAAGAGAACAATAATACAATAACTTACGGCCCTCAAAAAATAAATAAATAGATAAATAAATAACGACGTTGCTGAGAGGAGAAAAACGACTCGAAGCAATCGGATGAAATTTAGGCTCGTACATAAAGTACATTCCTCTTATTCTGAACTGCAGACCAAAGGTACGTCTTAAGCCAAATATACATATCTTTAAGCGTTAAGATAAGATGGAGAGCAAAATAGTAATTATGCACGAAACAAGTTCTTCAACATGGGGAATATCCGCTGATGAAGTCAAGCGCTAGCAGTACTGCAAAAGGAGATGTAATAGCAGAGGGCGGCAATAAAGAAGCTCTTTTTATCCGCACTGGAATTTCTCCGGCCCTCGCGGCGTTAGCGGCTTGCCCCGCCTCTCGCGTTTTCTCCGCGGCATGCGCGTGATAATAACATTTTCAAATAAAAAATCTTCTTGCATAAACAAAATTCTGATGTCCAACATTTTGCGTGGAATTCAGCTGGTTTACATACAGTTGTACGCTATGAAATCGGACAGAATGTCTCAAAATTTCAATTCCATTTAGTTCACACGAGTTGAAGAATGTTACTAGGAAAAGCCGTCTCTAGAACTGACATGTTCCCTAGTGATTCCTGGCCTAAGATGATTGGCGAACATCAAATCTACAGGCTTTCTCGTATAGGAACGCTAAAGAACGGCAGTTACATTTCAAGAATGACGGGAAAATAATGAATTAAATGTTGTAATGCGGCGTTTGCGCGGTGCCTCAGTAAAGCAAACAAAAATGTTTTTTTGCCCTTTTAATTAAATAATTCTGACAATTAAAAGTTTTTCACCTACCGACTAAATGAGATCCTGGCAAGAAAACGGAGAAGAAAAACGGGACAAATAAACTCCACCTTTGTTCCATTCCACGTGCTTTAGCAATTAAACACCGGCTCAGGGTGACTTATGGCAGGTGCTGGGACGAAAATAATACAATATAAGCCGGGTCAGCCGCCTTTAAGCTAACATCAATAAAATGGCACAGAAGCCTTTCTATGCTACGGTATTTCTTGCTGAATTGTAAAAGTAGAGTTCAGTAAATATTTCGGTTCTAAAGTCGACAATTGTTGTTTCACGAAAAAGAGAATTATTAAAGACGCGGGAGTGAACTAAAAATGAGGAACTTACCCAAGTATCTTGATCCAAACCGCGCAGTTTGTCAGCAGGTTCCACTTATAATTGTTCAAAAATCCCGTATAAAGTTTTGTTTTCGCTTTTATTATGGGAAGGCTTGTTGTCTTGTCATCTCTTACAATGGAAATTGTCCTGTCCCTTCATGCTTTGCGCGCGACGATTCTAAGCTCCGTTGTCCATACTCTATACTTAGAAATGACGTCAAAATTTTCAACACGTACTGTTTTAGCGAAGCCACCCGAGGTTTCAAAATTTGGACGTCATTTCTATGTTCTATTAATAAGACTATAGACGATGAGAAAATTGTGGTCAGTTTGGGCAAAGTAAAATCGTAAACGTTCAGCCCGATGCCGTGCGCGAGTACCCGAAGGCGGATACATCCCGGGAAGTCTTCTGGTCGCGATATCCTCTGTTTGTAATCTCATCGTTTTCCCTTAAACATTGGAAATCTGACTGGATCTACACCAGTATGAAAACGTTCCTTTTATTGCACGAAAAGATCATGACATTCAAAAAGTCGGGCGTGTTTCCAAATCAAATGGAAATGTAGTTTCCCTAAGTATGTTATATTATCTCGTATTTACTAGTTTCTTCAGAATCCAAGAGCGCTTCCCCGGCATTTGTATGAACAGTTCACCCCGGTGGAAATGTTCCGGAAAAAATAGTAATTCCTTTCGAGGTATTACCTTGTTCCCGTTTTTACCGAAACGGCCGAAATTTTCTGTATCATGCATTTGTTTGGATGACTAGTGCCAGGCTTCATGTCCAGAGAAAGCGAAAACTTTACCGGTATTTCATAAATGGTACAACTCAATCCCGTTCCTGTTTTCGGTGCCAAAAAAATACCAGTACCATTTGACGGAAATTTTCCACCGCACGCAGCTCCGCTATCAGGGTTGGAGAATACTAGAGAGTGGATATCCTGTCTCGAAAATTCATGTGAGCTCCCATCTTTTCCTTTGTAGAGTGTAACCTTCAAGATGCTGCCTTTCTAACTTGGTCCGCACTCGTTAACATCCGTCGAAAGGCCCTCTTATCTTCGGACGGATTTCGTGAACGTATGACGTCACGCTCGCCTCCAAGTTTAAAATATGTGATTCATCTGCACTTCGATGTTCGATCGTCTATCAGGTCTATATCCGACCGATTTTTAGTTAGGGGTTTTGTCCTACTTTTTCGATCATTCCTCAATTGATTCCAATCAATTCAGACAAGAAGATGCCACTGCCTTCGTTTAAAGGGTGTTTTGACGTGTCAAGCCTCTTCTTACAAACTATGCTCCGCGGGGAAAAGGACCTTTCGGTGCATGTTACTGAATAACATCCCTTGAATGGCCCCAGGCACGTATGATGTATCCAGGTGACAATAATACAATATCACTTTCCTTACTGAATACATGTACAGTGCATAAATCGCCATACTTATATTCCTGCACTTGAGGAGAATAATACAATCTCGTTAAAACGTGGCCTAACAGTGGGTGGGTGGATCAGGCCTGGGGGCCAAAACTAGTGGGGAAGGGAAGGGGCTATTTTGACACAACCCCTTCAGTAAGCAGCAGTGTTCACTAGAGGCTTTGACTGGCAAGTACCTTGTTCTTAATTTGCCCTAGCCACTGAGCTGAATCAGGCCCCTGCTGAGAATGATAATGTTAATAGCCTTAGTCTTTATTTTTATATTTTGCACACATTGTCCTGCCTGGAATAGCCTTGTTAGTTATTTGGTTCATAAGTTTTGTTGTTGTTGTTAATAATTACAGAGCTCAGTGGGAGGTGCAGAGAGTCACCCATTGTCCTGGGTGGAGATAGGATCAAAGTGTTGGTACCAAGGACATACTTAGCATAACACCTGTAGACTCTCATTGAAGCCATGTTTACATAAATTCAGTCAGATTTATTTATTTATTAATTTATTTAGGCTTACTCATTTTATGCTTTGTAACTAAGGTTGCAAATGAAAATGTGCTTAAACTGTGCACTTTTGGTTTGAAGCCATTGACACTACGAAGTCTTCATCTACATGATATCTACAAGTTATTTCTAGGGAAAGGTTGCCTATTGGGTCAATGGATTTGTGCAAGATTTTTTGAATACTTTTCTTTAACAGCACATCAAAGTGAATGAATGGTGGAATCAATACATTTTAATTCAACTTAAGTACCCCTCAGAGTTTTGACTGTGCCTTTTGTTGTTTCATCAAAAATGTCCTGTAAAAACTGAAAGGGGAGGGTCCAGAGAATTTGGAAATGGTATCTTCCCATCTGCATTATCCCTTCCCAGTACTATCAACCGGGAGACTCCAGATTTTGGACCATATCTCCTGGTCTCCAGATTAGAGTATGAAATCTCCTGGATAATCGCCGAAAGTTTTCCTTTTTTTGTGGACTCGACTTTCTGACAATGAAATTTCAAATATTTTGCGTTGTTTGAATAATTATTATTTTGATGTTAACATTGAGAATTTCCTCACAAACTCCGATATGCAATTTTGATATAAGCAATAATGTGATTGGTCAAATGTTACAATGCCAACAACATCTTTTGCGAGCATTTTGCGTCACCACAAATATTCGAGATGATCGGATTCAAGGAGTCTTTTTTGCGCAAATGACGTCATCTATCATCCCTTCCCTATAAACTCTCAATATTTGTAAATGACGGGGGTTCGCAGCCCTGCCTGCCCTCTCTGTAAATAATCCCCACTCCCTGATTTCTTTGAGCTTTTGCTTGAATATTAGTTTATAAGTGCACTTTAAAGCCTCTTCTGCTGTAATTGTTCCTTCAACGTCTTTCGCAGTAAAGGCATGTCATTCATTCCAGAAAGAAAGAAAATGCTCCGTCATTCAATCAAGTAGAGCAGATGCCATTTAATTTCATGAAGCAAAACAAACATGGAAAAGTAATTATTCAACAGTAAAATTGTTTTTTCTTGTTTGATCATCAATAAACTTCCTTTCAGTTTTCTGTATGCATTATTGACTGTGTGATTTGACTGGCGGATTGACTTTTGGTGCCCTCTCAATCCTTCTTTCTCCCTCCATATGTTTATATGTTTTCTTATTCAGTATCAAAGTGTTGACCAGATTACTCTGGAATAATGCTGCTTGTGAAAGGCATCTGTTCAACCGAAGTGCCCCATGGAGAGAGGAGTATTTGCTGGCTATGATCTATCATGTAGGCCACT